TTCACACGGGAGCCCTCATCTCTGCCAAGGCCTTTCGCTCTCCCCTTTACCCTGCCCAGCTCTGGCCTGCTGAGACGTGAAAACTACAACTTCCAGAGGGCCTTGCGCGGAGATCTGGCCTCCATAAGTCAGGTGGCTCAAGTCAGGTGACAGCTGGGCCCGCCCTCACACAAAGTCTGAGCCTCCCGGGGAATCGGGTACATTCCCATGCGGCACCTGGCGCGAGGTTGCTGCGAACGGTGAGATCGGTCCCCGGAGCCTAGGAAGCTCTCTATGAGGTGAGAGTCGGCAGGACCTGGACAGCCTCCCATTTCCCAGGCGGATCCCCCAAGGCCTAGAGACTGGCACAGCACGTCAGCTGGACAGCCTGCCGCGGATCCAGCCCCCTAGCCGCGCCTGGGTTCCATCTCCTGTCACCAGTCCTGGCTTGGTGACACTGGAGAGACCTGACGTTGATGGGAGAACTCGGGTGGTGGTGAGCGGAACCTGGGACACTGGGCTGTCGGGATGGTGTGTGGATGACTCTACCTTAGAGTGCTTCAGTCCCCTTCCCCGCCTCCTGCTTCGCTGCCTCTTGAATCTGGGTGTGCAGATCTCTTGAAGAGGGCAGACGCTGAGGTGACCGTTCCAGGAATTCCTGTTAATTTGCCCAGTGCTAGGCTCCGGGGCAGTCAGCAGGAGGAAATCCCGACCCTGCCCTCTGGGGTTCTCAAACTGAAGGAAGGGAGGACAGCTGAACCCTTGTGAAAGCTTGCTAGGTGCCCTAGGGAACAGTAGTAATTGCTTTACATCATTGTTTCTCAATCTGTTTACCCTTGTCAACCCACTCCCACCTTCAGATTTTTAATTGTGCTGATAAACTGTACTTGTTTATATATTATGGCACTTGGGAGGACCAAAAAGCATTGCAATATCTTAGGGTTGTTTTTTTTTTTTTTCAACATCCCCAGAAACCAATTGTAGCCCCCATCGAGAATGCATGCTTTACATCTCATATCATTTAAATTCTATGTGATAGTGAGATTAGATAGTTAGATTATCAATCTGACTTTTAAGCATTTTAATCAATTTATCTATCAATGTCTTTTTGTCTTTCCTGGAATCCTTCCTGCTGAGTGTCTCAGCCTTTGGGGATGAAGGACTTTTGCTGACCAAGTGTTCAAGACAGTCTGTGAAATGAGGAAGAAACTGTTTTGTTTTTTTTTTGGAGGGGCGGGGGGAGCAAAAACTCTAATAAGACAATAAAACTGAATTCTTTCTTTCTGTTAACTAGGTTGCAAAAAGCAGCTGAAGAGGGAAAAATTCAAGTCTGTGTTCACTTCCTCAGGGTGGGACTTTACATAACCCTCTAAGCTGTTCTGAGCTGGTTTCCCCATATATCAAAGAAAGATAAGTCCTCCTCTTTCTTCATAGAAAGAAGGATCCCCTTCTCTGAGGTTGTGGTGCAAAACCCATGAAGTCAGAAATGTGAAGTGAAAGTCCTTTATGGGCCATTCCATGCCATGATTCCAGGAGCATATCATCTACCTAAAGCTGAGCAGATTCATCCTTAACATGATGTTCTCTTACTGTTTGTTTTTTCTTCCTAGTTCTGCAAAATCAAGGAACATGATAAGGAATTGGCTGCTTATTTTTATCCTTTTCCCCCTGAAGCTTGTAGAGAAATGTGGTAAGTTTAAAAATGAGTCATCAACTTTTAAAAAAGAGAAACAAACAGTGAGTAACCTGTCCTCTTTGTCACCGAAGGTCTACTATTGTCCAGGCCATGTATATTTGCCTGCCCTTCCGCCACGTGGTCTGCTCTGGGGCCCAGGAGTTTCACAAAGAGCCAAATGTGTCCACAAATAATTGTCCTTCTTCCCTCAGGTCCCTGTTCCCTTTTCCACATCACTAAAGTCAACAGTTGGTTCTTAAAGTCAGATTGTACAAGTGGTTCTCAAAGTCAAACTGTAGAGTTCCAACAAGCTGAGATAATATCTGTGAATAATGACGTAGGTTTATACCCCATGGACCTCACCAAGAGAGTCAGGTGTTCTGGGAGACACTGGGGAGCCAAATGACATGGCCACCTTATTGTACTTGATCCTTCCAGATACAGACACCTGAGGAGTCTTCCTGACATTACCTTGTAATAAACTAAAACCTTTCCCTTAGAGAAGATCAGAGGACCAGGGAATAGCAGCTAACAGGGATAGGGGGACCACAGAGAAGCAACTGGTATCAGGGTTTGCATGTCTTTGTAGGAGGGACCTTCAAGTGCTGTGTCAATTCTAGCTGTTCTCCCACTATGCAAAGCATTTCTGAAATTCCATCCAATGAAAAGCTCTGTTTAGCACTCCACAGGTGCCAGTCCCATTATTTTGATCATTAACTTGGCTGTTGTTAAAAAGCAAATGCATCTTGGGGCTGAGGTTGTAGCTCAGTGGCAGAGCACTTGCCTAGCATGTGTGAGGCACTGAGTTTGATCCTCAGCACCACACACATAAAAAAAATAAATAAATGCAGATGCATCTTGAAATCCCTGACTAAAGGGGCTGAGGATATAGTGGTAGAGTGCTTGCCTAATATGCACAAGACTTTGGGTTTAATTCCCAGCACTGTGAAAAAAAAAAAAACATCCTTGACTGAAGATGTCAAGTGAATTGGTACAAACCATGCCAACCCTGCATGTATTTTCTAAGAGCTATGCGTAATGGTTGTACCATTAAAGTTATCTAGCCTTTTAATCTCTGAGGAAACAGTGGTCATCTGATCAGCTTTGTTAAATATTGGTCATGTTACTTTGTAGTCACATCTTGTTGATAATTTGTTTGTGAAAAGGGCAAGGTCCCTCTGATCATGAGGTCCATTGTTTCTCAGTAGGGATGCCAGAGCCTCACACCAGCCATATTGAGAGAATGGCTCTCTGGAATTAAGGTTAGAGTGTGAGTGCATGTGTGCATGCACATTGAACCTCCTTTTAGTAATGCTAATAAATTCCCTTAGCTAAGAAAGAAGAGAAAATTAAGCTTCCACTATTCCAGTTATATAGAGGGGAAACTTAGGCCAAGACAGAGTAGAATTCAGAGCTAGAATGAATCAAAGCTAAGACTTTGCTAGGATCTCTACTCCATTATATCACTTTGCCTCCTTTCCTGAATGTCATTATGAAAGAATAGTGCGAGTTACCATAAAATCAAGCACCTGGAGCTAGATTTCTAGCTGATTCTGCTGTACCCTTCTTCTGTGCTTTGAGGAGTGATCTTAGGACTATAGATGAGAGGAGTGACCTCCAGAGTATTTATCTCTGACTTCTTTGGGTGGAATCTAAGGCAGTGCAGCCTAGCAGCAAAAACCTGAGCTTTGGATCAGACCATTCCAAGTTTGACTCCTGTCCCCACCATTTTTAAACTATATGGGCAAGACACCTTCCCTCTGAGAATTTTCAGCTGTCTCATATCTAAAGTAGGACTGAAAAAATGCCTACCCCTGACTGGCAATATAGCATTCTGTTAGAATGCTTGCCTAGTATGCACAAGGTCCTGGGTTCAATCCCCAACACGACAAAATCAACACAGAAGTAATTCCCTTTTCCACATCAAAAAATAAATGAGCCGGGCATCATGACTCATGCCTATAATCCCAACAATTTGGGTGCCTGAGACAGAAGGATACCAAGTTGGAGGCCAGCCTCAGCAACTTAGTGAGGAAGGCCCTCAGCAACTTAATAAGACCCTATCTCAAAATAAAAGGGCTGAGGGTGTAACTCAGTAAAAGTGCCCCTGGATTAAATCCCTAGTACCAAAAATAAATATATAAATTAATTATATTAAATGCCCGCTCCTTGTAATAATTACAAAATGGGAGTTAAGAATATAGTGGAGTGGCTGGCATGAAATTAGATGAAGAGCAGGAAAGGTCCCAGTAAGTATTAGTTTAAAAAAAAAAAAAACAGAGCCTGTTAAGGGAAAACTGAGGTGGATTCACTGTGACTCCTTTGGTAATTATGATATGGTGTCTAGAGGCTCCCACTCCAGAGCAAACTTTTAGATGTACTTTTCCAGGTTATGGTACCAGCTTCCTGGCTGCCTCCTATCTTGGGCTAAAATGTCCTGTAGTTTCAAAATGATGATGATGATAGTAACCAATAATTATTTCATATGCAGGTCAAGTGGAAAGCATGTTACAGACATTTCTACCTTTTATTTTCACAGTGATCCTTTAAGATAGGTCTTGCTATTTTCCCCCATTTTACAGATGAGGAAATGGAGACTTAGAGAGGTTCAGTACTTTACCCATGGTTATATAGCTAGGAAGAGTCAGAGCCAGGTAGAACTGTGTGATTTCAGAGTACCAAATACTGCTCTCTTTTGTGGTGCTGAGTGAGGGGGACATAAACATTCTTGGATCTGGTTCCTTGAGAGTTCATAACTTCTTCCTTTTACATGCAAAGTCTGTGGAAGATCTAAGGCCATGTGGATCTCCCACTCACTCTGCCCACTGTTCCAAAAGAACCCTAGGTACCTAGAGGTATGGCTAGCTGCCTGATGTCACTTTTAGTACCTCTGTCCTGAGCCTATTCTGGGACTTGCTTATCTGGTGTGTCCTCAGTTCTGGGTAAAATGAACTGCACCACCCTTGTTTGCAAGACCAGAACAAAGCCTCAGGTATCAGAGCAGTGGTGCTCCCTTCTGCAGCACATATACTAAATTGAAATTATATCAGAGCAGTGAGAATGAAAACAAAATGTGGGACAGAGTCACCAAATTGCCTCCAGGTTCTGAGGCTACAGTTAAGAGAGGGATCTCCAGACATGGTGGCACACACTTGTAATCCCAGTGGATCAGGAGGCTGAGGCAGGAGGATAGTGAGTTCAAAGCCAGCCTCAGCAAAAGCAAGGCACTAAGCAACTCAATGAAACTCTGTCTCTAAATAAAATACAAAATAGGGTGGGGATGTGACTCAGTTGTTAGTGCCTATGAGTTCAATCCCCAGTACCCAAAATAGAGAGAGAGAGAGAGAGAGAGAGAGGGACCAACATATTATGAGCAGCTTGGCCTATACAAGGACTTGAGGGAGCCAGGCAAGAGGATACTATAGATCACAGACAGTGGGCATCTCAGCTGGGAGACTTTCAGACTGGAAGCAGCCTTCACCCACATTCCTAGATGAAGGGCTAAGAGGGAGAAGTCATCTCAAATGTGGTCAGAGAGGCTCCAGCTAGCAGAACTGGACCCAGAAATGTGAGTTTCAGGTTGCCTGAGCACCTTGGAGAAGATGAGATGACTCTCTCTGTAGGTGTCCAGGCAGGGGAAGAAGAACTACCAGGTAGGAGTATTGAAGAAGGAGAATCAACAAAGGAAGCTGAATTAAATTTTAGTTCTCAGTTCTTCATTATCTGCCTTTAAGGAGTCTGGGTAGAGGAGACCTGGGCCCTGCTTGCAGGCTCTACCCCTACAAGAACCATCTTCATCAGAGTTGAGCACCTGCTCTCCCATTTGGGTGCCATTCCCATCCCAATTTAGATTCATAATCATGACCTCTGGACTGCATAACCCTAAGGTCTGTGAGACAGGAAAGGTGAGATGGGGAGGTTATGGCATAATGTTTTAAGCACACCTGGAGTGGAGGTAAGGGCAGGGATGAGGAGGTGGGCTGCCCGAAGAACGCAAGAAGAGCTTGAAGAGGAAAGTTTGGTCATGTTCTGAGACCAGGGTATCCTGGAGTAGTTGACCTCCCAAGGTAATTTTTTTGGTTGTTGTTGTTGTTTGGTATTGGGGATTAAACCCAGGGTCTCCTGCATGCTAATCACATGCTCTACCATTTAACTACACACCCAATTTCCCAAGGTGATTTTCTAACACCCAAACAGGCTTCCTCTCTCATCCTAGAAGCACCTATTTGTCTACCTTATCTTGAGTTAACATCTTAATGCCAAGAAAAAATCCTTTATGATGAAAAAAGTAAATTTTTAACTATTCTCAAGTCACTACCTTATCACCAGCTTCAGGAGGGGGATCCATGAATGGGTTAAGCTGAGTCAGTAAGAGATTGTAAAAGGGTTCTTTAAAACCATGTTAGCTGGGACCCATGCATGTCTTGAGACTGCAGAGAGGGGCTGGACCAGTTCTTCAGGATTATATAACCTTATAAAGAAGAGACCCCTGTGTTATCCATCTGAAAAGGTAGTTTCCATTCACCATTTATAATCCCAAATGGTGGCATGAATTCCTTTGTGGTAATTTTGGAGCCCCGTGCTTGTAAATTGTCTCCAGGTAACTAAGCCTCAGGCCTTCAGAGCCTGTCAGAAGAGGGAATTGGGGAGAAAGCTCCAGCGTATCCTGCTCTGGCCTATGGCACCTTCTGTCTCTGTCTCTGGCAACAGATGTGGAAGGAGCATAATGAGGCCCATGTATCCAGTCTCCTCATGGAGCCACCAGTACCTCCCTCACTTCACTTAGAAAGTAGGATGTCAGTGATCAGATGTCAGGGGCCCTTATGCCTATTTCTTCTCATGGGCCTGAACACTCTGATCTGATGACTCACGTCATTGACTTGGGTCCTTCCAGAATCGACTGTCATCTTCACCGTGCCTCCTGTTGTGAAACTGGAAAATGGCAGTTCAACCAACGTCAGCATCACCCTGGGGTAAGTTGTCAGGCCCATTTTTGTCCTCAGCCCCACTTGGATGGGCCCTACAGTTAGGTCAGGGCTGACTGGTGGTTCAGTCTATTCATATCTCAGAGGTGACGCTTTTGCCCCTTAGCTGGAGGACAAGCCATAGAAACAACAGTCATACTAACCCTGGGCTGCAGAGTAGGATCTCAGTTGAACCCCCAAATTGAATCCTTCCACTAGGAGGAAGAAGAAGAGGTGCTTCTTACCAGAGACACAACCCTTTTCTCCCCATATGGAGAGTTCTAGAGTAATGAGCTATCGATGCCAGACTTCAAGACCCTTTCCAAGACTAAATACTTGAGGAGATCCCTGAAGGTCAAGAGGCAAGAAGCTGAACTACTGATTAGTCCTGCTGAGGTTACTTCCAAAAGCAGAAGTGACCATATGGCATAATCCCACTCCTGCAATGCTCATGCTTGGCCTTTGTCAGAGACTCTTACTTGATGACCCCTTCAAATTTAGGCACAAGGGTCTTAACCTAGTCTAGACTGTGCCAGAGAGCCCACCTCTCCCTTTGTGCCCTTAGCTACTTTCACCCTGTTCATGCACCCCAGCTGTGAGGATGCCCTGAGTTGAAGATCTGGAACCCTGTCCTTTTTTCTTTACCTTTCCTGGGAGGTATGGCTCCCAGTTTCCCTTACAGCCCCCTGCCATTTCATTTCCAATTCCTATCATTCCGGCACGTCCATACCTTGTAAATGTCCCAAGTCATCCTTTATCCCCAACTCACCCCCTCTAGAGTCCCTGAGTGGCTTATGGCTGGCCTCTACAACCAGATTTGAGGTCCCTATGGTCTGCTCCCCAAGGGCTCTCATTTCCTTCAGTCAGATTCTGACTTTGTAACCAAACCCTGCTCAGATCTGACCCTCTCTGGGAAGCCTTTCCCACTGCCACAGGGAGCCTCTATCTTATCCATCTCTGGATGCCTCCCAAATCATTCACAGTCAGTTTTCTACCTTCTAACATTCTCATTCTACCCTGAAGGGACATCTAATTTTCTGGTAAAGATAGAAGACACCTAAGGAACAGGGGATTCCACCTCTCTACCCCTCAGGGTTGAGCATGTAGCATTTCTTATTCCTGATTACTTGAGAAATTAAGGCCTGGTGCAAATTCCAGAGGGTTGGTTGAGATTTCACAGTGTCCAAATTCTCAGCAATAATCAGACTCTTGTCCTCCACAGGCAGCCATTAAATGCAACCTTGGTGATCACTTTTGAAATCACATTTCATTCAAAAAATATTACTATCCTTGAACTCCCTGATGAAGTAAGTAACAAATCTAACTAATGGGAAATGCTAAGTAACAAAACATGTTGTAATTAAGAGCTTGTAGCAATGGGTCACCTAGACTATGCCTGTTTCATCATTCCAAAAATCTGTGACTTTTTTTTTCATTAATCTCTTTGGGGATGAACATTTTATGCTATATAACTTTGATTAAGAAGGAGACAGTAAAAAGCCAGAGGTAAAAGTGGTTCTGAGAATTAGAAGTTCTTAAGATAGTTTTCTGGGGCCGGGGATGTGGCTCAAGCGGTAGCGCGGTCACCTGGCATGCGCGGGTCCCTGGTTTTGATCCTCAGCACCACATAAAAATAAAATAAAGATGTGTCCACCGAAAACTAAAAAAAAAAATAAATGTTTTTTAAAAAAAGATAGTTTTCTAAGGCCTTACTACTCAAGAACATTCATGAACCTGCAGCATTGGCCTTATTTAAAAATCTTTCAGTTGTGCCAGGCATGGTGGCACACACCTCTAATCCCAGCTACTCAAGAGGCTGAGATAGGAGGCCAGCCTCCTCAATTTAGCAGAGCCCTAAGCAACTTAGTGAGACCTTGTCTCAAAAATTAAAAAATAAAATAAAAAGGCTGGGGAATATGGCTCAGGAAGGAAAGAAGGAAAAAAATCTTTTAGTTGCTGGGGCTATACTCAATGGTAGAGTATGTGTCTAGCATGCTGGGGCCCTAGGTTCAATCCCCAACACCAAATAATAATAACTTTTTAGAAACATGGATTCTCAGGCCCTATCCCAGATTCAAAGTGTATATGTTAGCAAGGTCCCCAGATGATTAGGGTCCACATTAAAGTTTATGAAACTTTTTTTTAAACATTTATTTTTTTAGTTGTAGGTGGACAGAGTACCTTTATTTTATTTTTATGTGGTGCTGAGGATCGAACCCAGTACCTCACACATGCTAGGTGAGCACTCTTCCTCTGAGCCACAACCCCAGCCCAAGTTTATGAAACTGGGTTCATAATGTGAGGCATTGTGTTCAGTTCTCAACACTGCATATAAATAAATAAAGTCTATTGACAACTTAAAAAAAAGTACATTTATTTTTTAAAAAAAAAAGTTTATGAAACTCTTTTCTGAGACACTACTGGGTGGATATCATTTGTAAAACCCAGTATTTATCTATTTATATGTACCTTGTTTCCTTTTTACCAGGCATGTAAGCCAGTTGCCATTCAACTAGATAAGAATAGGGAGGCAGAAAGCCAGGCATCTTAGCTCATGCCTGTAATCCCAGCAGCTAGGGAGGCTGAGGCAGGAAGATAGGGAATCCAAAGCCAGCCTCAAAAACTTGGTGAAGCCCTTACCAACTTGGTGAGACCCTGTCTCAAAAAATAAAAATGGCTGGGAGGTGGCTTAGGGATTAGACCCCTGGTACCAAAAAAAAAAAAAAAAAAAAAAAGGAAGAAGAAGAAGAATAGGGAGATAGCAACTCAGGAGAAATAAGAGTTTAAAAAATAAATTAATTTTTAAAAAACAAGATGAACACAAATCAGTTAGGATGAATAACTTCTGGAGATCTATCATGACTATAGTTAATAATAAGGTATTATGTATAGTCGTGCACCAAATAACCTGTTGGTCAACAGAGGATCACATAAAAGACAGTGGTCCCATAAGATTATCCTGTATAGTGACAAGGTAGCCATCTCAAATTGTATTTATCCATTCTATAATGTTCACATAATTATAAAATTGCCTAATATATTAAATCAGAACATACCCCATTATTAAGGAAGTCATGACTATGATGGAAGACTCTTAAAAGATTTTAAATGTTTCCACCATAAAAAACAACAACAACAAAAAACAGATTACACCATAAAAAAAGAATAAGTGCCGGGTATGGTGGCATACGCCTATAATCCAAACTACTTGGGAGGCTGAGGCAAAAGAATCGCAAGTTCAGGGCCAGCCTGGGAAACTTAGTGAGACCCTGTCTCAAAATAAATAATAAAAGGACTAGGGATGTGGCTCAGTGGTAGAGCATCCCTAGATCAATCCCTAGTACCACAACAAGAACAAAAAAAAAAAGGATGCTATATATGTTAATTAGCTTGATTTAATTAATATGTGTGTATCACACTGAACATTATACATAGTACCATTTCTGTCAATCATACCTTCACAAGGCTGGGGAGGGATGCAGGGCTGAGCTGGAAGGCCCTGAGGCCATGGCGGGGAAGTGTGGAGGTGGACAGCAAATCAGCAGTGAGGTCCAGCATGCAAACAGTAGTGAAACATGATCAATCTCAAGAGTTGGAGAATCTGGCAAATGCAGCACTGCTGAGAGAGAGGCTTCAGAGTGTCCCTTTAAAGAGATCTATGTGAGAGGAGACCTTTATCCCCTGATGAGCACCATAAGGCATTAGCCTGTGCCATTTCTCACAGCTTCCTGCCACCAAGGGTCCAGGGCCAGCAAGCAGTACAAGAAGAGCAGCTGGTTCCAATAACAGGTCTAAGCAGCCCTCTTCATCCACAGATCACTTTTAGACTCTGGGAGGAACACACTACTTAGTTTAGGGCAAACATCTACATTAAGAGTAATCCTCTTTTAAAAGTAAATGGAAGCCACACAGTATCAAGCTAAAAAGGCCGACACAAAAATCATGGGCTGTCGGATTCATTGTATATAAAGTACTAACAAAGTGACCATATGGTGTCAGCGGTTACCCTTGGGGTCAGGAGACCAAAGAAGCGGGTAGAACAGGGCTTCTGGGGTGTTGTTTCATTTCTTGATCTGGGAGCTGGGTACATTCTGTCTGTAGACATTTCATCCAGCTGTGATGTGTGTACTTTTCGGTATGCGTGTTACAGTTCAGTTTATTAGGAAAAAATTCACAGTGGGAGTCAAACAAGCCATATGTATCAAATTACCTTCATGGACACTTTTCAAACTCATGCTTCACTGGCCCCTCCTCATCCAGCTCTTACCACTCCTGACCATTAGAAGTGACATTAGAAGCCACTGATTAGAACCTGGGAGTTGGGTTGTCTAGGAACCTGTTCTGTGAGCCTTAGATAAGGTCATTCATCAGGACACAGCACAAGATCATTTATAATGTCTGACTTGACTACACTGTGAGGATTAAAAGCAATACCAGCAAGTATAAAATATCCGGCCTAATCATTTCAGTCTGCCTTATTTTGGTTGATTTCTGATTCACCAAATTTCTCCCTGCCTAGTTCCAAAGGGATTTAATGACCACTTACAAATATACAAACAGCACTGCAAATGAAGTGACAGGAAAATAAAAGAGCTAAGAGTGGTGCATGTCATCAAATTTCCATTTCAAAGTCAAACTCAGAGATGTAGGGGGTTTGAAGTGGTTGTCCTGCTAAAGTCCCCTGATTTCTGGTGCTAAAACCAAAAAGCCAGTGCCTCAAGGGTCCTTATTAAGGAGCCATTATCAGCTAACATCCATGGAGCTGTATCTCCATGGAACCAACTATATGGGTTGAGGGTAGACCATAGGTCTCACCCAGGGAACAAACAGATTGAGGACACAGGAGACAGTTTGGTTCACTAAAGATATATCACCCTGCTCCCTGCTACCCTGGGACGGGGGGATTGAGAGCAGATGTTGCAGGCAGGCCTCCAAGTCCATTTTCCTGGAGCAGCACATTAGGCATAAATGTGGTTAAGAACCTTCATGTTTGCCAAACATTTTGTGTATGCACCTCTTGTTTTGTTCACTTGGCAACCAGGCGAGGGGTGGGACAGACATCCTCTTGTGGATCTTGAGGAGTCTAATGATGATGAAAATACATGTAACACAACTGTCAGAGTACAGCATGAAAAGAAGCACTCACTGTTTTGCCATGTGTCAAGCTTTGTACTGGAAGCTTTGTGGACATCATGTCATTCACAGCAACCCTGTGAGATAGTCACTTGTGTTATTCCAATTTATAGATGATCAGACTGAAATCAGAGCTTAAATAACATGAGTAGTGAGAGAAAGAAAGTCATCCCACCCTCCCTCAGAGTTGAGCCCGGGAAGGCCCTAAGGACCAGTCCATAGTTCTGCTCAAAAAGTCAAACACAGAGATGTAGGGGGTTTGAAGTGGTTGTCTATCTCAACAATTCTGCTTTTTTTTTTTTTCAGCAAGCTCTTTGAAGATAGGGACCATCTATGATGGACCTTGTCATTCCCTCATTTGTAGGATGGTGTCAGACACTTGGTGAGGCCCTAAATAATTATATGTGGCCTCAGATCAATTAAGTCTTTCTAACAGGTTGAAGTGCCTCCCGGAGTGACAAATTCCTCTTTTCAAGTGACTTCTCAAAATGTTGGACAAGTGACTGTTTATCTGCATGGAAATCATTCCAATGCAACCAGGTAGGCTGGCCTCCTCCCTGGCCACATGGGCCTTGTGGAAAGGGAGGCCATGCTGGGCAGAGGGCAGAAGGGCTTTCTTCAGAAGCCCAGCCTTAGCTCATCACATCCCAAATCCCTTTCTAGCCCAAGGATACGCTTCTTGGTGATCCGTAGCAACACCATTAGCATCGTAAACCAGGTGATTGGGTGGATCTACTTTGTGGCCTGGTCCATCTCCTTCTACCCTCAGGTGATCAAGAACTGGAGGCGGAAGAGGTAACCTTCTAAGTTTTGCCTGAAGGCCTGTGGGGCAGTGAGAAGGGGCATTCCAGTGAGGCTACAGTTGGTGCTGCTTCCCACTCTTCCCTCTGTTCTTCTCTGTCTGCCTTCTCAAGAAGGTTGTCCTGATGGAAAAGTCCTCTGTAAGAGCCTAGGTAGGAGTCCAGTGCTGAGCATTGGTCCTCCCTGTGGAAGCAACAAGATGAGCTTCTCAGCTTTTCTAGAGGAAAAGCCCACTCAAACCTCCAGAGCCCTGGAAGACTGAGGTGTCAAGTCATTCATCCTTCAGTCCAGGGACCAAGCACTCCCACCTGATTTTAAAGACAAAAGTGAAAGCAGGCTTGCTGCATGCACCCCCAGGTGCATCTTCATGCAGCAAGGACACAGCTCTGCTGCAGTCATCCTAGCCATGGGAGCCTCATAGCAGGGAGTCAGTGAGGGCAGAGGTACTTCTGCAGGAGGCCTCCAGGATCCCCTGTGGGAGCCAGGGCTGAAGGAGCAAGTGAAGGAGGAAGGGAATTAGCACCCAAGAGGACAGGGGTTGGGTGGCATTGACTGTGGAATGTTAAAGAACCAAAGAACAGTGCTCTCCTCACACTTCACCTGCTAGGAGCTCTGTCCCCTCCCAGGTCTCACCCTTCCCTTCTGCATCCCTTTGCCCTTGGCAGTGTCATTGGTCTGAGCTTTGATTTTGTGGCCCTAAACCTGATGGGCTTTGTGGCCTACAGCGTGTTCAACATCGGCCTCCTGTGGATACCCTACATCAAGGTATGACACTGCCTGTCCCCCACGACTTGTCCAAGCTTCTTGCTGACTACCTGCCTCTCACCTCCCAGCTTCTCCCCACCCTCAACAGGAACAGTTTTTCATCAAATATCCCAATGGCGTGAACCCTGTGGACAGTAATGACGTCTTCTTCAGCCTGCATGCAGTCACCCTCACCCTGATTGTCATCATGCAGTGCTTCCTGTATGAGGTGAGAGATGAGGCCTGGCAGCCAGGCCCACCAGGAGCTATCCCAGCCAACACCTGTCCCAACCCACCCACATGCCACCTGCCATTCCCACCTGCCACTGGATAGAGATGCAGAATCCTCAGAAAGGAAACATATTCATTCAGCATCTACTTCCCAGGCCTGGATAATGGATCAGCCCCTGTGCCAGGCACAGAGAACACCTAGTGAGATCAAACCCACAGGGCTCCAAAGTCTTTTATGAGGGGCACAGAGAAAAGCAGTGACAAGACATCAGGCTGAGAGCTGTGTGGAACAGGGAGCACAGGAGGCAGAGTAGAGGCCCAAAGCCAGCCAGGGAGGAAAGGGAAGGAGGGTGATGAGGAAATGATTCTTATTGTGGTTCCAGGGTGAATGACGTTCCTGTGTTATTAAAGAGGAAGATGGGGTTGTCATTCCCCATGAAGGGACAGAATTTTGGAGGCTGAGGAGCATTTGAGAGGAAGTATAAGCAGATGGGTGTGACCAGGGCTTAGGGTGCCAGCTGGAGAGCTGGCTCCACAGAGGTTAGGAGGAGCCTAGGATCAGCCTTGTTGGAGGCCCATTGGAGTCTAAGGGTCTCAGCAGGGAAGGGCACAAAAACCCCTGAAGTGACAGCTTTGTTTTCATTTCCCTGTGATGTGTCACCTCCTTTGGTGAGTTCTCTTTACATACTGTTCAGGGCCCACAGAGGGGCTGTGTGGCCCCCATCTTCATGAACCTTCTCAGTTTTTTTATCCTTGGCTGTAAAACTTTGGTGAAGAAGGCCCACTTGGCACCATGTCTGGAGAAAGGCTGGGATCAAGGCAGATTCCAGGAAGAAGGGAATGTCCAAGCAAACCCCACTAGACCTAGGATATTAAAGAGGTTCCATCTGGTCATAGAACAAGTCGAAACCTGGGCTAGGATGAGTTGCTGGGCTTCCGGTATTGGAATTTACATCCTCAACACCCTTCACTCCTTTTGGAATGAACTTAGAGGCCACCCAGCTTTGCAAAGCAGAAACAAAAAGTATATAGAAACGGGAGACTGCAAGGTAAAGTTGGTGCTGGGGATGGGATCTCACAGCCTGGCAGCTTGGGACCTCATCCCAGCCCAAGTGTCAACTTATTCCATGTCCCAGATGGAGCCTGAGGATCCCTGGTATCTTTCCTTCATCCCACCTTTCACTGAACATAGCCTCAGTGTAGGCCTCCCTCACATGGGCTATGCCAATGCCAGGCTTCCATCCCCAGCTCTCCCCTTCAACCCACTCTGCACCCCTCCTTCATGGTCATCCCCTCCTGAGATCCTGCAGCAGCCCCTGTGCCCCTATCTATAGCCCTATCCTCTTTGTCTCATCCTCAGCGAGGCAGCCAGCGTGTGTCACGGCCTGCCATCGGCTTCCTGGTACTCTCGTGGCTCTTCGCCTTCATCACCATGATTGTGGCTGCAGCTGGGGCAACCACATGGCTGCAATTTCTCTTCTGTTTCTCCTACATCAAGCTTGCTGTCACACTGGTCAAGTATTTTCCACAGGTACTCCAGGACTTTGCTACATTATCATATGGCCGGTAGTGTGAGAGGTGAGAGGTCCTAAGCTCAGGCCCTACTCCCAAGGCAGCTTTTGCCAGGGCAAGGAAACTAGGGTGGAAAACCTCAGTGGAAACCAGTGAGCCCTGGGAGGTAGGGAGCCCCAGTGGAAGACATTTAGGAGCATCTGGGACTGCAGAGGTAACAGCAAATATGGACCCTGACTGGGAGAGGACCACCAAAGAGGCCAAGACCTCCCTCCCATGTGGTACCAGTCAAGGAAGCCCAAAGAGCACCACAGGTTTGGAGGAGGGCTATGGAACCTAGGCAGGAGGAAGAAGGGAATGTCCAAGCAAAACCCACAAGACCTAGGATACTAAAGAGGAGCCCCGGAAGCCCAGCATGGCTCAGATGGGAGTTATTTTCACTCTACAGATGGGGAAACTAAGGCAAGGAGAACTCGGTGATTTGCCCAAGGTAACAGCTCTGATGATGGAGCAGGTATTCCAAACCAGGAAGCCAGACTCCCAGCCTGTGTTGTTAAGGCACAGCACAAGTCCATGCTGAATACAGGGACAGCTTCATTAGAGATGGGAAGAAGAATCAGAGTTGCTGGAAAACCAGGATAGGGCTTCATCCATGGGTAGGAGTAGAGAAGGCAGCGGCTGTTCTCCCTCCCTCCCTCCCATGAGTTGGGAGGTGCTGGAGTGAAAGGAAGGACTTCAGTTGCCCTGCCTGCAGATGAAACCCCAGGACCACCCAGACTGTTCTTTTGGCTGAGGCTTGTCAGAGCCTAAAGGTCACCATGTTCCTTGGAGCCAAGGCTTGGGCACAAAAGTGGGATGAATCAGAGCCACCCTTGTTTAGAGTGGCAGACATAAGGCATAGCCATCCAGCCCCCTCACAGCCCTCCATCTGTCTGTGTGACCCAGGCCTACATGAACTTTCACTACAAAAGCACTGCGGGCTGGAGCATTGGCAATGTGCTCCTGGACTTCATAGGGGGCAGCTTCAGCCTCCTCCAGATGTTCCTCCAGTCCTACAATAATGGTGAGTCAGCCAACAGGCTGCCCCCACCCAGTGGGTGTAGACACAGGGTAGGGCCAGGCTTTGGGACCCACTGCCCCCATCCCCAAGCCATAGCTACTCCCAGCAGCCTGGGGATTCCAAGCTCATCCCAGCCTACAAGGACAAACTCACCCAGGGGCTTTGCAGCTAGAGAATTTGCAGTCCTGGGCAAATGTGCCAACTGCCACAGGAACTGCCAACCTAAAACCAGATTCTGTCCCCTTGACTATTAACAGACCAATGGACATTGATCTTCGGAGACCCAACCAAGTTTGGACTTGGCGTCTTCTCCATCTTCTTTGATGTTGTCTTCTTCATTCAGCACTTCTGTTTGTACAGAAAGAGACCAGGGTACGAGCAGCTGACCTAGCACCCAGAGACCTAGCGTAAATGGCCAAGACCCTGGGCCCTGGTGGGTAAGGCTGCACCCAGCAAACACCAGAGAAGAGGTTGGTGTGCAGGGCTGGCTCAGATGTGCTGACAGAGGAGAAGTGCTCTCTTCCTCAGGGCCAGTGCCTTAAACTCAACCAGCCTGACTTCATCCAGTTCTCTCTGGGACAGACACCTGACTCTGCTCCAAGACTGAAAGCTAGACCTCCCAGCCTCCCCAGAAGTCTCAGCCCCTCCCAGGCCTCAAGGGCCAGGCATCTGGCCCTCCTGCATCGTGATGCTCCATCTTTTTTCTTTAAGGCTTCAGGCAGCACACACAGGTCCTGACAGCCATCTCAGGTGGAACTGGGTGCAGAACTTGCAGCTGAAGGCCTTTCCCCAAACAACCAATGTTTCTGGGAGCACCTCGAAGGGCTGACCTTGCAGCCAGGAGAGCCAAGGGCACTTTGCTGCCACTGCTGTGTTCCTAGAGACCAAGTAGCCGGGTGCTGTGACCAGTGGACTCAAAGGTGCTGGTGCTGGTGGCGGAGGGGCAAGGATTTGGGGGTTAGGCCTTGGGGTCCTTTGTCTGAAGGTTCCCAAGACTCTCATTCTACATAACTCAGATTCCACAACAGCAGTACAGATGGCCCCGGCCAGGGCCTGGTGAAGAGGATTTCTGAACCTTGAGATGCCTGCCAGATCGATTCTGAAGTGAACTGATGCCCAATGCCCTCTGGAACTTTATCATACAAAGTCAGATACCACACTAACTCCATTCAGGTTTTTGAAGGGATGTTATGGAAGTGGCATACTTTCTTTTGTCTTTTCTCCTACCTCCACTTTTTGAGTCAGATGGAGTCCATCTGAACCCACAGTGCTCCTAACCCAGCACCTGTACAACAGGACACACTCTACCAGCCTGTGCCTTAGAGGCCTGTCAGACCTACCAAGTGGTAAGCATATTTCCCCCAAGGGGAGGGCAGGCCCCCTTCTCTTTTCCCAGGCCCCTGAGACCTCCAATTTGGGGGCTTCAAAGTAATTGATACTATCTCACACAATGCTTGTGGGCATAATCTTAATCTCAAACCTCCTTCCCTCCCACCCCAACCTATTGTCCTTCCTAGGGCAGGAAGAGAGGGTCCCAGGATGTGCCTTGAGTTCGCTGGCCCACACATTTTTTACTACAAGGCCAATGTAAGCGGCCTATATCCTTTTTGTTTTCATGGTGCTTGTATCCTTAATTAAAACCTGGCTTGTTTCTTTCTGCACACTCCAGGCATTTGCTAGATGCAGAAGGCTGCTCTGTTGGCCTTTAGAGCTAAGCCCTGGGGGCTTAGGGAGTTAGCCTTACTGACCTCCTGGTAAAGAAATATGTAGGGCCTAGGAGATCACTGATCTGAGGTGGCTGTGTACTGACCCTGCGCTTCATTGGGTATGCCCTCATGGGGGTATGCCCACTCAGGGCCAGGTAGGTATGTCTTATGGGTCTCATATGCCATTACTAAGGTACACCAGCATGTGCAAGCTGCAGATGTGGGCAAGGGTTTGTTAGAGGTTTTTAAGGGCATGACTTCACTGGAATCAGGGAAGTAAAGGTCTTATTTTCCAGATTATTCTATCCAGCTGTAAGGAATTTAAGGTCTTGTTTCCCTAGAGCAGAGAATGCAGCGCAACCAAACCTATAGACCGGTTTTATTTAGGCCACCCAGAGATTTTTATAAAATATGTCCTTGGGTATTGCACTTTAAAAATAGGAGATTTCAAATTCTGGACTTTCCTTCACAAATCTGATTTGGCAATGTAAGGTGGATCCAGAAGTGGCAGCACCTTCTCAGAGCTAGTAGGCAGAGGACTAGACACTCACTGCTTACTACCTAGCTACTCTCGACTTGTGGGAACATCCAGGGTTATGTCCCTGGCTGTGGATCAAAACTGTCTAGAGTCTCAGGGGCAGATGCTTTTCCCATGAACCCTAGAGTGCCCATGAGGCCCCTCTCAGGTGGGAACTGAAGGTAGGTTACACTGAAGTACCCCCAACTTCCTTTATGTAACCTAGCTTCACAGTGACACCCCAGGTTCCTCACCTTAATTGCAGTGAAGGTATACCCAGACATAGATGTGGCCTTTGCCACATACAGGGTGTTTCCACTGAGGCTCCACCACCCACCACGGTACTAGAGCTGGGACCAGGGCTTCCCCTGTGCCAGGAAGCACTTTACCACTATAACTTCAGCCCTCACTAAAGCTTCTAAGGCAACACCAGCCACACACTTTCCCGGGCAGGTGGGCCTAAAAAGAGTTGGGCTTTGTCCCAGAACAGTGGGAGACATGTTAGCCATCCTTAAAACCAAAGCACTTGTCCCATTCCACTCCATGTCTCAGCAAGGATCCCTCATGAATTCCAGCGATCTTTATTGGACATGAGATGTTGGGAGTGGGGCAGCATCATACTGCCCCATTTCCTTGGTAACCAAAGTAAGGCTGGTCACATGCTAAGAGTAGTTGCTCCCACATGTGAATTAGTAAGCTAAACTCAAAACTAGAACTGGCATCTCCAAATAGTAAGGTAAAAACACTGTGTATCAAAGTTGTGAGTAAAAAAATACAAAAGGTAAAACCACAGGCATAGAGAAAAATGGCAATCCTGAGAGCTGCCCTGAAATGTCAGTTTGAACCTCAGCTAAATCCTGTAAGTAGGCAAACCCTGGGGAGGCCAGCACCCCTCAGGGAAGTGAGGGTGCATGGGAGGCTACCAGCTGCCATCCAGATGAACCTTCTTAGTGCCTCCAGGCGTGTGGGGGGTCTAGCCCCCCACTGGGCAATGTCGGGGTGGACAGCATGTGGCTTGGGCACTGTGGAAGTGACATAGGAAGGCAGGGCCAAGCCCTGCAGCCGGGGCAAATGAGGGAAAGCCAGCCCCGAGTGGCATTTCCCAGCTTTGGCAGCTCTCAGAAAGTGGTGTTTTCTGCTCACCCAGGCACTGCTGAAGCAGCAGTGGGTTGAGCTTTGGTCATTGCAGACTGGCTTCATTCAGCTCCAGGCCCTTATTTCCAATCCTCAGTATCCCAGAGACAGAACTGGTCCCAGAGCCTCGGGCTAGAGTGGGAGGGGAAACAGGACTGGCTCAGGCCTCTGGGATCAGCTGTCACCCTTCTGAGCTGGAACCCAGCATGCAGCAGAAGCCAGGATGGAGGAGCAGAGAGCGTGGAAGTGGTGTCGCTGTACAAATAGGCAGGTAGGCACAAGGTAAGGATCACAGGTGGGCTGCTAGGACAGCATGGACTGCTGCACGGCCTTCTGCAGCGACTGCCGCGTCACCAGCAGGCGCACCACCTCCTCTGAGCGCTTGGTGAGCCGTTTCCGGGCCTGGTCATGTGTGACCATGGTCATGTCCCAGCCATTCACCTGATCCAGGAAGAGAAAACAGCCCACCTCAGTTCCTTGCTTCCAGGATCAGCAAGCAGAAAACTATTGGCGTACCCAGGCCACCCAAGCAGGCCCCCAGACCAAAATCTCCAAACATGGAGATGTCAAGCACTAGAACTGAGTTCAAAGAAGAGCCTTTTGTCTGTGGGCCATACCAGCATGACTTCCAGTTGGCTTCGGTAAGTCCCTCTCTGCAGGAAGGTTGGGCCAATCTCTCCCAACCCCATGTGCTTCAGCCCCCTTGGTCCAAACCTTAATCTCTCCTCCTCTGGGTCACTTGTTACCTGCATGATTTTGTCTCCAATCTGCAGCCCAGCAATTTCAGCAGGACCTCCTTCAGACACACGTGTGACATAAATGCCCTGAAAGAGGGAGCCCAGGTCAAGACCTGTGGTCACTGGACTTGCCCCTTATCCACAAGGCAGAGCCTAACATAACATACTCCCAGCCACTCCTCTCCCTGGGCCCAGCCTGCCCCCAGCACATTCCACCAGTATAGACTGTGCTAGGACAGCCAGGGGGAAAGCATGGCTACCCAGAGATGTTCCAGCTCTGCTGATGACTACCTCCTCTACTTTTCCTGGGCTGTCTAAGCAGGCCTTCCGAGGGCTCAGAGGCCCACTCCCCATCCCAACCCTTCCTTTTCTCACCATATTATATCTTGACCTCTTGACCTCTATCAGGATTGTCCCAGAAAAAGATCTGCTCCTTCCATACAGGCCCAGGAAGCAGAGACCCACCATCTCAGGCCTCTATGCCCCATAGAAAGGTCACAGGACCTAGTTCCCTCTCACCTTGTCTGTCTTATCTTCTGAGAAGGGATTTTGAGAGGGATCCTGGTCAATTCCACCTCCAATGCTGAAGCCCAAGATTAAGTTCTCACCTTGACGCAGCTTGTGAATTTCAACTCTTTGCTGGCAAAGGAAAAAAAAAAAAGCATGATGGGGTGAGTGGAGAATGAATCTTGTCTGAGTCCTAAGCAGAAGCCTCAGGCTGCTGGGTCACCTCAGAGCTATGCCAAGGGGTGTGGCCCAATAGGGCTGGGCTGCAGATTGGAGATAAGATCATGGGGCCAATAGGAATCTAGTTCAATAGGAATCTAGTTGGTCCCCAGCCTGGGAGGCTGGGAGTTGGGACTTAAAACTTGGCAACATGGACCCACCCACACAGCTCTCTGCCCTGTCTTCCCCCTACTTCCCCAGCTTTGGTCACCATGTGTTCTAAACCCGTTCTGGCCCAAGAGTCAAGGGTGCTGTGGCTGCCATGGAAGAGAGGTCCAGTTTCCCAGGGAGGGGACCCACAGGGCAGGAGGGTCAGGCACAATGCAGGTACAATAAGGCAGCTCAGATTGCTGAGCCAGCACTGTCAAAGGCAAGACACTTAGGTGCTCAGGAAAAGTAGAGAAGATCAAACTTGCACCAAAGGGAAAGGGCTTCCTTCCTGGCCAAGGGAAGCAGAGCAACACCTTGAAGGTCTGTGAGACCAAAGAGGATGAAGATGTGGAACTGTGAGGTAAGATGAGCCTACAGCCGGATCAGGACAGCTGTGAGATGCAGACCCCTACGACTATTCCTAGATGGGAGAGGGGGGTCCCCCTGAAGCCCCAGATCTTGCTCTTGTGCAGGGTTGAGGACAGTATTCTAGCCCCACCACCACCACCATACTCAGCTCCCCACCTTTCAGAGCCCTAAACAGGTACCTTCCATTCACTAGATCCTGAGGACAAAGATTAATCAAAAGTGGAAAGTTCTGGGGAATTTTTTGTTTGTTTTGGTACCCGGGAGTGAATTCAGGGGCACTTGACCACTGAGCCACATCCCCAGCCCTATTTTGTATTTTATTTAGAGACAGGGTCTTACTGAGTTGCTTAGCGCCTCACTTTTGCTGAGGCTGGTTTTGAACTCGTGATCCTCCTGTCTCAGCCTCCTAAAACGCTGGGATTACAGGCATGCACCACTGCGCCCAGCCCCAAGGTGTAAAGTTTTAACAGGAAGAACTGGGGAAAAACAGCAAATGGCAACTGTATCTGGACCTGGAGAGGCTTCACAAAGAAGGGATCATTTGTACCAGGCCTTAAGGAGGTGATGAGCATTGTGGCCATCTAACCGTGAACCCACTGGAGCACAGAGAATTTAGGGAATAGGGCAAGGCATGATCACATTTGATGCTAGAATGGCCACTTAGGTCATAAGTAGGAGAATGAATGTGTTGTGTGAAGTGGGTGGAGTGGGCATAGAGGCCAGAGGACATGAGCTACTTGGAAACTGAAATCCATAGACTTGATGACTGTTAATCAGGGAGAGGAGTTGAGCATCTAGCCATCTAATCTGGCTGAACACAACTATCATTTCAGATGGGGATCTAGGAGGAGAAGATAAACTTTGAGTGCCAGAAGCCACCCACACAGGTGTCCAGAAGACAGGGCTGTGAAGCCTTTGCTCCACATGGACAGAGAAGGGACCAAAATGGCTGTAATTCTCAAACCTATATGGGGGAGGGCAGGACTGGGGGAAAAGCTTCCAGAATCCTTTCCCAATCCAAGACATAGCCAGAGAGGTTAAACCCCATCCACCATGTTCAGGCATGCTCCTGATGTTAGAAGAATTGGACAGTTGTGGTCCTACACTTTGAGGAAGAACCTAGAACCAGGCATGACGTGAGGGGAAAGGAGCAGGAAACACTATCCCTAAGGCACATTTACCTGGATCCTCAAGCCTAAAAGTGTGAGCTCCTCCAACCCACCCCCAAGGTCAGAAAAGAAACAGAAACCTGTCACTGACTTGCTGGGAGAAGTCAAGCAGTTAAGGTGGCTCTCTGGCTCCTCACTTGTGTTCCCTGTTTTCCAGCTAAGAAGCAAACCTGGAACCCTCTTTCTGGGGAAACTAGGGATCTGGAAAAGTCAAGCTGGTGCAGGGTGAAACTAGGACAGCGGTAAGCTGATCCTGCAGTCCAGGCTTGAGTTGCTGCTCCAAGTTCACCCTCACATGCTATCTTGTGGCTCCTCTGCCCCACCCTCCTGACTACAGAAGCTCTCCAGCACACCCATCTGAGATACCACCTCCAGTCCCTATGACTCCAAGGCTGGAACTTTTACTTAACTCCTTGCCTGCCGGGAAGGCATTTCTTCCCATTTTCTGAAACCTCTGGGAAGAAGGGTGGGAGGGCTTCCTTTATGGCCAGGCACGACCAGACTTCTCTCTAGGATTCAATTTCCCCACCTCTACCAGGGAGTTGGCTTCCAGGATCCAGTCAGCCGGGAAGCTTGTGCCCAGGTCTAGCGTCCCAACCTTCCTTTCTCCTTCTGCCTATTCTAAATGCACCCAGCATCCAAGACAAGGCAAGGAGGTAGCCAGAGGCCTGGGCTGAGTCCAAAGGGTGGTCTCAGGCCTCCAGTTTCAGGTGAAGGACCTGAACTTTGCCCCAAGGGCTGAGGATCCAGGGAAAGCTGAGAGAAGGATCAAGCCTGTTGTATGAGTTTCCGCTCTGGACAGGGCGGCGGGTGGGTCCCAGAAGCGAGGCTGGATGGGAAGGGGTAAGGGGGCTGCTACAGGAGGCTCTGTCCAGCCCCACCCACCAAATCTCCCTCCCAGGGGAGGCAACCGCGGAGCCAGCTGGAGCAGAGGAAGCGCTTCCTCATTCCAGAGGCTGCGACTCACGAACGTCGGAGCCGGCGCCCACCCCCCCATGGCTGCCCAGCTGGGGACAAGGAGGCCCGGGAAAGGGTTTTGGTTTGGGTTTTTGGGTTTTTTTCCTCCAGACTCCGTTGGGCGAGGTCTTTCTACTACTAGGTTCTCTCCACCCCGGCCGGCTGAAAGGAGTCCGCCAGACGGCGGCGATGCACAAGATTTGACCTCTACCTAGGTTTTCGGGAGGCTCGAGTTCCAGTCATGTTTCTTTGCCATGGGAGGTTGCAGCACCGCTCCGGCCGGCAAAGCGAGGGCCGGAGCTCTGGCCCCCCTATTTGCAGGAGCCCCCGGTTCAATGCTTTGTCAACCTGTTTGGGTGTCAGTTTATCGCTCGAAAAAATGAGGTCAGACCAAGCTGAGGAACCCGCGCGAGCGCACTCACCACCACGGCGGTGACCGGCTGGCCCGGGATGTAAGACATCTCGACCCGATCTAGCAACGAAGTACAGCTGAGAGAAGCCCGCAGTGAGAATGCCAGCGGCCGCGCCCTCTCTGGTTAACAAAGGCAGCCCTACTTGGTCCGCCCCCTCATGAATTGTTAAGAAACCTCCAGCCAATTACCGGCCCGAGCGCTGTTCGGCTGTCGGAAGTCCCGGTGCGTACGTAGAGAAGCGGAGAGAGGGCGGAGCGTGGCCGAGGCGCAGGCGCAGGAGGGCGGGCGAGCTGTGTGCGCATGCGCAGCCTGAGCCATCCCAGTAGCCTCCAGCACAAGATGGCGCCGCGGGAATCTCTACCTCGACCTGTGTGAGGGAACGCTAAGTAACGCCGCCGTGTTTCAGGTAATTGCGAAACCCTGGCCGGGGGATGCAGAAGGGCTACCGGCCAGAGCCCTTAGTCTTCTCGGCGTCTTTTGAAGGTCCGAAACTCACGAGTGATGCCGGGTCTCGGAAGCCCCGGGGTAGGGGGTGGTGTGAACCCAACTTGCCAAGCTTCAGGCGCCACTAGTAACTTGGTTTTCTCCGCAGCTCTGCCTTGTTCCTCAAGAAAGCAGAGGCTGAGCCCCGGCGGGTGCGATGGCCGCGGTGGTGGCCAAGCGGGAAGGGCCGCCGTTCATCAGCGAGGCAGCCGTGCGGGGCAACGCGGCCGTCCTGGATTACTGCCGGACCTCGGTGTCAGCGCTGTCGGGGGCCACTGCCGGCATCCTCGGCCTCACCGGCCTCTACGGCTTCATCTTCTACTTGCTTGCCTCCATCCTGCTCTCCCTGCTCCTGATCCTCAAGGCGGGAAGGAGGTGGAACAAATATTTTAAATCACGAAGACCTCTCTTCACAGGAGGCCTTATCGGAGGCCTCTTCACCTACGTCCTGTTCTGGACATTCCTCTATGGCATGGTGCACGTCTACTGAAATGAGGGCAGGGGTGCCTTTTTTAAAACATCAGATTGGAAGACTGTTGCCAGAAATTAACACCGTGTAGACTTACTTAGTTTTTAAATTGTTGAATTCGCTGCTTGTTCTGTAACGTTATAAATAATTTATATCTGAAGACAGAGAGCCTGTAATATTCTTCAGATTAAATGAAGTGTGAGACACTTTGTGAAGTTCTTTCTTGTCTTAATGTATAGTTTACCAGTGGTGCAAAGTCGCCAAGATTTGACTTCTGGAGAGCAGGCCTTGGGCCATAGTCTGTAATTTCCCTGCTTACATGTAGGCATTTCAGACAGGGGCTACTAGGGCTACTTACTGTTAACATCCTGAAAACGGATAACAGTGTATTTATTATTTCCTTACATGCCAGGCATTGTGCCTTGTACTTTTTATGAACTTTATTTCATTTAATTCTAGCAATAACATGGAAGTGTTACTGTTAATCCTGTTAATGAAAAATAGGCTCAAAGAGGTTAAATACCTCTGCCAGTGGAGACTCAGCTAGGAAGAGGCAGAGCCAGGATTCAGATGCAGTTCTCTTAATTTGCTTTTGCAGAATTGGATGAGCATTGAGTATATTTTTTTCACAGCCCAGTATTCCCTCCAACTAGCCACTCTTTCCAGATATGAATGGAGTCATGTCAGTTCAATTTCACCTAGTCACAGCTAGTTGTCTTTCCCATAAGAAAAAATAAATTCATGCATTTTTTAAAAGAATACGTCTTGTGAGGATTAAACAGATTGGACTGCCAGCTAAACTCTGGGGTTGTTGAGGGTGTAAACGCCTCTGCCTATGTGCTAATCCATTATTCATTCTTTTTAGGAGAATTTTGAAATATATGTCTAATTGAGAAATAAATATTGCAGTGGAGTTTTAGTAATGGATATGTTGCTTGTGGAATTTATAGTCTAATTAAGGAAATTAGCATTACCTAATTTCACAGATTAAGTTAGGTAAGTGCTATGAAGAAAATAGATAGAATCCCCAAACCTAGCCCAGGTTGGGACTGATCAAGGAAGCCTTCTTTAAAGGAATAACCTTACATCTGAGACCTGGAGGTTGAATGTCAAAAGGGAGGGAGGTTGCTTTTACAGAAAAGAGTCCTGGGTAGACAGGAAAGTATGACCTAACTCTGGAGAGGAAAAGAAAAGGTCCTGAGGTAGACCTGGAACAGATCCTGGAGCTCCTTAGTGGGCAGTTTGCCTGATCATAAGAGTAACTGTGGAGAAGGCTTAAGCTTTAGTAATGATGTGATCAGATTTGGGTTGTTTTTTTTTTAAAGATCAGTTTGAGACCAGAAGAGGATCCAAGAGCTTGAATCCAAGACCTCTTCTATAGACCATAAGTGGCCCATGGCCAATAATGGAAATGAATCTAGGACTCATACCTGAACTCCATCTCGGGTTCCAGATCACTTACTTGTGCCCCAAGCCAAAAAATTGAGCTACAGCTTTGCTTCTCTCTTCCAGTGAGCCCTCTCTCTGCCCATCACTGAGAACCCTCACACTCATGGTTTGTATAGCCCAGTCCTCTCAGGCTTCTCTGAATGAGAAGGGAGGGTTTATTCCTAATGTAAAGTAAGGAGGAAGCAGAGGGGTCCTGCTGTTGGAGGAAAAGAGAAGGGATGAGGGATCTGTAGGCTGATTTACTTAACCATTTCCCTACTGTTGGGCAGTAAGTTTGTTGGAAGTGTTCACTATTAAAAGAAATATTGCAATGAATTTCTTCACATTTAAGTGATTTGGGGGGAATTTAAGCTCCTAGGATAGAAGATAACTTGATTCCAAATGCTTTCCAGAGTTTTATCAAATTAATAAAAAGTACCAGTTTTATCAGTGCCTTCCTAGTCTTTTAATGTTTATTCTTTTAAAGAATTGCCAAACTTTCGTTTGAGTTTCTTTGCAAGATAACAAGGAGCATAATGTATTGCTTACTAACTTGTTTCTTGTATCTGCCTCTTAATCTCGCCTTCTCCTTACATTTTCCCCTAAAACATGGGTAATCATGAAGATATGAAGGGAAAAAGAATCAGGACATGTTTAAAATTGATACTTTTTATTGTTTGAGAACCAAATAAAAGTGTCAAAAATACATATATTGGGCAGGTCCCAGAAGGTGCTTACCACCTTGCCCCCTTTAACACTGTCCAGCCTAAAGGGAAACAGCTGGCAGTACAGAATAGTCTTTCGGAGAAAAAGCGTTCTTGGATGCAGTGAAGAGTTTCCTCTGAGGAAACTCATATCGCTTGGGAGGTAGTGGATTGGAAATGGGTGGAGCCCTTTTCCATACACTCAAGATGTCATTCCAAGTAGGGTGATTTTAAGAACTCTACAGGGCATAGTAGTCGATCCCTGAGGTGCTCAGAGATACCTAGAAAAAGTAACATTCTCCCTTTACAACTGATTCCCCCACTGAGAACAGAAGAACTGATGAGGGTGGGTGGGGGTAAAAAGGCAACCATGACTGTTCAGTGTTAATGACCCCCAGCATCAAGAATGGAGGAACTTCGACCTTTCGTGGCTGATTCCCATGATGTCACTATTAATAGCACCCAGTGTGTAACTAGTATGGCGCTCCCAAAGGCATGGGATGATAATAATTGTTAGGAAAATAGTTGATGAGCAAGTTTAAGCTAGGACCTAGAATATCAGAATAGGAAGGAGCTCTCTTGGACCAGAGATATAGCTCAGTGGTAGAGTGTGTGCTTAGCAGGTACAAGGGCACTGGGTTCCAACGCCAAAAAAAAAAAAAGAAAGAAGGTCTTAGAGCTTGAACTCTCATTTTTCCAATGAGGCAACCAGTGCCTAGAGAGAAAGGGATTTTCTCAAAAGTTTGGAAGGAGCTCAACTTCCTACTTCATTTCTCTCCATTTAAAAGCACATTTCTGTAAGATTAATGAGCCGCCAACTCTTACACCAAGATTATGCAGAATGTGGCAAGCCAGAGTCTGTAAAAAGCAAGGCAAATCTGGCAGGAATGTACAGTGATGTCCAGAAGCTGTAATGGGCTCCCTGGTCTTTCTGAGTATGGGCCCCCTGACGTGTAGCCATTGAGGCCGCCTGGACAGCTTTGTTGGCCTCTAAGAAACAATTAGGTTGAATTAGTCCTTTTAAGGCAATAAAGTGTAATGGGGCAATCCTTAGAGGTAAAGAAAACCAATTTGGGCTGGGGATGTAGCTCAGTGGTAGAAGACTCACCTAGAGTTCAAATAGGTCCTGGGTTTGGTCTCCAGTACCACCAAAGAAAAAAATCTGCCGGGCGTGATGGCGGCTCGTTTGTAATCCCAGCAGCTTGGGAGGCTGAGGCAGGAAGATCAAGTTCCAGCCTCAGGAATTTAGCAAGGCCCTAAGCAACCTTGTTTCTAAATAAAATACAAAAGAAGGGCTGGGGATGTGGCTCAGTGGTTAAGTGCTCCTGGGCTCAATCCCCGGTGCCTCCCACCCTCCAAAAAATTAAGGCCAACAACAGGAAAGCCTCACAAAACCCTGTGCAGCTGCACTGCCTTCACGCATATCCTCAGTTGGCTTCTTCCTACGTATGTGGTTCCGCTTCCTTCCTCACCCAGTCAGCCGCTCCTAACCTTTCAGGTCTCAAATAATATGTCAAAATTCCTTGGAGAAACTTTCTGACTACTACTGGTTAAAAACCCTCCAAGCACTCTGAGTCTGTGACTATAGGTGTGACCCCTTGGCTAAGGTGGTCCAGCTCCCACCAGCCAGGAAGGACACGATGGCAGGGACCCTATACATTGAACACAACTGTATCTCCATCATTTACTCCAACACCTTACACATAATAAGGACCCTGTAAATATTTACTGACTGAATGACTGTAGGCAGGCATTTATACTCCAATATAAAATAGTATCATTGTCCTCAGGTTATTTGACTGTGACAACACCATTTCAAAATCAGGTTAAAAGGAACCAGATCTATCGCTAAGCAGCCACAAGTCCTGCCCCTCTTACCTCCTCCCAACCATAAAAGTAACATGCTAGATTATAAAACCCAAGGGTTTGCTTTAGTGAGGAAGTAAAACACTTAAATAGATCACCTAAATTTTCCACTTTCTATTCAGAGTGCCGGTTCACTCATTGACAGGTCCCCAGACAACCCAAGGTGAGGGAGCTGCTTGCTTTATAAGGAGTCCTGTTCTGGGCACCATGCTCCACCGCCCCAGTGGCAGTAACCTCCTACTGGATGCCTTGAGACTATTTGTCCCCAAAGGCTCCAGTGGAAGGAGGCTTGCTGCCCCCTTGTGTACAAAGACCAAATCCCCTTCCAAAGAGGATGTTCCCTGGTATGCTTCCTGGATGCTATCGGGTTCACCCAGCCATTCCTCTGATGCCATGGGATACGGAAAAGAGCTAGCCAGCCCCCAAGCCAAATATTTAAGCACATTTCATGTCCATCTCTGACACAGGAGCATCTGCCTTACAGGAAAAGATCATTTCCTGAGTTAGTGCATAAGTAACCATGTGAACATGGATTCTTAGCAGAATAAGGAAGTCTTCTGGAATTGGTAATTGCCGCCAGAGAATGTGTGAAAAGAACTTTTTACTACTCCTTTTTGTTTGGGGGGTGGTGGTGCATACTGGGGATTGAACCCAGGAGTACTCTACTACTGAGTCACTTTCCCAGCCCTTTAGACTTTTATTTTGAGACATGGTCTTGCTGAGCTTACCTAAAAGCCCTTGCAGTTGGCTTCTCCCCTTAAGGGCCAGCTGCCTCCCAACTGGTCCAGTCCTTTCCTTTAAATTATATCCCATGGAGTAAGACCAAGTGTCCCCCTGGATGTTATCCAAAGGCTTTTTCCTTTGGATAAAAGGAGAAAGCCTTTGGATAACATCAATCTCTACAGGGACTTGTGAGTAGAGGCCTCCCTGCCTTCCCAGGCTGATCTCAAACTTCCGATCCTCTTGCCTCAGTCTCCCGAATCACTAGAATTATAGGCATGTTTGAATCATAGAAATATTACCTAGTCAAGATATTTTAATTCAAACAAATTGAGCATAATGCTGCTTTCAGGCTGGAGGTGTGAGTGGGAGAGGTATCCCGGTCTCAGGAGGTATGTCTAGAAACTAGCTCCTTCCAGCCAAGCTGGCCTTCTCTCCCCTCACAATCAGGGTTTCTCAGGCAATAATAATATGCTTGCAAATCACCTAAGGGGAAATATGGGTTCTGAATTGGTAGGACAAGGGAGGGGGCTGAGACTCTGCATTTCTAACAGGCCCCCTAGTGATGCTGGTCCACAGACCCCACTTTGGGGGTGGGGAAGTGAGGGCCTCCCTAACAACTTGACACCTGCTAAAAGATAATCCTTTACCTGGTTAGCACTTAAGGAGGGGAAGCTAGCAGGGACATCCAGCCCCACACAACAGCAAGAGCCAAATCACACAGGCAAAAGCATCTCACATCTGGGCAGGTCACTATTCTTGGGGAGGTGTGAGTGGGAGACATGGTCTTGCTGAGCTTACCTAAAAGAATGGAGTAGAGTTCTCCCCGCCTTCTCTTTCCCATCTTACCTTAAAGCCCTTGCAATTGGCTTCTCCCTTTATGGGCCAGCGGCCTTCCAACTGGTCCAGTCCTTTCCTATTGCCTCTTTGGCCACCTTTAAATTTTATCCTATGGGTAAGACCAAGTGTTCCCCTGGATGTTATCTAAAGGCTTTCTCTGAGCAATTGTCATTCTCTACAGGGATCTGTGAACTTATCAGCTAGAGGCGGGAAGGCAGCCAGAGTAGCTGGGCAGTAATGTCTCTGTTGGCTTGAAGGTCATTATATGTGTGTCTACCCCATTTCTGAAGACCAGGTCAGTATCTCATTTAAGCATCTCTTATATAGGGCCAAGCACACAGCATGCATCAATAAGTATTTACTGCATGCATGGATGGATGAATATGAATGTCCAGTCAGGTTCTCAGGAAAAATTAAAATAATCTAGTATCACTCAGGCTCCTGGCCTGCCCTGTTCCCTGGGCGCCTGCCCCAGGGCCTCCTCTTCTGGATCTGAGCCAGTCAGGCTGCCAAGACTCCCCTCCATACAACATAAGGCTTGTAGCAGGATCTCAGTCAGGGGAGATGGCTGTTCCTGGAAGCCCCTATCCCTTGCAGACACATGCACATCTCTTCTCAGTTCAGAGCTGTGGGTGGTTCTGGCCCCAACATCCTCAAGACTCCTCTAGGCCACCAGCTCTAGCTATGTCTCCACTGTCTGCAGGTTCTGCAGCTGCTCAGCATTCACCTCTACATTCTTCAGAAGGCCAGACCTGTGGGCAAGAGGGTGGGAGAGGGGCATACAGAAGGCAGAGAAGACTGTCAGGAACTCTGTGGATGGGTCACCTCCCTAAAGGCAGCCACATGCAGCAGCCTCCACCTTCCACTGACAGCACTGCAGGCAGTCAGAGCATGTGGAGAAAGGAGAAATCTGTCCAGGTTCCTGGCTGCACCCCAAACACATGGGGATGCTCAAGCTGAGTCCTCAGGAACCGCCAAGCACTGAGAAGCAGCATCTGTGGTGGCAGCCGGAGCGTAGGCCCATGAGCATGGAGCCTCCCACAGCAACAGGCAGGCTGGGCCAAGACAAGCAAGGCGGCCACTCTCTCCCCCTGCAGGGTAAGGCATTTAGGCAGGCGCCCAGGAAGTGATGGTCAGCTCAGGGAGCACATAAAGGGCTGCTGGGCTCAGACCTACCCCACCCAGGTCCTTAGACTCTATGCCACTGACCCCACTGCTGCAGACCCTAGCCTCCACCTTTCTCTCCTCACTCTGCTCCATCCCAGACTATTTCTCTGGCTCTTTTCCAGACAAGCCCAAGCTCCCATTTGTAAGCTGCCAAATCCTGAGTCTGCAAGGAAAGAAAGCTGGGATTGGAGGAAAGGCCATCCCAAGACTGGGAACATCCCAGCCTGACCAAGTAGGAGAGGGCTCTGGGTCCAACCCCTACTGAGAGGGAAAAAAGAAAAAGAAAATAAGGCCCAAGACACCACAGGGCATAATCAGAGCACGCCTAAACTCAGGTCACCTGACTCAGACTAGAGCTCCAGCCCCACAATCTGCAGAAGAAAAAGCAGGCTGACCAGGACTTCCAGGCAGTGCCCAGGGGAAGGGCAGCTCCAGAATGTCTACATAGAAGAGGGACACAGGGGAATGATCTGATGGGAGATGGGGGGATGAGGGTCTTTATAGACAAGGTAACCCACTAGAGAACTAGATCCTAGAGATACAAGATCCCAGAGCTGCCGAGATTCAAATTCCAGCTCTGCCACTTATTAGTTGTGGAACTTGAAGAAATTATTTAACCTTTTTTGTGCCTCAGTTTCCTCATTAACAAAGTAAGGCATATCAGTGTCCACCTCATTAAGATGCTTAAATGAATTAACATATACAAATGGCCCAGGGCAGCACAAGGAAGGGAAAGGCGCTGGGTGAATAGGGGTACTCTTGCTGCTTTAATGCTAGGGCAGCAGAGCAAGATGTTTGGTTTGCACGTGGATCCAGGGGGATTGGGGCGCTAATGGAGGCTCATGGGGGCCTACAGAACCACCAGCAACCCCTCTCTCCCAAGTCCAGCTGGGAGGGACCTTGCGAGTCCTGGACATCCTGCCGGGTGTCCAGGCCAACCTGGAGCGCGTGTCCTAGCGGCCCCCCTCTGCAAGACTCGATCTTCAGCCGGCTCTGCCCAGCAGCGCCTCACCTGGCAAGCTCGGGGAAATGCGAGCACACACTGCCATTTCCCTTCCAGCGGCTACGGTTGGGCAGCACCTGGGGCTGCTCCTCCAGCAGCTCCTCCTCCGGCTGCCCTGGCTGCGCCACCACGGCCTCGGTCTCCAGCGCACTGCCCTCTCGACCCTGCCCTGTACGCGCCTCCCCAGACATAGGCGGAGAGGGCCGAGAAAGGCAGCTGCCCTCGTTCCTCCAGCAGCACGGTCTGCGGCCAGGTCGGGCTCCTCGCTGCTGGGCTGGGTTCAAGCTGCGGCTGGAGTTCAATCGAGGCAAACCACACCACTCAGGCAGATCCTGCGCCCGCCGTCCTGGATGTGCGGGGCGGAGGGAGCTCCGAGGTGCCCGTCCCAGTTCCTCATTCTGATCCCAGCCTCTCCAGAAAGCCTTTCCCAAGACAAGGGCTATCCCTTCTTACCTGCAGCCTCCACCCCCATCACGATTCCCCCTCACACTGGCTTCTGCAAACACACCCACACACATACACACACACAAACACACTCACACACAAGCCAGTGGTCTAAGAGAACTGGAAAGAAGCCCCTGCAGATTTCCTTACCACCCAGATTCCCAGCCCACTAGAACCTTCAAGCCCCCCAAATCCCAAAATACTAGTGATATGTAAACCAACTCTCATCTTTGCAGATAGAAAAACCATCTGAGACTCGTCCAAAATCATAGGAAGAGGCTGTAAACCTGCCCACCCTGCCAGTAGCCTGGGAAGGCCTCTTCTTTCCCTGGGCTGCTCTGAAGCAGAATCCAGTTCTATGGAGCAGGTATATTTGAAAGACCCCACATTCCCCATGCCTTTTGGCCCCTGCCTCCACACCCCAAACCCAGTAGCCAACCAGGCAAAGGCTCTAAGTCAGTGGGGCCCATGGGGCCCACTGGCAGAAAGGCAGCCTAACTGACCTCACTTCCTCGTACTTCTTGTCGCGGTAAAACTCCCTCTTCTTGATGATGTAGATGAGCACCAGGTCACAGAAAAAAGCCCCCTGCAAAACAGTTGCAGGCCTAACTCAGAACTCTTAACTTGATTCTGCAACAATCTGCAAGGGGTCCTCATGTCCCCCTTTAACACACAAGGAAACTGTCTAGGGCCGCAGAGTTGGACCATGGTAGACGCAAAGTTAGACTGGAGCTCTGCCACCAGATCCCACAGACTAGGAACCCCCCCCCATACTACCCTGACCCATTCTGTCAATATACATTTGCTGAGCACCCACCACAAGCTGGGACCACACAGGGGTACAGGGAGAATGTGGACCAGAGGGATCTTCCAGGGACTCTCCCTCTGCTAGGAGACAAGCAAATAAATTATGACACAGTGATGTGTCTTCTAATGAATGGGGAGAGGCACAGGAGTAGACAGAAGATAGGGCTTCACTCAGGCTAGATGGGGTGGATGACTAGGCTAAGCCTTGGGGCTAAATAGGAGTTTATACAAAGCCTGGGAAGGGCATTCCAGAGGGAGGAGAAAGCTTGTCATGCCTGGGAAATGCCATATGGCCTGTGGGGGAAGGGTGATGCACTTCCGCACAGGTGGATGGGAACCAGCCTATGTGAGAATGTTCTTGAGGCATTCATCCTAATCCTTGAGGTAGAGGGGAGACTGTCAGAATTGCAACATTTTAGAAAGTCAGCATGAGATTGATTGGAGAAGGTTTATATCTAACAAAGACATGACAGCAGTGTTCAGGGTAAGAGAAGCTGCCTGACCTAACCCATCTGAACCCAACTGACCCATAAACACAACTTCAGACCCCAGCAAGTTGTGTGTAATGTCCATCTGCACCACTAAAGGGTGATGCAACCCACAGCCCAGGATTGGGCGTGAGGTTCCTAAGCACCAAGACCAGTATGGCTTGATGGATAGTTGAGCCTGGTCCTCTGACTCTGGACACTGCATAACTGTCTTTCCCAGATGCCAAAAATGTCATTTATCAGTTCCTTAATCCTCCTTCCTTCTTCAACCTCCACCACCACCTTTTCTCTGCATCATTATCTTCATTTCTCAAGTAGGTCTCTCAGATGTCTGTATTTTATCCAAAATGTAAGAAGATTGCATATATGTATACATATCTGGAACTCCCTAGCAACAATGTTTCCAGTTAGAAGGAATCCACTTGGAGCCCTCTGGTATCAATCACCTCTTAGATGCATGGCCTTTTTGAGTTCTGAGTTCTGTTACAAGGCACAATTTTCCTGATTTTAAGAAAAAGTCAACCCAAGATCCTGACTGAATCTGCCAATGAGGCTGTTTGGGATTGTCATGCAGAGGAATGAGGGAAGAGGCAGCTGGAAACCTTGGAAAGGAACTTGCTGGCATGGGCAGCCACCCACCAACTCCCATGTCCTTAACAACCCTTCCAGAAGTACAAAGGGCATTACAGGCACTCAGAGGCAACTTGCCCAGCCCTCCAGTCACAACATCCTCTCCTATGAGCCTCTCTGGGCTGACTTAAGAGCCACCTAGAGGAAGGATTATAGGGCCATCTCCCTAGCCTTCATCTCCTTGGCCCACTGATTCTCAGCCAGGAGACATTTCTGAACATCACAACTTCAGAGAAGGTGCCGTTGACATCTGGTGAGTAGAGACCAGGGATGCTCCCAAACATTCTACAATGCATAAGATAGCTCCCAAAATGTCAATAGTGCGGAGGTTGAGAAACCCCGTTCATAGGGTAATCCTGCCCCCTTTAAGCAGAAGTGGAGATGGAGACTAGAAGTTCGGGGGCTGACCCAGGATTCCAGAGACCCCAGCCCACACCATGGCTAGGGGATGACCTAATTCCACCCCCAGCCCACCTCACAGCTCCAGAGCTACAGGCAGATGCCTCTTTGGCTCTAAAAAGAGAAATTCCAGCTGTCACTTCCATCTGGGGGCAGCTGGCATGGTGTGAAATCCCAAAGAGCCCTCTTTACCCATGTAGGTTCTGATCTCACCAAGTCTCCTGCTTTCTGGGGAACTGGGGCACACTCCTCCTGAGCAGTCAGTTACCTCACTCTCCCTGCTCAGAGAATAGAAAGTGGGGAGGGAGGAGGAAGGTACTCACAGCACCCATAAGTGCCACCCCAGAGCCCACGTTGATGATTGTGGGGATGATGCTGAACTTTCCTGCCTGAAAGACAAGAGACAAGACAGGTAAGTAAGGCTGGATGGACGGTCAGATCCCAAGGGGATCTCCAACCTCCCACACCCCACCCTACCCAACCACTGAATGGGAGGACCACCCACACACCTTGCCATTAACTATCACATCAAAGCGGATCCCATAGGCTTTTATCAGGGTTCGGAACTCCGCCCCGGCAGAGTCTCGGTAATATCTGGCAAACCTAGGGGAGACAAAGCCCAGGGGAAGCCCCAGCCTGCCTGTGCCTTCCCTCTTTAGCAGCACAGCATGGACCATGGTTGCTCTGGGGATTTATCAGCACCCCCAGGAGACTGACTCTCAGCAGACCTAGAAGAGGGCTGCAGACCCTCTCACTGAGCCAAGTATAAAAGATGCTTCCAGGCCTTTGAAATCTAAGCCAGGCATTACCCCAAGGGCCAAGGCTTTCCCACTACACTCTAGGTTAACCCCTGGGCCAACAAAATATGGATGAACTTGATCCAGCAAAGAAGTTGAGCCTTATCAGTATTATGGCAAGAAAAGACACCCTTCTCACCAGACAGATACGCTCACAGGATGCTCTCCACCACTCTGCTGGGATCCTCTCCTTGGCCATCTCTCCCTGCATCTATTACTCTGACACCCATCCTAGGGGTAGCACAGTGCTGGCACCCAGGGTCAGATGTGAAATGTGGTCAGGGTCACAAGGTGGCACAAGGTGACAGTTACCTGAAGTTGTACCCAGAGGAGACAGACTTTACATGGTTGTTGTCCAGGCGGCTAAAATAATAGCGAGGGTTGCACTCGGAGGCAGCTTTGTCAAGATCACAGTCCCATTCAATATTAATTGCTATCACACCACCCTTGAGACAAGAGACAAGGCTCAATACCCAGAGCCTTCTGGAGAGGGACAGAAGTCACATACAGAGAGCTGGACAAAACAGATAAAGGGCTCAGGCTAGAGGTCAGCCCTGGGGACAGCCCTCCAGGGAGGTTCTATCCCCACCTCTGGAACAGAATGGCTGAGAATGTCACATTGCTCTAGCTACAGTATGGACTCTCTTCACTCTTCAGGAGAGAAAGGAGCTAACCACCCAGAGAGAGCAGTTTTTTTTAGACAGGCACTTTACACATGGCCAGGATGTCCCTTTCGCCCGAAGCCCCAGGGGCTGAGAACTATGCCACAGGGGCAAGTCTGCCCCTCAATGAGCACCAGACTCTGGGCCCAAGCCGGGCACAGATAATTCTGAAAACAGTGAGCTCATGGAGGCAGGTGACTTTGCAGGGTCATTCCCGACCTATAGGTCCCCCTCCACACCTGCTTCATGTGGTCCCAGGCCCCTAGAGAAGGCTCCCTGATCATGTGCCACCCACCTTCATGGCGATGTCCTGGAAGTCACTCCCTGCCCAGCGGATCACAGACCCCAGTCGGAAGATGGGGCAGTAAAGATTCTTGGGGCTAAAGCGACAGGATTTCAGGTAATTCGTGTCCTCCTGCACATTGGCCCTGGGTGGAAGTAGTGAAATAAGGATGAGCGAGACTCACTGTTCCTGGGCCTGACCCACGAGTCAGTGGGCTCTTGCCTGAACTGACCACTCCCCAGCTCCTACCCCACTCCAGTCAAGAACAGAGCCCACACCCACAACAGGCATACAGGAGCCCCAACATCACCCTGAAGTTCATTCACATGCAGACACTGTGTGCACAAAGGCCCATGCACAGCCACAGGGAGGGCCAACCAAGGCCCTCAGGGGGCTTGAGTTAAGGCCCCATCCCATGAGCACCCCCTGCCCATGGCCAAGCCCCACATACTTGGAGAAGTTGAATTTGGGGAAACGAATGAAGTTCTTTATGTAAATGGTGAAGTCTTCAGCTTCCTTCAGGAGTGGTTCCCTGAAAACAGTCCAGGACCGACTGAGCAGAAGGCCCTGCCATGGCCCCTCCACGCCTCCCAAGGCCTGTGACAGGGCTGAGACCTGTTCCCTGGGTCCCCTGGAGACTTTGCCAAAGACAGTTAATTTGCTCAGTTGGGATGGTCCTCAGGCTTCTCTGGGATGTCCTGACATCTCCCTCAGAACGAGAATCTCAGAGGGGACGTGTCTCCATCCAAGCTGGACCCACAGCATGGGACCCGGCAACTCCTCAAGGGACAGAGGCTGGAGCCACTCACATTGGCATGGACTGTGTCTCCACTGGGCACCAGGCGAAGATCTCACAGGTGCCACTGGTTGAGTTCCCCACACGCAGACAGCGGCCAGTTTTCACTCCTGCAGGGTGGGACAGGGACGAAGCCAGGAGCCTCCCAGCTCCAGGTCCCCCTCACCCCCACCTCCCCTGACCATGCCAAGCCCTCACCATTTCCAGCTATAACAGTCTCCCCAGCATGGCAGTCATGGTCCTGAGAACACAAACCATCAGGGACACCTTCATACTGCCAAAAGAGAAAGGCGCTGCATAAGGATGGCCTCATTGGGGCCACCAGGGGTTAGAAGAGGTCTTCTTCCCTGGCCTGGGCCCACACACCCTCTGAGAATCTGTTTCTCCCCCAAACTATGCAGACACTGTTCACCAGTGCATACAGCCCACAAGGATCCTCAGAGCACACAGAAGCCCCTACTTCAGGAGAGGGGTCCACCCCATCACAATCCCACCCCTCCCTACTCCCCACACCAAATCAAACCTCAGCACAGGTGCCCTGCCGTTGGTTGGTAGTCACAATCAGGTTGGTGATCACAACGAAGACATTGTCTCCCTGGGGAGCCAGAGAGGCATTGAGGAACCTTCTCCTACCCTCTTAGGAGGACCCTCCTTCCCAGGGCTTCCTGGCAATGTGAGGCCTCTGCATGGGTGTTGGAGGAAATAGGGCCACAAAACTGGTGGATTTGATCCATCATCTCACTGACCCTACAGTTCCTGAGAAGATGTTCTTTTAGAGGTCCTTCCCAGGCCCACAAATCCCAAGTGCCCTGCCCATGAATCCCTATTCTAAACTCAGCTACTGGGGTCCAAGCCCAGACCTCAGAGGAGCAGAGGCAGTAATGGGGTTGCCCTGGCCCTAGGGCACAACAATTGTGAATAGACTGAGGAGCTGTTCCCAGGGAAGTAGCATGTAAAACAGGAGTTCTCTGTGCTGGGCCACCTGACTCACAATGACCTGAAGGTTTTCTGGGCCCCCTTTGGTCTTAACAGACTCAGAGTTCACTGGGAAGAGAGCAGTCACACAAGGCACAGAAAACGAAGGCAGGGGATTGGCATGGGAAAAGGATCTGGACAGGGTCTCCAGCTGGGTGAAGGAGACAATGGATGGAGTTCCTGGGGCAAACCAGCAGCTCCCCATGTGACACACCCCCAACCAGGGCCTGCCTGCTTGGGGCCCCAGTGATAAGCAGGGCTTCAGACCTGGGGTGGAATGACATAATCAGCAACATCCCAGAGCCGCTCCCCAAGCTCAGAGGTGTTGGTATAGGCCACGCCCTTGACTTTGGTGACAACAGCGCTCTGCAGGGAGGTGTCAACATCTTGGTAACTCTTCTTCACCACAAACACCCACCTGTGGGAAGGGGAACAGCAGGAGGGTGTCAGCCACATCACTGCCTTCAGGGATGTTTGCCCAAGTCCAGGCTGGAGTGGGCATCACAGCAACTCCTAGGGCTCCACCTGTTCCAGCAGCTCCTGGGTAGGGCTCACAGCTCCCATGGTTGCCTAAAACTCAGTCCTGCAAGCAGCAGAGGTGACAAGCAACCCCAGAGGAAGGAATTCTAAAGAGGCAAAAACCACTGCTCTCAGGTGCTGAGGCCCCAGAGCAAGGCAAGCCTGGGCTGAAACCTGCTGAGCCTCATACAGGCTGTGACTCCAGGCAAGGCGACTCACTCTGGGAGCACTGGTTTCCCAAGGTAACACAGGGATAATAATGCCCCCCGTCAGGGATAACAGAGAAGGTTAAATGAGATAGTGCATAACCTGAAACTAATCTAGGAAATAAGAGCACAAAATCCTGTATTCTTTGAACCAGAAACATAAGCAGAAAAAAAAATAGATAAGTAAGGCTTCATCAAAATTGAAAACTTTTGCTGGGCACAGTGGCACATGCCTACAATCCCAGCAACCTGGGAGACTGAGACACGAAGGTCACAAGTTCAAAGCCAGTCTTAGCAACCTAGAGAGACCCTAAGCAACTTAGTCCTTGTCTCAAAATAAAAAATAAAATGGACTGGGAATGTGGCTCAGTGGTTAAGCACCCTTAAATTCAATCCCTGGTACCAAATTTAAAAAATTAAAAACTTTTGCACTTCAAAGGACATTATCAAGAAAGTGAAAAGACAACCCACAGAATGGGGAGAAGATGTTTGTAAGTCATATACCTGGTAAAGGACTAGTATTTAGAATATATAAATAACTCTTACAATTCAGCAATTAAAAAGACAACCCAATTTAAAAATGTGTTTAAAAACATTTTGAACATAAAAATGTTTAAAAACATTTGATTAGACATCACCCTCAAAAAAGATAAATTAGGAAAAGATAAATAAAAACCATAATATGAGATTCCACTTCACACTAAAAATAATAATTTTAAAAAACTAAAAAAAAAAACAAAAAACACTTGTTGGTGAGAATGTAGAGAAATAAGAACCTTCAATATGTTACTGGTGGGAATGTAAAATGATGTAGCCACTGTAGGAAGTTCCTCAAGAGGTTAAAAAGGGAGTTACAATGACTGTGGAACTTCACTCCTAAGTATGTACCCAAGAGAACCCAAAACACATAGTCTATAAAAAAACTGTGCAAGAATATAATTAGCAGCATTATTCTTATCAGCCAAGGAGTGGAAACAATCCAAATATCATTAACTGGTGAATGGATAAGCAAAATGTGGCTCATCCATATAAACACAAATGAGATAGAACATATAAATTGCTGAGCACAGTGTCTGGCACAGAAGAAGAACCCAATAAATAGAACTCATCACTTGTTGCTGTTGCTGATAGAGACAGTTCAGGTTGACTCCTCTTGGTAAAGTTGGGGCAGTTGAGGTTGAGGGAGCAGGAAGCCGCTACCGCTTACATGCAGTAAGTGGTGGGTCCCAGGGTCCCAGTGAAGGTTCTCAGCGTGGCAGATGCCAATGTACATGCATTCATCTCACCTCTGAGACAGAGCTAGGGTGCCCCGGATTCTAGGCTCCCATGTCTCTAAGGAATTCTGAGAGGTCTATGACCCCCCTGAGCCAACCAATCATTTTAGTAAGGACACCCTTGGCCTAGCTCGGACAGCAACATGAAGCAAATACTCAAAACACATTTTCATTCATTCACTCATTCATTTCACACCTGTTCCCTAGTGAGGTGATGCCAGGCCCTACTACCCTCATAGCATCCCCAGACTGGCAGGGAGTCAGAAATAGATACTGAACAACTGTTCCCCTAAATTAGCTGATAATCATACCATGAGAATGCCAGGAAGGAAAGGAGAGGGAGTAATTCAAGAACCCAGGTCTGGAGAATGAGTGAGTACTAACTAAGGAGGAAAAGCATGCCTGGCTAAGGAACAGCATGTACAACAGCCCTGAGGTGGAAGGCATCCAGGTGCCTTGGGGATGAAGTTCAGGAAAAGCTGAGTGCTTGACCTCTAGGACTGAGTAGGGCAAGGCCAAGGCTGTAGCCCCCGAGGAGGAAATGGGAAAAACTGCACAGCATTTACTGAATGAGTTCGAGAAGGTACATCCCAGTTATCCATGACTGCTCTCTCTCTCTCCACCTGTTCCCTCCTGTCAGTCAGAGGTGAAGACTCTGAACAGTGCCTGATGAGCAACCCTGAAGAACTGACCCCTGAGCTTGTGGCCCCAGCTCCTGCTGAGTAGGATGGGGGGTGGGGGAAGGGGACAGATGAACTTGGGGATAGAGATCTCTGGGCAGGACCCCCAGCTGGATACCAGAGAGGCTAGGTGAGGTGAGCTGACAGGAAGGGAGTTCCCGGACATGCCAGGCTGATGAGTTGCCCCAGACCAGAGTAAAACACTGACGCTCAGTGATTAAAAATAACTTGTCTGATGCTCGCGCCAGCTGTCAGGCCAGGGCCCAGGGAGGCCTCTGGGAAGAAAGCCACAGCCCAGCCCCCCCGCATCCCTGCCCCCTTCCCGTGGCCCTAAGACTGGGGGCTGCAGCACTAGGGAAAGGAGCTGTCTGTGGACAGTCTCATAAACCCAGGGACCCAGAAGCCCCAGCCCACGTCTCCTCACTTCCAGAGCAGGCAGGGGAGTAGAGGGCTACCTTTTACCCACAAGAGCCCAAGGTCGGCCTCTCCGCAGGCAGGGAGCACAGGGAAAGCCACGTGCACACGTGCAAATTCCAGGACCCTGGAGAAGACCCTGGCTACTGTTCTCCATCCTCCCTTCTGAGTCCTGTCCCCGCCCCTCCCCCAGCTTCCCGAAAGCGTCTAGGAACTCACACGACCAGGTACAGCAGGATGGAGAGCTGCAGCAGTCTGTAGAGCAATCCCACCTTCTTGTTCTTGGCGATCACATACTTTTCGGTCTTGTAGTCGAACAGCGACAGGCAGAGCCCCTTCCAGCCCGCCTGCCCCATGCCGCCGGCTCACCGGGGATTCCAGAGCGCCCAGCCCCACGTGTGCCGCATGGGAGCCGCCCGCTGCTGGTAGGTCGGCGGTGCGCTCTGCGTCCGCGCTGCCGCAGCCCGAGGACGCGCAGCTCCAACCCGCATGGTCAAGCGTGTGCTTGGGCTGCGGGGCGTAGAGCGCGAGGCGCGCCGTTGGGTACCTGCCGGGTTCGGAAAGCCCCGGCGTTGAGCTGGGCTGCGGCCAGCCTAGAACCTCCGAATGCGACCTTGCAACCGCCTGACACCACCGGCCGTCCTCCCCAGCCACTGGTCTGGGAGGGCCCTCAAGAGTTCACAGTACTGCCCTGTGATGCTGGCGGCTGGGCAGGAGTGAGAAGAGATGAAAATAGGAACGCGTATTTTTTTTTTTTTGGAAATGGGGATTGAACCCAGGGGTGCTCTATCACTGAGTTAGACCTCCAGCTCTTTCTTAAATTTTATTTTTTAATATTTATTTTTTCATTGTAGTTGGACACAATGCCTTTACCTTTTATTTATTTACTCCTCTGGCCCATCTGCCCCTCACATTTTGGGTCTCCCACCTACATTCTGTCACTGCAAGATAACAGAACAAAGGACAGGAACGACATTTTCCCGCATTCGACAGAAATGCGGGAAAGCTGAAAGATAGACCTTAGCTATAAAAGAGGGAAGATCTCCCCCTTCCACGGATTCCACCTCTTGGGTCCCCTTCTTCCTCCGGGAGAAGTCTTTTCTGCTGTCCTTTAATAATAATAATTAAATAATTTAATAATAATTTGCCTCAGCGTGCTTCTCTGGTGTTATACTTCAGCATTGAGGAAGCAAGAACTGTCACCAGTAAACAGCGTTAACATGACCACAGCTCCTCTCCTTATCACTAGCCTCTTCCCCTAAATTAGAAGCTCCCTTTGATATAAGGGGAGTAAACAAGGACAGGGTAAGGACGAAGAGCTTGAGAAGAAGATTTACATTAAACAGGGATGAGAAAAGGGGAGGGGAGGGGAGGGGAGGGGGGATAGTAGAGAATAGGACAGACAGCAGAATACATCAGACACTAGAAAGGCAATATGTCAATCAATGGAAGGGTAACTGATGTGAAACAGCAATCTGTATACGGGGTAAAGTTGGGAGTTCATAACCCACTTGAATCAAACTGTGAAAGATGATGTATTAAGAACTGTGTAATGTTTTGAACGACCAACAATAAAAAAAAAAAAAAAAGTGAAAAAAAAAAAAAAAGAAGCTCCCTTCCTGGAACTGGAAGGTCTTGGGAGTAGGAAGGAACTCTAAAGCTCACAGGGTGTGATCCTCCCAAAAAGGTGTGATCCTCTCAAAAGACCCGGGGGAGAAGTTCTCCAATTTTAGCACGCATGGAACCCTTTAGAGAAGAAAAAGGCAAATTCCTGGGTCCTGCCCTTAAATTTTTTCATTCACTAAGTCTAGGATGAGACCTGCAGATCCTTGTCTTGCTCCCAGTTGTTATTTGGTAGGCATGGATCTTTAATTCCTTTCATCAATTTTAACACAAATGCCATTTCTTCAAAAATGTTTATTTTTATGATCATACACCAAATACACCAAAAGTAGTCCTTGCCCTCACCCCCAAACCCCTCCCCCTTGTACTGGGAAATTGAACCCAGGAATGCTTTACCATTGCCTTATATCCCCAGTCCTTTTTACTTTTTGAGATAGCCTAAATTGCGCAGGCTGGCCTCAAAGGCCTCAAACTTGCAATCCTCTTTCCTCAGTCTCCCAAGTAGCCTGGATTATAGGTGTAGGCCACCACACTTGGCCCCAATCACTTTCTACCCCATTACCCCATCTTTTAAAAAAAATATTTATTTTTTTAGTTGGACACAATATCTTTATTTATTTTTATATGATGTTGAGGATCGAACCCAGGACCTCCCATGTGCTAGGTGAGCGCTCTACCGCTGAGCCACAACCCCAGCTCCCCCGCCCCCGCCTATTATTACCCTATCTTATTCCCATAAAACACTTGTCATTATCAGAGATGATCTCATTAACTTATTGACTGTGCCCGCCCCCCCAGATGAGAAGCTCCAGTAGGGAAGTGACCTTGCCTTTGGACATCTGTGTATCCCATGCTCACTTCTGTGCCTGCCACATTATCGTTCTGTACATATTTGTTGAATGAGTGAACAAACTCAGCCATTTTTTTTTTTAATAGAGAGGGCTTTTGGAACTGCCACCCTGTCCCAGTCATGACAGGGAAAGCTGCCAGCCTCTCCCTCAGCCCTCCCCCATGTGGCTCTCCAACCCTGGGGGGGGGGGGGAAGCAGCTTCCATGCAGTTACATCACTCCTATGAACCTGAGGACACTGCTGCAGGATAAGGCAAAGAGGAAGATAGACCTTCCAAGCTGGCAGGAGTCCCCTGAGTTGCATCTGGCCTAGAGAAGCACTCCAGAGGCTGGTACTAGGGATTGAACCCAGAAGCACTTTACCACTGAGCCGCATCCTCAGCTCTTTTTATTTTTTTATTTTGAAACAGGATCTGGATAAGTTGCCGAGGCTGGCCTCAAACTTTCAATTCTCCTGAGTCACTGGGATTACAGGCATTCACCACCACTCAGGGCTCTTGGGAAGCACTCCAGAGGCTGGAAAGCACCCTACAGGACCACTCTTGTACAAGTGGCACAGAGAATGGCACTTCATTGAGTCTCTCCACTCCCCAAAGGGAGCTGCAGGTTTTGTGACCAGAGCTGGTTTGTTCTGTGGAGGGATCTCCAGAGACCAGAGGGGTAACTGAGGCTCTGAGGGCACTGAGCCCCAGTCCAAGAACCTCTTCTGTTCTTGGTTGCTCAAACCTTTACTGAGCTCATACTGTGTGCTGCTGGAGAGGCTGGAATGCCAGATACTAACCTCTTAGCCTGTCACAGCTGCCACTCTGGCTTTGGAGAAAGGGCTGTGCTCTTACTTGTCCTCCAGGTAGTTGGACCTCCCTGAACTCCCACACTAACCTGCAACTTCTCACAAAGCTTTAGAGATTGCATGAATGGCATCCAAGGAGAACGAGCTGCCTCCTTGTGGGGTCCCTGACAACACAGCTGGTTAGACTATGTCCAAGATTCCCTGGTGAGTCACAACATTGATTTGCTAGGTTACAACTAGAATTTTTAAAAATTAGAGCATGTTTAAGAAATGAGGATAGGCACTGTTTAGTAAAGTTTTTGTTTCAAGACTGTCTGTCTGTGACATTATGAAATGGAATATATTTCTGTAGGTGTGAAAAATATGTACAAGCTATGCCCAGAGTATCTGCATTTTATCTTCACGTGGCTGGAGCTAACTCACCATCCCCACAAGCTCAGGCTTAACACCCAATATACCTAAAAAGAGAGTAGAGGAGAAGAGGGTTTTTTTTTTTTTTTTTGCTTTTTATTGAGACAAGATCTTGCTGTTAACCCAAACTGCCCTTGAACTCCTGAGCTCCAGCAATCCCCCTGTCTCAGTCTCCAGAGCACCTGGGGAAACAAGCCCGTGACACCCCTTTGCTTTTTACATTTGCATCATTAAAACTCTTGAGTCAAGGACATTTCCAAAATCAAGATGAATTCTCCCTGAGAGAGAAAATTGGCTGCTACTTTTGAGTGCATTTTCCTTGATTCTGCCTAGCCCCATGTCAAGTCTTAGAGCCTCATAGTGCCCGATGGACATGACCTTCACCACTATTACCACAGTGAACACTTCTTAGTGCTCACTGCTTGCAGAGCTCTGCTCTAAATGCCTTACATGGAGGGACCTATTTAATTCTCATGACCACTTCTGTGGTTGGTACTGTCATTACCCTGACCTATCCTAAGAGGTCAGATGTGCCCACAATCCACACCCTTAGTGAGCATCTGTGCCAGAACTGGATCCAGGAAATCTGGCTCCATAGTCCAAGCAATCGCCTCCATTGTTACCATGAGCATGATGCTTTATAGCTTCCACATCGCCTCTCTACACTCGCTCTGTGAGACAGCCAGAGGTCACGGCAAAGCCACTTTACACTTGCTGAAACAAGGCCCAGGGGTCTCCTGGCCATTCACTGGGGCTTTCAGCATGTCCTCTAGGAACTATGGCTTCTTCTGGAGGACACAGAGTGTGTAGTGCATGCATCCACCCTATCGCTGTGAGGGAGGCCTCTGCTAGGGCCAGGATCCTGCACACCCCATCTTCCTACCCTGTCACATAGTGCTCCTTGGAAGGAAATGACTCAATTCTTTGAGAAGAGAAGGTCAGTCAAGAAAATGGGCACCTTCTGCAGTGGCTCCCACTGACACAAGGGCCAGGAGCACTATCCTGGAAAGCCAGGAGCTAAATTCAAGCCTATAAACTTCACTGTAGGGACAGGAGACAGGGGTGCATTGTCAGTCATCAAAGTAATCAGAGCCCTGTCCCTGCCTCATCACCCCTTCACGTCACCTCCCTCCCCAGAACACACACCCTGCCTTACTAGGATGAGTGCTGTCACCTGAAGTAAAGGAAGGGATTAGCAGTGAGCAAACCATTCTCATCTTGTTCATGAGCCTTTGACTAGTGGGGTGATTTAAGGTATATGTGATGCAAAATAATTGCAAAATGGATTTCTAAAGGGCCTTTCTATATCATCTCACTTGCTCCTAAGACTTGCTGACACTTTTAATCTATGATTCTGTGTGGTTTGGACCTACTCCTGGGACCATCTTGCTCTGCTCAACCTCTAGTAAAAACCACAGTGGTGCCAAGGCCTTGTCCCACCCCAAGGTCTTGGACGGATGTTCAGATGTTTCTTCTGCCTAGTAAACTCTATTTTCCACCACAAAGGACAGGGAAGGCCTGGAGGTAGATTTGAATCTGTCCTAGTGCACAAAAGTCATTACAAGATGACCGGGCCTTCCTTCAGAGCCTCGTGTACCCTGGTAGCCCAGAGACAAGCATGGGACAGCCACAGCATGGAAAGGTTTCACCAATGGCCTCACAAAGCAACCTGTCTTTTAATTCACCTTTTGCTCCTGCTATAACAAACACATTCCATTAATAGGCATTTCTGATCCACATAAAAACTAGCAGATACATTATTAATGTTGCTTAAATATAGTCAATAGGAAAAAGGAAGCTCCAATCTGTAGGAAGTATTCCCACATCCATCAGCAGCTCTAGGGAACCATCTTAATTGATGGGTTGGTACTTATTACTTTGCTCCCAATGGGGAAAAACTTTACAAAAGTATCAAACAAAAATAGTAAAGCAGGGGCTGCAATTCAAAGCCAGCCTCAGCAACTTAGCAAGGCCCTAAGCAACTGAGCAGACCCAGTCCCTTCACAGAAAACAGTGAGGTATCTTTGGCTTCCCATTTAGTTCCTTGTACATAATTCTTATGTAGATTTTTTTTTTTTTTGGCAGGGGGAAGACAGTACCCAGGATTGAATCCAGGTGGGGGTCTACCTCTGAACTACATGCTTAAACCTTTTTAATTTAGCTATTGCTAAATTGCTGAGACTGGCCTCAAACTTGCAAGCTTCTTGCCTCAGCCTCCCAAGTAGCTGGGATTACAGGCATGTGCCACCATGAGGCATGTAGATTCTTACACAATACACTGTCCTCACCTCCCATTCCAACCTTATATTCCCCAACTCAGCTTCAGTGGAATAGGCTTACATGCTTTATCACATCCTTCATTTTCTAACCTCCACAACTCTCACCTCAGTCCTTTGCAGGCAGCTTCAAGGTTCAGCTTGCAGGCATCTGTCTCCTCCTAAATTCCCATTGGTCTGGATCGTTGCTTTTTCTCTCACTGTCACATTTGGGTACACATCTGTAGAACAGAGCTATGAGGGCAGGAAAAGGATTCCCCAGTTTGAACCAGAGAACTTTAATGAAGCAGTTAGTTGCCAAGGCTTGCAAAATAAATAATGAATTAATTAAATTCCTTTAGCCCATATACTTAAAGTGTCTTCGGTAGAGTGACCAAGCCTGAGAAGGGGTCTCTCAACTGTCAAAAGGGTCTATAATACAAAAAGCCAGAAACCTCTGCCAGGAAGCACTAGCCAATCTTAAGCAGCCAGCCAATTCACCTTGTGAGTTCTCTGTCCAAGAGATACTGGTCCGAAAGCCCCAATGTCCTAATTCCAGTTACTGGCAGCCTTTTGCTAGGTTCAGAAATCTAAAACATTTGCACAACCAAAGTGGGCCATTTTTTCCTACCCTGGTACTCCAACCTTAATCTCAGACCACATGGCTCTAAAGAGAGGAAAGACAGCACCCAGAGACCCAAGCCAAGGGCCTGAGATCATCTGCTAGTGCTCTAGGTAGGGCTAGTCCAACCTATTCCCAGGCCCTGGAGAGAAGAAACCACCCCTCAGTCCCCCTGACCAATGTGCCCCCAGGACTGCAACTGGATACTAGGTCCCAGAAGCTAGAGAACCAATTAAAAAGCTAATTAGAAAACACAGCTCAGAAAAATGGCTGGATAAATATTCAAAACAATCAACTGTTCTAAAGACAAACTCTAATCAGGGGAAAAAAAAGATATTTTTCACTATCATAATAGTAACAAAACTATATATATATATAGCTGGAAATAAAGGTTTTTACAAATGACCTTCATAAAGGTCTTCTTTCTTTGAAGAAAATGATAAAACCCTACAACAGACGTGTTTTTAAAAACCTCAGCAAGTTAGAGAAATGTTGTTTTTCTAAGGAGGAAAACAATATTGGAAACATATCAATGCTCCCCCATTAAGGCTATACACTTAAGATAAACCAAGCAGATATAAAAATTTATTGCAAAGGGATATTTATTTTAAGGTATACTTGCAAATTAAAAGCACTATTATAAAGGAAATAGTTCAACTTTATTTAATAGCAGATGTTTCCCAAGTTTACTTTTTGTACAATGCACAAACATTTTGGGGACAATGTGTGGTTAAAAAATAATATTCTACAATTTGTTCAATGCTGCTCTAGATTATCCTAAGGAAAAAGTAATCAGTACAATGCCAAATCTCTAGAAGTTCAAGAATTAGCTGGTTATTCTCTCCCAGTGGACAAGGAAGCAGGTCCTAATCTTTTTCCAAGAGTAGACTGTCCGATTTCAGCTGGGCCTTCCTTATGCTCTCCAAGTTCAGTTGTTGATATTTTCTTTTAAAAAAGCCACACTGAAACAAAGGAAAGGAAGCCCAATTATAGGCCTAAAATACCTGTTTTAGAAAACATACTTCCAGTTGTTGCCTACATAGCCCCTAAACAACTCTGCTTCTTATACTTGTATTCCCTTTCCCTTCTCCTGAGTCTCTTCCTGATAGTCAATCCTCCCAGACTCTTTGATGCTACCTTTCCTGGTACTCAGTCCTCAACTGGAACTGACTTCCCATCTCGCTCTGAACCCCCAGAATTTAAACCTTTCTTCTAACTAATTCTACAAAGTTGTATAGTTTGGGCTGCACTGGATCTAATCTTACTTATGTAATAGTCAGTAAGCCTACCATGCTGAGGGTAGAAAGAGATCAAGTACAGCCTCCTACACCAAGCTCAAAATCTAGTAGGAAAGGAAAAAATTACAATATGGTGTGACAACTGCCATGTGAAAGGGTTTCCAGAAGGGAGCTCACAGGACAAGCACAAAACCCAACACAGAGGAGCCCAACACAGAGGATCCAAGAATCTCTGAGCTGAGTTTCAAGGGAGAGAGTAAGCAAAAGTGAAAAGGTGGGAATGAGCACCCCTGGCAAGAGGAGTAGTCTGTGTTCAAGCAGAAAGATGGGCACCTTTCTTGGAGAAGAAAACAAGACTTGGGCATGGGAAGAGAGGGGTACAGGCCAGAGAGCACAGGATCTTGAACAGCAATTAAAAAGTTTAGACACTCAAACAGGGAAGACAAGGAAAGGATTTAAAAAGGAGAATGACCATCAGTCTGTTTTAGGAAGATCTCTCTTCAATTAGATCTTTATTCCTTCACACAGAAACCAAGTTTCTCTTTTGCCTAAATGGGTTATAAGGTTGAAGCAAGAGGAGAAAGTGGCCACAAGGCCAGGGTATCTGCTCTAAGTAAGGACTGGCTATCCTGGGGGTACAGTGCCCAACACCACAGCCAGGTCCTATCCTCCCCCTTTTTTTTTGGTACTGAAATTTTTTTTTTTTTTTTTTTTTGGTACTGAAAATTTAACACAGGAGCATTTTACCACTGAGCTACATCTCCAGCCCCACCCCACTCCCTGTTTTTTGTTTGTTTGTTTTGTTTTTTAAATTTGAGACAGGGTCTCACTAAATTGCTAAGGACCTTGTTAAGTTGCTGAGGCTAGCCTCAAACTTGTGATTCTCCCATCTTAGCCCCCAAGTCACTGGGTTTATAAACAGACACCACTGAACCCAGCTTTATCTCATCCTTATTGAATACAATGAGAACTGACCTTGAAGAGGATGACTATAATCACAACCAAAACCAGAAGGCCAGCAACACTGCTTCCAATGATGAGAGGCAAAGAATGGTACTCCTCATTTGTTAGGAAGATGACCGTGATCTAGACAAGACAAAGAGATGGTCCAATAAATCAGGTACAGCAAAGAAGGAAAACAAGTTCTTGTTATTTTAAATAGAAAACAGGAGGACTTGGCAACATCCTGGGCACTGATCAAGAGTGCTGACAGTAACATCCCCTGATGCAGCTTTAAGATGATCTAAAATCATCTCACGACCAAAATACCTTATAAGAAACCACTGTAGCCTCTTATCTAAAACTGCTGTGTCAGAAGAGTGTGACCTTGAGTTAAAGATGCTCTAACAGTTGGAAAGAGAGTCCCATAGCTTCAAGACAGAAAATCAAGATTCTACAAAGCCATGTTCCATGTGTCCTTGAGTCGCACACTAATTATCTTCAAAGTGATGATTTATCTTAAATGATCTCCAAGTCCTCTCCAACTCAGTTCTCACAGCTTTGTTAAAAAGTGTTTTTAGTTGTAGATGGACACAATGCTTTATTTTATTTATTTTTTACATGTGCTGAGGATCAGACCCAGTGCCTTACACATGCTAGGCAAGTGCTCTACCACAGAGCCACAATCCCAGCCCTCACAGCTTTTTTTGATCTTGCATAAATCCCTTAAATTCTTTGGCAATATAATCTCCTTACAAGAAACATTTGACAAAGGCAATGATCTGCTCTTCACTAGACTAAGGACATATGTTCCTCAGGGACATGATAATACATGCAAAATTGTATTCATGTGTAATACTTGTAGGGCTCTTCTAGTATAAATTACCCCAGTTTTTTTTCCAAAGGATCTCTCAATTTCAGGTATCTCATCTCCTCATTAACAGGGCTCAGCTAGAAAGCACGGGGTAAGTGCATCCTGACTGAGACCCAGCCCTCCCAGGTTGTTACCATAGCAAGGTGCAGAACTGAAGTGGAGCCAGAGGGCCATCAAGACTCCTCTGCCTGTCCAAGACAATGAATTTCCTTCATGCATATGTTTAAACGCAAAGTTGGGGGTGTTCAGAGAGATTTCTGTATGGAGTACAGAACCACACAAACTTACCTTTGAGGCTTCTTCCAAAACAGTTAAAATTAATTGACTTAAGATTGATCCTCCAGGCCCTACTTAACTCACAGGCAGCTGAACTTAATAGGGCTTAAGTTCTGGGCCTTGAAAGTAGGGAAGTGTCAAAGCAACAGAGTAAGAGAAAAAAAAGAGGTGTTTTTTCCCCCCCCCCTTTTTCTTTTTTAAGCAGAAAGTAGCAGAACTCAATAACCTGGGTTTAGGAAGTACAAGGAAATTCCAAGGTGATGGTGTTAGAATCAGGCCAGATTTGGGTAGAAGAACCACACCTATTTTTCAAAGTCTTCTTCCTTTTTCCTCTTTGAAATGCACAGGTTCCCAAAAAGGCCCCAAAGCTACCTAGCAGAGGTTAAGGGAGAAGCAGGATACAGGATATTCTCCTTGTGGCAAACGTTGACAGTGACCTACTCAATAGCCATTTTCTCCATTCAGATGTTGTTTAGGAATCAAGACTGATCTAAGATAATCACAACAGAACTATCTTCTTTTTGACAGTGACTAAGATGAAATCCAGTCCTCACTAATAAAACTTAAAGGGGCCTGGGTTTGTGGCTCAGTGTTAGAGCACTTGCCTAGCACATGTGAGGCACTGGGTTCTATCAACAACACCACAGAAAAATAAATAAAATAAAGGTATTGAGTCCATATAAACCTAAAAATATTAAAAACAAGCAAACAAAGACATAAAGGGATGTCTCCTGGGAATTTTTAGAGAAGTTTCCTCTCTGAAAAGGGAAGGCACATAAAGAAAAATGCTTTTGGTGACCTTTTGCTTCCTAGTTTGTATTCTGTCATGTGAAATACAAATTGAGCATTCCTGATCCAAAAATTCAAACTCCAATATGTCCCAAAATCCAAAACTTCTGAGTATCTTGTTGCTGCTCAAAATGTTTCAGACTTGGAACATGTTGGATTTCAGATTAGGGAATGAATGACTGGTAAAGTCTATTAAATATTCCAAAATTTTCTGATATCTGAAATATGTGAGGTCCCAAGCATTTTGGATAAAGGATACTCAACCTTATGGCATTTGGAGATTGGCAACTTCATGCTGGACATGAAGAAAGGCATTATCTAACACACAAGGATTAGGGAGGCAGGCCATTAAGCAGGGCCTACATTCCTTCCTAAATAAACAGTACATGCCCTTCTGGCACATTAGCTGAATTTTTTCCCCATATCTGTTGCTAAAATGCATCTGGATACACAGCTATTTATTCTCATAAATTCACTGTAAGTCAGGTGCTTATTGGCAGGAACTACTTAATATTTTGCTTAGGATACTGAATTTAAAGAAAAGGATTTTTGGGAATCTATGCTATAGAAATAAAAGCATCAATAAGAGGAAGAAATATATAAGTAAATTAAGAATATACACATAATGAACTATTAATAATAATTCTCTTTGGAAAGAGAGTTAGGGGCAGGAGAAAGTGAAAGAAAATTTGTTTTAGTTGGTACCTTTCTATAAGGATTAGATTTTATTGCTATTTTATTTTTAAAATTCTAGGCAATACAATAATGAGGCACTTATGTTTCTTTATTATGTCATTTTCTGTATTGGAAGAACTTTAAAAACAGCCTGTTGTCTCAGCTACTTAGGAGGCTGAGGCAGAAGGACTGCTTGGGCCCAGGAGTTCAAGAATAGCATAGTAACACAACAAGACACTGCCTCACACACACACACCAAAAAAAAAAAAAAAACAGAGAGAGAGAGAGAGATACTTTGAAATAAAAGAAAATGTTTATCTTACATATCTAGAGAATTGTTCCTTTCCCCTCCTCCAAGAAGGAAAATTGAGTACTTACATTTAGCAATCCAGGCTCACTCTATGAACATTTGCTCTAGTAAAGAATCATGCCTAACTCAAAAGCTCATTGATAACATCATCTCTGAAATCAGGAGCATGTCCTGGCATAAGTCAACAAGTATGAAAATGCAGTGTTATGCCAGGGTTTACTGAAGGAAAACCAAGGGAATAACAGCTGACAGGCATTGGTTGTTTTCCATGTCAAATAATTTCTAGAACTAGATTTTGGTGATGGTATACATAGTGAATAATGAATATATTAAATGATACAGAATTGTACTTTTAAAAATAGTTACAAATGTAACTTTAATTTTACATGTATTTGCCAGAATACAAAACGTATTTTTTTAAAGTATGTATTTTTTTTATTTTTGTAGTTGTAAATGGACAGAATGCTTTTATTTGATTTGTTCATTTTTATGTGGGGTGCTAAGGATTGAACCCAGTGCCTCACATATGCTAGGTGCATGCTTTACCACTGAGCTATAGCCCCAGGCCTATATTGAGTTTTTTATTTGTTTGTTTGTTTGTTTGTTTGTTTAGTTTTCGGCAGACACAACATCTTTGTTTGTATGTGGTGCTGAGGATCGAACCCGGGCCACACGCATGCCAGGCGAGCGCGCTACTGCTTAAGCCACATCCCCAGCCCCCCTATATTGAGTTTTTACAGACTGTATATAACTGTTAAAGCCCTAGCCAGTAAAATAGGTCAAAAAATGATGACAATTAAATAAATACTATGATTTTTTTTTTTTAATGCAGTGTAACACACACAAGAGCACTTAACCCACAGACCACAGAGGTCAATTTAATTTCTGGTCATACTTCTGAAAATCAAATTCCAAGAGTTCCAGTACTGAATCTAAGTCTTATTTTAAAAATTATGCAGGGGCTGGGGTTGTGGCTCAGCAGTAGAGCACTTGCCTAGCATGTGTGAGGCTCTGGGTTCAAGTCTCAGCACAGCATATTAATAAATGAATACAATAATGGTCCATCAACATCTAAAAATTTTTTTTAAAAAATTATGCATTCATTAGTACTGTAACTATTTAATACTATAACTAAACACTGATATACACAGTAGAAAGATAGTTTATATATGCAAAGAATAATTTCTCAGGAAAAAAATTTTTTAAAGTCAATGTATGTGGAAAGCAGTGACCCAAACCATGGTCCCTGATTCCCTCATGGCTGCATCTGTGCTTGGAAATTCCTGTGTAAAGGTACAGGCCAAGATGGCCTAGTTGCTATGGTGATGCCCACCCAAGGAGGTTTTGTGCAAAGGTACACAGCTCTATCAGTTAGAATCTTGGATTCAGACACCAACTCCCAGGGGTAGAGAAAATTCTAGACATAACCTTGATGTCGCGCAAGTTTTGCTGTATCCTTCAGGCTGCCTACTTTGCTAAAACTTTCACACAAACAAACTTCTGATGAGAAAAACTACATAATAAATGTGCTTAGCTAGCTCTGATGTCAGTCAAGCCTTACCAGGCCCCAGGCATCTGGCCCTATGTGGGAAGCCATTTCTGACACGTGATTGGGTGGCTCCCATTAAGGGTCTGAGGCGTTCTGGCTGTGTTGGAACTTTCCCGGCCCTTTCCTGAGAGAGCCCATCCGTGTGGGGGTGTGCCTGACCACTGACCCCGGGGGGCCCAATCACTGACCCTGACCTTGGAGTGCAGCCCCCCCTCAACCTTCATTGGATGGAATTCTCCCCTGAATCTCTTGTTCCCCAATAAAAAGCTACTCCCAGGCTGTTCACACTCTCTCTCTCCTGCTAGCCCTGAGTAATCCTTGCTGCCCTGCTGGGCGGTTAGAGGAGGGAACCAGAGAGGGGAGCCGTCTGGGACCTGGCAACAGAAATAAGGTAACTGAGTCTGTGTGTTTTATTTCGATCTCATCTAGCTAACTTTTATGCCAACAACCTCATTAATGAACCATTGCGCTGGCCGCATGGTGGAAGCCCTAGCTTTTTTTCTATGTGTTTGTCTTTTTTTCATTCCCCATCACCCCTCAGGTTTCTGAATTAACGGCCATGCTGGTTGCAGCAAACATTTTTAAATCAAAGTATACACTGCTGTTGGATCTAAGCTAGTTATTTCAACTTAGACCTCCTCAGCTTAGGCCTTTTTACTCAATTCTTTATTTGATAGGTAAAAACTGAGGCAGAAGCAGATTCATTCAAGATCACAAAGGTAGCAAGAGTAGCAGAGCCAAGGACAGAAGTGATAAAACTGAAAATAGGAAGAGAGTAACAAGGGAGTGGCTGTGCAAGGACTCAAGAGCTACACACAGTTCTCCTAGGACACTACCCAGAAAACAGCCAGGGATTACCTTAGTTCTGTGGTTCTCTGCATTCAGCCCCTCATATAGAGATTTGTTGAAAGATATTTCACCAAAAATCTGCAGTTCAGTTACATCTCTTAGTAACTATTAGATGAGGGGGAGGAAGAAGAGAAACAAAACATATTAAGCATGGATTCCTTGTTTCTGAACAGCATTCACCACCATTCCCTTTAAATGTGTACCATCTCCAGTATTCTTTAGTCTCATTAATGTCCCCAGCATCCAAGAAATCTGCAATTAATCCTTAAATTCTTTTCCTTTACCCTCTATCTCATTCCACTATTCCTAGCCAAAGTCAGTTAACAATTTTTTTTAATCCTCTCTTGCATATATTCCTTTTTTTCTCCACCCCCATTTCCAGTTCTTCAGTTTATACCACACTGCTCTCATCTGGATCACTACAAGATATTAAACTTGATTACTAGTTCCCACATCAGAATAAGTGATCAGGGAAGGCCTCTCTAAGAAAGTAACATCTGTATTAAATACAAGAAGAAACCACCCACATGAACTTAGCAGAAGAGCAATGTTATGCAAAGAAACAGCAAATACAAAGGTCCTGTAACCATAGTAATATTGGCAAATTCGAAAGGACAGAATAGCTGGGTTATAAGAAAGGGACAGCAGGAGAGAAAAGAGAGTACTAGGAGAGAAAGTTGAAAAATTAGCCAAGCCAGACCATGTAGTACCTTGCAGGCCATGGAGGTCGGGGGGAGGTATGGATCAGAATCTAAGGGTGTTCAAACTTCACTTTTTTTTTTAAGCACAATCTAATGTGGATGGATAGTGGTTAAGTGAATTATTTATAGGTGTGGGAAAAGCAGAGGCAAGGAGAACAGGTCCAAAGTTACTGCAATTACCCCAGCAAGTGACAGTAGCTGTAGAGATGGAGAAAGTAAATGAATTTAGGATATATGCTGGAAGTGAAATAGAGTTTGTTGGTGGAATGGATATGAGGTATAGGAAAGGAGCAAGTCACAGATAATTCCTAGAATTCCTAGTATGAAACAGGATTAAGAATAGCCAAGGGGGCTGGGGATATAGCTCAGTTGGTAGAGTGCTTGCCTAGAATGCACAAGACCCTGGTTCAATCCCTGGCCCCCCCACACTAAAAAGAATAGCCTCAGTAACTGGCTAAGGAGCAGGCTGGGACAGAAAGTCATCAAGAGGCTTGTTCTTGGGCTGTGGTTGTAGCTCAGCAGTAGAAAGCTTGACTAGTGTGTGTCGAGGCACTGGGTTCAACCCTTAGCACCACATAAAAAAATAAATAAAGAGGGCTGGGGCTGGGGCTCGGTGGTAGAGTGCTCCCCTGGGACGCGTAAAGACACTGTGTTCCATCCTCAGCACCACATAAAATAAAATAAAGGTATTATGTCTGTCTACAACTAAAACATACACACACACACACACATATTAAAATAAATAAAGATTAAAAAGTGGAGGGAGGGTGCTGTTCTGGACATGTAAATGCCATTACAGTTTCTAAGGGAGATGGCCTAGAGCTGGATAATCAGATCTGGAGAATTTTGGTCTCAAAATACCTGCTCAGCGTGACTCAAGGATATCTCTGCAGCCACAGTTACATTCTCTTTTTCTGATGTGATATTACAGCTCACTGAATACCATTCGTCCACACGCTGCAAAAAGAATCTCATTAGCTTAATCCCTTTACCGTGGGAAGGGTGAAATTTTTAACACTCAGGTCCAGAATATTTCAAGGTCCCAGAACAGGGGGTGTGAGCAGTTTGAGCCCTCACTTTGACCCAAGTAAAGCACCAACCCTGGCAAACCCAGTGAGGGGAGGGAGGAGGGCCCTGACCGCCGCCGTGCATTGCTTTCAGGGGAAAACTTGGAAAAGTAGCATCCTGGTTTCTCCCTATCACGTGCTTCAATCCCTCCCTCTCGGGGAACCACGCTCACCTGAAATGGATCGCTCACACAAACGGGCTGATTCTCGGTGCACCCAGTGTAAGCCTGAAACGAAAGCCATTCCAGGGACGCACTCAACAAACTAAAGCTCCATGGTTACCTACCCCCTCACTCCAGTAAGGCCGGGTGTGTTGCGCACGCCTGCCGCCGGGCACTAGGACCCAAAGGGCAGGCGAGCGCACCACGCGGAAGTCTCGCGGTGTTTGCATTTGAACTGCTTGGCGGGTGTCTGCCATGGCGGCGTCACTCCCGAGATCTGAGATCCGACTCTTCCGAACGTACGGGGCAGCCGGTGGCGGGGGGCCGCGGCGGCGGCCGGGCCGGGCAGCGGCGCAGTGGTTTCCACCGCAGAACCGGAACGGTCTCTTCAGCAGCGACACCAGCAGCGGTAGCCCGTCGCAGCCTGAGGCTTCCGACGACTCTGACGACCCGGACTTCCCCGGCAGCCCCGTCAGCCGACGGCGGAGGCGTCCTGGCCGCGGAGTCTCCAAGCAGCAGCCCACCCTGATCGCGACCCCAAGACGCCTGAGGCTGAGAGCACGGCCTCCGCTGAAGTGCAGCACCCCCTACTGCCCGCTCCGACCGCCGCGCTTCCCCAGCAGCCGCGGGGGCCGTCTCAGCGACTTCAGTGAATGCAGCCAGCCCAAGGACCACGACGAGCTGGGCCTCAGTGCCTCCCTGATCAGCCCCCGGCCCTCGTCTGGCCCCGGACCGCCAGCGCCAGGGGATAGTATCATCTCCACCTGTCCTTCTGCCTCTTCAGATGCAACCTCTGCAAACTCAAGTGGTTTCCACTTGTCATCAGCCTCCCTGAACCTAGCATCTCCCCCACGCTCCCAGGAAACAGCAACAGAAGGAATCTCGGTCACTAGTATGGTCCACCGAGCTCATACCAGCCTCACGTCTGCTCTCTCTAGCCTTATGGACTCGAGATATCCAGTGGATCGTGAGTGTGGGACACACAGAAAAAACACGGAGTCTTGTTGTAAAAGGAAAGTGATGGGAAACAGACTGGAGGGCACAGGTAAAAAGAGGGTCACAGGCAGAGACTCATCTCAAAAGAGAGGGTCTCAAAGGGCCACCCTGATAGACTCTGAAGAAGCCACTGGTTGCAGAGGCCATATCATACCTAGGAAAATCAACAGGCCTAAGAGGACTAGGCCAAGGCAAAAGAGGAAACATCAGGAAGCAGGGGAAACCTCTCCTCTCCATCACCACCGATTTAAAAAGAGCCAAAAGATGGGAAAAGATTCATTCCTATCTCAGGACCTGACTCATTTACCAAAGTCCTGTTCTTGGACCAAAATCAGGGCCTCCTTCAATTTCCACAAGAAGAAAATTGTGACTGATGTGTCAGAGGTAAGCAGCATCTATACCATTTCCAGTTCTCCCTCTAAGTCTTTTGTATCAGAATGTTCAAACCCTCCTGTCTTAAACACAACAAATACTGCTCTGTCCCCACGGCACTCCTCTTCTTTGCACTTGCTAAGCCCTTTAAACATTATACGTGTTGCGGACAAAAAGGCCTCTGAGGCTGAAAAGGTTTTTTGGGAATGCGGTCAGGAAGGACCTATCCCCTTTAGCCATTACCTTTCCACAGAAAAACTGGAACGATGTGAGAAAATTGGGGAAGGGGTGTTTGGTGAAGTGTTTCAAATGATTGTTGATAGGAAACCTGTAGCCCTAAAAATCATTGCTATTGAAGGATCAGATTTAGTCAATGGATCCCATCAGAAAACCTTTGAGGAAATCCTGCCAGAGATCATCATCTCTAAAGAGTTAAGCCTCTTATCTGATGAGGCCTACAACCGCACAGAAGGCTTTATTGGGCTAAACTCGGTGCACTGTGTTCAAGGGCCTTACCCTCTCTTGCTCCTCAAAGCCTGGGATCACTATAACTCAACCAAAAAGTCTGCAAATGACCGGCCTGACTATTTTGAGGAAAGTCAGCTCTTCATTGTACTAGAATTTGAGTTTGGTGGGATCGACCTAGAGCAAATGAAAACAAAGTTGTCCTCTGTGGCTACAGCAAAGAGCATCATACACCAGATTACAGCATCCCTTGCAGTGGCAGAAGCATCACTGCGTTTTGAGCACCGAGACTTACACTGGGGGAATGTGCTGTTAAAGAAGACAAGCCACAAGGAGCTCCGCTACACCCTCAACGGAAAGACAAACACCATTCCTACCCGTGGGTTGCAAGTCAATATCATTGACTACACCCTGTCACGCTTGGAGCGGGATGGGATTGTGGTTTTCTGTGACATTTCCATGGATGAAGAACTATTTACAGGTGAAGGTGACTACCAATATGAGATTTACAGGCTCATGAGGAAGGAGAACAACAACTGCTGGGGTGAATATCACCCTTATAACAATGTGCTCTGGCTACATTACCTCACAGACAAGATTCTGAATGAAATGACCTTTAAGACTAAATGTAACACCACTGCCATGAAGCAAATGAAGAGAAAGATCCAGCATTTCCATAGGACAGTGTTGAACTTCACCTCCGCCACTGACCTGCTCTGCCAACACAGTCTATTTAAGTGAGCTGAATGTGTCTTACTGTCCCAAACTGAGAGAGCCCTGGTCTTAACGCCTTCGGTCCTGTTTTCAATCTCCATCCCAGAGCAGGGTAAAGTAGAATTCCATTCTTATATGTTTCCAGTCAACTTTTCAAGCAAGAATTTTGTTTTCAAGTGGAAACTGAAATATTTGTTGAACTGATTAAACTTGCTGTTAACAAATATTCTTAAACTACATGTAAGAACAAGTATTTATAACTTATAAGTCCTGTTTCTAATTGTCAGCAGAGTCCATTCTGTAAATTCCACATTTTCATTTTGAGCCTTGAAATTGTTATATAATCTGAACAAAAAAACAAACAAAAAATCAAGAAAGCCTAGGTTACAGCTGTTAAAGTGATCAGAGCCTGTTCCTTTAAGTAATAAGCCTGGTGTTGAGAACCACATTATAGATAAGAGGTCAAATAAAAACAAAAAGGCTATATAGCAAAGCAAAGACCAAGAGGGAGTGGAGGGAAGGAAAAAAAAGACAGATGGTTTGTAGGGGGCAGTGTGAGAAATGTCACATTTATCAGTCTCACTCACCAATCACATAGAAGCAGAGGCAGAGTTTATCAATTTTCAAAAGAAAAATAAATGTCTCCATGACTACAAAAATGTTTGAATTTTTGCTTATTTTTCTTCAAGGAGAGGAAAATTGAAATGCTGCTTTAAGGCCTGAGTACTTGATATTCCTTCTGAACATAACTGGTAATTCACTCCTAATGTTTTCCTGTGGCTAATCTTGTTTTACTAGATTAAACAAGATCTAACTTTACTCCTAAGGCTCCTAGTTTTTATATCTTTTGAGAATCCATAGTCACTCTGGAAAGAAATGTGATAAGAACTGCCTGTGAATACCTGGGTTTTTGTCACATTCTTCACTCTTACAATCTGGAGACCTTGCAATTTGATTGGGATGCAAATTTGCAACAGGAATTTGGCTCCAAAGAGATTTTCCCCATGTATCTGCCAAATAAAATCAGAATAGGAAGTCAAAGCTTAGGTTGCTTTGCCACCTGTAGCTTTGCAATAAACACTAAGCACTTACACTGAAGAGGAATTCTTTGTGGTCAGAAAGCCCCTGGCTTGTGTTCATGTACATCACAGATGGCCTGCAATTGAGAGGACTTGTTAGACCTCAGAGTCCCCTTTTATTTTTGAATGAACTTGAATGTTTTCAATAGGATACACTATGACAGAGGGCACCAGATCCTTAAGAGGAATCCAAGGTAAATATCAAAATGTAGAGTGGTCATAGGGTAGTTGATAGGAGGTAGAATATTTGCATTCTGTATAGTTGAGCTGGTTCATTTTCTAATTACAACTCCTCAGATTAGCCTTACTTTTCACCCTTTTTGCTTCCCAATACCACAGCCCCTGTCTTTCCTCCAGAGTTCCTACCCTCAGTTCCCTTTTGTAGTAAGACCAGCTGGCACTGCTCCTCCTTTGATGACCACCATAGGGTTTTTAGAACCCAGCTGTGAGTACCATAAAGATCAGTGCTAGAGCCTAGGTTCTAAGCAGCTTCATTCATCTCAGAGAAACACAATGTTCACATCCACCCTGATTACCAGTTCCATTCATAAAGAGAGAAGGCCTGAAGCTGTGCGCTGTGGGCAGCCACACAGGTGTTAGCCCCATGGAGTACTTACTTGGAGAGAACTGCAATGAAGGCATGTCTGAATCGAAGGTTGTGGGTTTTTCTGGCCAAAGACCTTTGGTTGGAACTGAGAATAAGACTGTTAGCTCACAGCACAACTTCTTTGTATCCTGGCTTCTCAGTGTCAGGGTACAAAGGTGGGGGTAACAGGTAAAAAAAAGCTTCTTAGAGATAAATAATTAGAATGCAAATGAATCATACTTAAGAGTAATGTTGATTTTAAAAAGATTTCTCAGCATCAATACTGTTGACATTTTGGGCCAGATAATTTTTTGTTGTGTTGTCCTATACATGGTATGTTTAGCAACATTCTTGGTCTCATATTCACTAGATACAGTAGCACCTCCTAAGTCATAGCAATAAAAAATGTCTTCAGGCATTACCTCTAGGAAGCAGAATCACCCCTTCCCAACACCATACTTCATGTTGCCCCTAAACCTAGAGGCTTTGCAGATAATAGTTACTCCAAATTTAAATAAATCAGAACTAGAACTTGAGTCCAAAGCTTATTCCACCAGACTATGTCATAGTTTTACTTTGTGAGAAGAACAGAACACTTTAAATAGCTTTGATTAAAAATAATAATAATAACCGAATCACTATGGGGGGGGAACAGAGGCCTCTGTGGGTTCATTAAGGTTCCCCTCCTCCCTTGGCAGTAAGGAAGTCACAGTTCTCACAGCGTGCACATGGGAGGGAGATTCCCTCAAGGCCATAGCCTCAATAGGCTTGATAGAGGCACTACTTACTTGGAGATGGTCACAGTGATGTCTGCTGTCTCGTTTGGAAAGGCATTCTCCTCTAGCTGCCAAACTACTGAAATGTTTGCCTAATATTTTAAAGGGGGAAAAATGGTCACTTGATTTTTTTTTTAATTTTTTTTTATATTTATTTAGTTAGTTAGTTAGTTTTCGGTGGACACAACATCTTTGTTTGTATGTGGTGCTGAGGATCGAACTCCGGCCGAACGCATGCCAGGCGAGCGCGCTACCGCTTGAGCCACATCCCCAGCCCGGTCACTTGATTCTTGTCTGTACCATTCTCAATTCTAACTGCCTACTACAAACCAACCTAGGAAACAATTTAAATTTCTTACATTTTTGTAGCACAGTATACCTCTCCATCCATTATTTTATATAAGCCTTCCATGCAAATATAGAGTAAGCAGAGCAGGCAGCATTACCCTATTCCCCTTCTACAGTTGAGATTTCCCATGGCACAAAAATAATCTCTACTGCCATTCAAGGTATTGCACGCCTTGTAATCTCAGAGGCTGGTAAGGCTGAGGCAAAAGGATGTCGAGTTCAAAGCCAGCCTCAGCAATTTGGCAAGGCCCTAAGCCACTTAGCCAGACCCTGTCTCAATAAAATATTTAAAAAGTGCTGAGGATGTGGCTCAGTGGTTAAGCACCTCCCCACCCCGGGATTCAATGCCCAGTATCAATAATATGGTCTGATGTCCCTTCTGTACTACCCCCCAACTTCACACTTTTCCTGGGATTAATCAACACTGTCTTTGACTGACTCCTTTCAAAGCAAGCTTAGCAGATGTAAGCCCTGCTACAGATTGACTGTACAGTAAAGAGAAGCATAGAGACCACAACTGAGAGGTTCAAATATAGCTGGGATGTAAACATCACCAACTCCAGAGTTGTGCAAAGAGCCAACCAATCAAAACAGACTCATAGGGGGCTGGGGTTGTGGCTCAGTGGTATAGCCCTTGCCTAGCATGTGTGAGGCACTGGGTTCACTTCTCAGCACCACATATAAACAAATAAATAAAGGTCCATCAATAATTAAAAAAAAAGGGCTGGGGATGTGGCTCAAGCGGTAGCGCGCTCGCCTAGCATGCGTGCGACCCGGGTTCGATCCTCAGCAGCACCACATACCAACAAAGATGTTGTGTCCGCCGAGAACTAAGAAAAAATAAATAAGTGTTAAAATTCTCTCTCTCTCTCTCTCTCTCTCTCTGTCCCCCTCTCTCTCACTCATTCTTTAAAAAAAAAATAATAATAATAATTAAAAAAAAACAAAGACTCACAGATGACCTCTTGAATATGGGGTGACCAATTTTGCAGCTCATGACCAGGGCAGAAGCAGTTGGCTTAGGGTCATCACACTGAATGTCTGGAGAAGAAGGCTGTGAATACAGAAAGAAATACTTCTTAAGGAGTAAAAATTAACCCATCCAGGAGCTATAACAAAATAAGTCAGACTTGCTCTATTTTTCTCACAAGCAGGACTGGTAGGCTCAGTAGTAGAGTTAAGAAATTTAAATCAAAGGTCTAAGGGTTGGTTCTGCAAGTGAGGCAGAGAACAGCAAAAGAAAAGATGAATTCCAACTAGGAGGACTCTATCCTCATAAGGAAGGAGATAATATGAACTGGGCTGTGGACCAATGTAAATGTCACTGCTTTCTTTCTTTTTTTGATCTCTTCTCATGTAAAAGATTTTAAAAATTTTGATAACTTCATCATTCAATGTAACCCCAGATGCCACAGTGCCTACAACTGTGACTGCAGCTGTGGCAGCAGCTCCAGCTCTGTGGATCTGGGAGGAGAAAGAGGGGTAGGCGGGTGGGAGAAGGCCAGCATGGACCCAAGCACTGCTATGTAGCCTTTCAACCATGGTTCCTCATCTGGACTACTAAGTACAGAAAACAATTCTCCCACGAATAGTATATCACTAGATCCATTCTAGGTGCATAAGAGAGAATTTTAATTTTTCATATACTGGATGCCATCCTTGCCAAATAGCCTAAGAGTGGAGAAAACCCATAGTTCCAACAGTGAACAAAATTACACTGTGGTATATGTCACCCAACAAAGGAAAAGACAGAGGATGGATGGAGTTCAAGTAAATGTAAATAAATCAGTTTTGATAGCCTCAAAGCAAATCAAAGCTGAGTTAAAGGGTCAATCAACAATGGGTCTGGGACCACTTCCTTGGAAATAAGTAAATTAAAAATAGATGTAAAAGCTGTGTCCAGAAATACTTTATCTGAAGCTCTATATCTCAGATAGAAATTGAAACTGCTCTTTGTCAAAATGATTTAGATTGATGGGCGTGGTGACACACACCTATAATCCCAGTGGCTCAGGAGGCTGAAACAGAAGGATTTCAAGTTCAAAGCCAGCCTCAGCAAAAGCAAGGCACTAAGCAATTCATTGAGACACTTTCTCTAAATAAAATACAAAATAGGGCTGGGGATATAGCTCAGGAGTCAAGTGCCCTTGAGTTCAATCTCCGGGACCCCTCCCCCTAAATGACTTAGGTCTTCCAGGCAAGAGCAAGATGGTTTCACAGTTATTGATTAAATATCAAACAGCAAAGTTTCTGGCCATCTGTAAGTTTAGAGAATAAAATTTCTCAGTGCTGTGATAATTCATAGTTGTAGGTGTCCTTGGGAGAAAGAATATTTCCTAGTATCTTTGTACCTGGCTTTGTATCTGTGATCCCAGCTTGGTAAAGGGCTGGGCAGAATTTCATTTTCCTAGCCCAAGCTAATTTTTACTTTCTCAATGCCTTAGGGTATTTATCTCTCAAAGCCCTGGTTAAAAAAGGCTGCAAGCAGAGAGGGCTAATTGTGCAGCAAAATGGAGGCCCTAATGGTATTTAAAGCAAAGAAAGAATCTAGTACAATTGGGTGGGGTAAGACTCACCTAGTTACTAATCATTTATTGGATGGACCAGAAGGAAGCTGGAGGCAGGGAGACTAGTAAGGAGGTTGCAAGAGAAAAGCAGGTGTATGGCAAGGGAAATGGTCGAGTGGCATGTTTCTGAAGCTGCTGTTATAGTTACCTTTTGTATCCTCTTAAACTGTAAGTTTCTGGGATAATTCAAAACCATCCTTGTCATATAGGAATCTTCCCCAGAGTTAGTTAGGCTAATGTTCATGGCCAGCTCCTTGGTGAGACCCACCACCAATTCCTGCCTGCACAGGCAAAGATAAAAATGTTGCCAGTTTATTTAATCTGTACAAACTTGGATGCAATAGGACAGCACATTCTTAACTACCTTCTCAGATAAACTGCCATTTAGCCTAGATTTTCATCCCCTCAACATAACTTGGACTGCCACACTCATTTTCGTTGCTAGGTGAGATTATAATGCCTACCACTTACCATGTGCCAAGGACTGTGTTTCACATGCTCAATTAATCCTCATAAATCCCTGTGAAATGGCACAATTATTCTATTTTGTAGAAAAGGAAACAGAAGCCCAAAGAGGCCACTTGGCCTGAGGTCTAGCAGCCTTCAAAGAGAAGTAGGGAAAATCAAATCCAAATCCTCTTTCTACCACCAATTAATTCATTTTGACCCTAGGCAAGGCACTCCATGGCACACATTCATCCATTCCACAATTATTTACAGATCTGCTCAGCACTGGAAAGCAGGACGCACATAACTCTACCTTAGAGGTCCAGACTGCCGAACAACCTCAGTAATTGAGAATGACTAGACATATAGTAACATACAAAAACACTTTTTAACTTAATTGAGATTGACTAGACTTATAGTAACATACAAAAACACTTTTTAACCATGTAAAATGTCCAAAGGTGGAATAGACAGATCTGGTAAATGATGCAACATATGTTTTGTTGTTATTATTTGGTCCTGTTTTTAATTTTATCACAGCTGAGAAGATGTGGATTGATTGGAGGGAAAGACAGGAGTCAGAGACAGAATCTGCTGTGGAAATTCATCCATCAGGTGATAAATGCCTGAAATAAGACAATAGTATTGGACGCAGAAAAAGGGAAGAGAGGAGTCAAAGAAGATAAGGGAAGCAGAGAGGTAGTCAAGGGTGAATTCTAAGTTTACAGCTTGACTGGCCAAGTGATGTTACCCTCTGAGGGAGAGAACACAAGAGGAAGTAGGATGGAGGAAGATGAATTCAGTTATGAGAAGAGGTGCCTATAGGATTAAAGGTAGAGGTGCTGATTGTTAGTCAAACATACTGTTCTATAGTCCATAAGAAAGCTCTAGGAGTCAAGGCTTTGGAGTGCTTTGGAATCCGGCCCAAAAAGCAGACATAGCTGTTTTCAACAGGGAATTAATTACAGCCAAGAATCATCCAGGATATTTAATAGTATTTCTTAACCTGAGTTCCAGAAATAGTTTCTGAGGGCCCAGAAACTATTTATGAATGAACATGTAGTCTTCTAGGGAAAGGGGTCCATAGTTTTCATTAGATTTTTATTTATTTATTTATTTATTTATTTATTTATTTATTTATTTATTTTGAGAGTCTATGTCTGCAGAAAGGTCAAAACCACTGAGACAGACTCAGCAACTTTTGAAATAGAAGCAATTGCTTGACTTCTTCGCTAGGGGATGATGCAAGGCAAGCTATACATGCTTTATCTGTTTCACAAGGAATTGGCTGAGTGGATGGTTCTTGGCTGTAAATAATTCCCTGTTGAAAACAGCTGTGTCTGCTTGTTGGGCCGGATTCCAAAGCACTCCAAAGTCTTGAATTGGGTCCTTAGTGATGGGCAGCACTAAGCTGTCCATATCTGAAATTCAAGAACTACAACTGTCTATGAGGGGCTTTCCAGGACTCAAGGAACACCATTCTTCCCTACAGATTCCACCCACAGATTCCATCTCCAGCCAACTGACTGTCAGTATCATGATATACACGCAGCACTAGTAACCAGGGAGGACATGAATTTAAATTTAAATACCCAATGGGACTAGTGGCTAAGATGTTAGATGGTATAGTTCTAGATACTCAGGCTGTGACTACTCTTCTTCACTCCCCACATCTACTCTGACAGCAAATGTTCTCAGTTTCTCTGCTATCACCTGGGTGCAAGCCACCCTCATCTATCAACTGCATTATTACAGTAATACTTACTTATTGTCTCCCTGCTTCCTCCTTTGGTCCCCCAGTCTATTCTCAACATATCAGCAAGAATTATGTTAATTATAATGTTAACACACACCCATCTTTATAGCAGCACGATTCATAATAGCCAAGTTGTGGAACCAGCCTAGGTGCCTATCGACAGATGAATAAATAAAGAAATGTGGTAATATATACACAATGGAGTTTTATTCAGACATAAAGAAGAATTGAAATTATGTTATTTGTAAGAAAATGGGTGGAACTTGAGAGTATTATGTTAAGCAAAATAAGCTTAATCTAATGGCAAAATAAACCAGACTAAGAAAGTCAAGGGTCCTATGTTTTCTCTCATATGTGGAAGCTAAAGAGAAAAAAAGGAGGAAAAAAAAAGGTGAGAGGAATTTCATGAAATTAGAAGGGAAACCAATAAAAGAAGGAAACCATCAGGAGGGAGGTAGGGAGGGAGGCAGAAAGGGAAAGGGGAGGTAATGGAAAAAATGAAATTGATCAAATTACATTATGCACATACACAAAATATATATATGTATATATACATATATATTTATATATGTAATATATTACATATTATGTATATATGTGTATTATATATATATATATATAATACACATACATACATATACACACACACACAAACACATAAACTCCTCTGGCCTCCCAGTTTACAGTGAAAGTCCTTCTGAGGACCTAAAAGCCCCAATGATCCTCCCTACCCCTTTACATTTCCCCAATCCCACTTCCATACCTCACTATAATCATACCAAGCCCTTGTCCTACCTTCCACCTGCCAAGCATGCTCCCATCTCAAGGCACTGGCAGTTGCTCTATTCCCAGGCACTCACATAGCTCATTCCCCCACCTCCTCCTCCTATAAGTGCCAAATACCACCCTCCCTGACTACCCCAATTAAAACTGAAGCCCAGGAGCTGGGGATGTGGCTCAAGCAGTAGCGCGCTCGCCTGGCATGCATGCGGCCCGGATTCGATCCTCAGCACCACATACAAACAAAGATGTTGTGTCCGCCTAAAACTAACTAAATAAATAAATATTGAAATTCTCTCTAAAAAAAAAAAAAACTGAAGCCCAACCCCCACCCAGCACTCCCTGCATTATTTTTCTTCATAGTACATATCATCAACTTAGAGTTTACTTAATTATTCTCCCCCTAAAAACATCAGGAGCGCAGGGATTTTTGCCTGTGTTGTAAGGTTTCCCAGTGCCTAGAATGCATATCACAGAGTAGACACTCCAGAAATATTTATTGAATCAATTAATGAATTTGGTCAAGAGGTGAGCCAGGAAAGAAGTTACCTCTAGCCAAAGTAGCCCTAGTAATGGGGTATATTGAGTTATGAACATAGCATCATCCAGGATGTTAAGAGACCTGGGTTCAAGTTCACCAAATGACCAAGGCTCTCAGTTACTAAAAGTCTGTTTCCTGATCTATAAAACAAAAACACAAATCTCTGTCTTGTGTCTCTCATAAGGTGACTGAAAAATCAATGTAAAGACCTTTGGGGGAAGGAGGAAGAAGTGTGCCATGGATCCCCCCATGAGGAATTTGCCCAGGTAAATCTTTAAAAGGAAGTTAACTGCAGAAACTATGACAACTGGATCCAACTCACTGAGAGATGCTGGTGACCAACTGTAATTCAACGATGCAAAACAGTTTATTCTTGCAATTCTTCTCATAGGGTAGCTGTAGGCAGACAGAGAGGGGCAGGATCAGTGCCTTCCCTGGCAGCCCTGCTTCATGATCATCTCCTTAAGAAGCTTGGACCTGCCCTTCCTGCTTACTCTGAAAAGTACAGTTAGAGAGAGGTAAAGGTTCGCTAGCTGGGATTGTGCCCATAGAGTTGTGACTGATGTCCCTGAATCTAGCCTGTAACACAGGCACACCATGATCCAGGCCTCTGGCCAAGGTAAAAAATGGGGTGACCTTTGTGGAATGGTGGGTGTGCCCATCACATTCATATCACATGAATGAAGCAGCGACACTCTCAAGCAGCTCACTATTTGAAACACTTGGGAAGGGAAACATCTGTGAAGGAAAGCTTCCTTAGCCTTTCCAAATGTAGGCAGGAGAAGCCAGGGCAGGAATGGGGCCACCTAATCAAATAATGCCAGGTCCAATCCTTGGAAAGTTTCTCTCCCCTACAGCTGGTCTTCTCTGTAAACTAGCTATTTCCCTAGCAAGCTTGCCTACACATCATAAACTAATTCAGGAAGTCACATTTGGTTCAAAAGAACCCTTCAAGGTTAAAAAGCCCCAGTTTGAGTTGAAAGATAAAATTTTCCAAAGTAGCGGGGTCTATTTTTTGTAATGAAGGAAGCACAGCCAGCTCCTTAGCTGGGGGAGTCTCTGCATTTATGTCCCCAGCAGCCAGCAATCACCACAGCAGACTTCTGCCAGACTGTTACCATGGTGTGGGGTGGGATTGGGAGCCCAGAGCTTGAAAGGAGACTTTCTACTTCCTGGAGAAGGGAAATGCAATTTACAAAAGTCGGAGTGTGGAGCTCTATCTAACTGGGTCAACAGTTTTATGCAGGGTTCTTTTGTTTTGTTTTTTATATAGTCAAGTGGCCTGTTCTCTTTCATCCAACCTCAGTGAAAGGGAACAGGGTTAAACCCAGATAGAACTCATTCTCTGGCAACATTTATGTGCCTGCACCAGAAAATTTTTCCTTATTCTTTTTGTAGATGGAATAAAAAAAAAATTTAATGTCTTTCCCAAACCATTATAGCAATGACTAAGGTAAGAGTGATAAATAGATGTTAAGCAGATATGTACATAATCTCAAAGCATCTCACCATAAATATTTATCAATTACAAAGGCAAATAGTACTAGTAATGGAACTAATCAACATTACATGCCTCCTGATGTGATATTCTAAGGACATACTTTACTCCTGTGATATTCCTACCAAAGACACATTTGACCTGAATCAAACTATGGGGGAACATCAAACAAACATAAACTAAGGAACAGTCTATAAAATGACTGGCCTGTACCCTTCAAAATGGTTAAGTTCATTAAAGACAAGAGAAGGCAGATAAATTGTTCCACATTAAAAGAGATGAAGATAAATGACAAAAATGCAATAAATGATCTTAGACCAGAACTTTTTTCCTTTTGCTACAAAGGACATTAATAGGTCAACTGGAAAATTTGAATACATTTATAATTATAGTGATCATAATATTTTATCAGTAATTTCCTGATTTTGATGCTTGTACTGTGCTATCTAAAAACAATGCCCTTGTTTTTTAGTAAATATATACTAAAGCATTCATGATAATGAGATAACATATCTGTAACTTATTCTCAATAAATAATGCTCAGGGATATTTATTTTGTTTTGGTTTAAATCTGTCTTGCCATGTTGCCCAGCTGGCCTTGAACCCCTGAGCTCAAGAAATCCTTCCACCTCAGCTTACCAAATATCTGGGACAACAGGTACATGCCATCATATCTGGCTCTGAACTATTCTTGTAATTTTCTGGTAGGTTGAATATTTCAAAATTAGTTACCCTAATTAATGGTAATATACTTATCACCAAAACTCTATTACATTAGCTCTCTCAGTCTTTTCTGAATCATCTAATTTATTGCCAATACCAAATTTTTAAAATTCTACAAAAAATAAGTACACTTTTATAAATTTAAAATAAAGTCCCTTTGCCTAAAAAGTTCAGAAGACAATCTTGCTCATAGGGAATCTCTCTTCCTGGGCAGATGAGCAATAGGAATGGTCACCAGATTATGTTACTCTTCCTATTTCTATCATTCCTCATGACTGAAATGTTAGGTATTGATAAAAAGCAGAGCTAAAAATCTATATGATTTAATTAACACAGAGCATGTTTTGTTCAAAATACTGGACAGTCATGAGTGCCCTATGATTAACCTGGAGATATTCCTCATTGCCTGAAGATTTCTGTACCTGCATGAACTAATTTTGACTTGTTTTTGAAGACTTAATTCACCCCAACTGACGATAATTATTATTTTTTAATGTTCACCTTGACATTTCTCTATCCCTGCAGATTCTCCTATATTCTCTAAATGGAAATTGGCAGAGCACCCTGGGAGTCAGGGCCTAAGTGAGATCTCATAGGATTGGGAAACTTGACTCTTTGTTGCCTCCTCTGACTTCTCTTAGTCATGAAAAAAGTTTCTGTGACATGCTTTTCTTAGCTGCACCAAAGGAGACAGTGGGGTTTGGTGGGGCCAGAGGTTCAGCCTGAAGGTTCTGGGCAGGGCCTGAATAGGCAAGTATACCAAAGGCCTTCCTCTCTTGCAGCTCAGGTCAGGACAGTTCCAATCCACCTCTCTCAGGAATATCCACAACACCATCCTCAGAAACCTTTACCAAGTGAGGATCTCAATATTTTAATGTAGTCTATGCTTCATTGAATCTGTAGTGAGTGCTTTTTGTGAACTTAAAGTGGGTTGAAGACCTGTTACCCACCAATGAGGCCCTGAGCAAATGAACACCATCTTAGTCTCCACTTCCAAATCTGTGAGGAACCCAGCTGCTGTCTGAAGACCCTCCCTCCAACCTAGCATTCTTTGAAGTTAGGATATCAGGTGCTTTTGTGGGATGGCCTCTAGTAGGGTTGGGTCCTAGCTGTTGTAGGCAGAGTCACCTGGAAAATGGTTGAGGGCTCCGGAGGGGACTCCAGAATGGGGCGGGAGTGGCCCTTCCATCCCTCTGGTATCTGGAGTTGGTAGTTGATTTTGACACTGATGTTGGAGAAGCAGTCCTCCTCACAGAGCTGCAGGGACACAGAGGAATGCAGGATTAGATTTGGATTTGGAGAAGGTGACAAGGAGAATAATTTTAACTTTGCTGTACCCATTAAGAAATAAACGTTGAAAGTTGTGAGTCGGAAGTCCTAAGTATCTGCCAAATAATCCCGTCTGAAGGGAAACTTCCTTCAAGAAAGTTGCTAAGAGCTTGGGGGGAAAATCTTCATTGAACTGCTATGGCCTCAGGTATCATAGCTCCTCAGGGTTCTCACCCCAGTTACAAAGGGATTCTGTCCACCAGGGACTAAGAACTGGCTCAGACTTTACTTGGAAAGCAAATGGAAGCCATATGAGGGAAGAGTCATGGTCACATATAGATCTTTCCCAAAGCAGCACAGAGGACATATTGGGTAAAAACTAAAAATAAGGATATTGCTGAGGACACTATTTGCCATTCTTTTGTTTAAATGAAACTCTTGGCCATGAAAAGGACTTTGAACATGCGAGAGGAAACAAGCTTGACTCCCTGGTGGAAAGGGTAGTTATGCTTTTATTTAAGAAGACCATAGTTAGACTAGAAACTCTTAAACCAATTAACAATCACCTTAGGAGAATATAGTAGTCTGAAACATAATTAATGAGTTTGTTTATTAGAGTAAATTACCTTTATAGGTCCTGTTAAGCTCCAAGTCCTGACAAATATTTTCTTCCATATCTCCAGAGAGATATGGAAGATATAATTTTCTTCTGGCAAAGGAGAAAATCATTCTGAATGATAATTTCTGTCTTTCTATTTCTATTCCAAAAGTTGGAATTAATCAATTTTTCTGATGTTGACTCATATGAGGGCCTTCAGCCCACTGTTATTACCAAGAGGGTTAGATGACATAATAAACACTCCTAATTTATTACCAAGGAAAATACCACCAATTAGAGCATCCCCCCTTTAGTCCAGCTTCTTTTCTTTTCTTTTCTGCAGTGCTAGAGATCAAACCCAGGCCCTCATACATGCAAAACACATGCTGTATCATGGAGCTACATCCCCAACCCAGATTTTTAAAATTTGGACTTCTGGTATAATTATCTACGTCTCCCATGCCATTTTGTGATTATTGATCTTTTATAATTGTTTTAATTGCCTTCCTCATATGTATGAGTTCATATCCTGCACTGCACTTAACTCAAAGCTTTTCTCAGTGTCCTAGACCTTTCTAGATGTCTGTATTACTTCCTCCACTTACCTCTTCCTCCACGGGGTTGAGCTGGAGGGGTTTACAAAGATGGGACTGATTGCTCCACTCCCTGAGGTGGCTCAGACAGTCCCTCGAGTCAGAACACTGCAGCCTCTTTCTCGGCTTTTCCATGTCCACATCCAGTGTGAATTTAAGCGATGTCCCTCTGAGGCCTGAGGATGAAGACCAGATCTTCCTGGAGAGGCTGGGATGGACATGGCCCAGACAGAGAGCCTCCAGCCTGCCCAAGGATCCTGTGACCCTTCCTGAACAATATCCCATGCAGCAAATTTCCTGGAGCTCAACTTTGAGGGTCTTTATTTCAAAGATGCTCTTCTCACTGTCCCTGAACCTGGTGAAGGTCCATTCAGCACTCCAGCCCTATACCCAGATACAGCATATTCCTAGGACTGAGTCTGCCTTCCTTAGGGAAGAAGGCTCTCCAGGAGGATGGGACCAAGGGGGAAAAAATGAGGAGGAGGAAGAGGAAGAAGAGGAGGAAGGGAAAAGGTGGTGGAATATAGAGAACAGAGGGAGAAATCACAGCGTAAAATCTGAGCATAGCAGGCCTGGAAGCACCTTAGAGATTCCCTGGGCCAACAACTCCTTTACTGTACAAAACAGAAACCAGGGATCAAAGAGGGAAAGATACCTTCCTAGTAGCACACAGCCCTCAGCAGGCTCTGTCCTGGAAGTGACAGGTCTATCATTTTCTACCCTCAGGTTTAAGCAGAGGCCCTAACCCAGGATTCTGCTCTCTGACCTGCAGGGAGCAGGGAGTCATCGCAGGGTTTTTTACTGAGAGTTTCAACCTTGGGGACTACTGCTGAGAGGGCAACAGTACTTGCATTGGCAGTAGACACAGGGACTATGGGAACCATGCCCGCCTTTTCTTTCTAGAATCAATCTCCCAGTGAATGTCAGATAAGGGGATGGAAGAGGGGCTAGGTCTCTAGCAGATTATTTTTGGCCAGGGGGATACAATGAGGGAAGAGGAGAAGATATAACTCAGAAGAAGAGGGAGGGTACTTCTCAGAGCCCCTGACACAAATGAACAACATACATGCACGCACACGCACACACACACACACACACACACACACAAACACACACTGGGAGGAGGCCGGGGAAAGCAGCAGATGAAGAACGAGATGGAGCTGCCTTTCTGAGTCTTCTTTCAGAAACTCAAACCAGCATCTCTGAGAAAAAAGCAATGCCCCTCTCCCCAGCCCAGTCAGTAAAGCTTCTCTGAGATGGATGGAACATCAGATCTTCCTGGGGCAGTTCTCATTTAATAGAACTTAATGTCACAGGAGCTAAGATCTAGCACGGGATCTTAACCATCAGAACCTCCTACCAACCCGCTACCCACAGTCCTCTTTCCCTGCCTCCCACAAAAGCCAATAAGGAATGGCCACAACAACCCAGGGCTGCTCTGCTGCCTGTTACCTGTCTCAGCCGCTGAGGTCAGAGAGCTGATTTCAAAACACAGATGTACATTCACACTGCCATTGAAGCCAATGGGCAGTGCACTGGGGGTAAAGTTCATGGACACCTTCAGCCGAACCACAGGTAGTGAGCTAAACAAGACAGCAGAGAGGACTGTGAGAAGTGACCTTGGGTTTCTGGGTCAGTGCACTCATTTGGGCATTCACATGAATACCTCTACTATGCAGGGGTGCTTGGAGTCAGGATACAATAGAGAAAGAGACAAGTCCCTGCTCTAGTGGGAAAACAGACAAGCAAATAAATAGGAACAAATAAGGAAATATTATATACTGGTAATAGTATAATGACACAGGATAAGGTGATGGAGACCAAGGGCTACAAAGATTAGGTGGTCAGGGGTTGCTTCACAGATAAGGAGGCATTGAGATGGAGATCTGTTAATAAGGAAGAGCCAGCTCAGTGACGATCTGGGAAAAGAACATTCCAGGCAGAAAACAGCTACTGTGAAAAAGGCCTATGGCAGAAATGAGTCTGATTTGTTTGAGAAATACAAAGACCAGCATGACTGATACATAATTAGTGAGACAGAGGGTAATAATGGGACATGGAATTGGAGGGATGGGCAGGATTGGGTCTCAGAGACCCCTTGAGGCCATGGTGAGGAATTGGGGGGAGCCACTGAAGTGTCTTAGGCAGCAAAGTAAAGGGATGACCAGCTGCTGTTTGGAGAATGGAGAACAGGGAGAGGAAGCAGGGAAGACCGCCACACAGTGGTCCATGCAGTGAGAGATGATAGCACCTTATACCAGGAGGTGTTTTGGAGGCAGATCCAGGAAAAGCTTGTTGATAGAAAGAAAAAGAGGAATCAACAGTGACTCCAAGGTTTTTGTCCTAGACTTTAGTGTGAATGATGGTGCCCTTCCCTAAGACTGGAAGCCTGAGGGAGGGGTGGACTTGGGGGAACAGTGTTTGAGAATAAGAGCTCCATTTTGGGATGTGTTCACTTTAAGATGCCAGTGAGCAGCAATCAAGTCTGGGCTTAATGAAGAGGGCAAATGGTTGAGGTGGGGCCTGGGACCCCAGAAGGCAGGGCAGACCCCTACCGCAGCACAACTGCCCGGCCCAAGGTGCCCACGGTGATGTCAGCGAGGCCATCGCCACTAAAATCTAAGCCACCAGCCACAGACGTGCCGAAGTAGCGGAGTCCTGAGGCCACAGCTGAGGCACTGATCCGCTGTGAAGAGAGAAACACAAGGTGTGGAATGGAGAAGGGGAACAGAAAAGGAGAAGTCCTCTCATGTTCTATTCCATTCAGCAGTATCACTACCTCTCTGCCCCAAGGAGTCCTCAATCTAGGAAAGGAAAGAGGCAACCAGGTTTCCTAGGGGAAATGGAATTTGAATGGCTCTTTGAAGAGCAGGTGGATCTTAACAGTGGAGATGGAGAGAAAAGAATGAGGGATCCAGAAAGAGCAGTTTCCAGGAAGCTGCCAAGGGCCAGTGAAGGAGGATGGGGGAGAGGGGCTAGGGGTGTCAGAAAAGCTTTTTTAAAGAAGTGACATCAGGATTACATTTTAGAAATACCACAAAGGGCATGGGGTGGAGATGGGCAGGAGGCAGGAGCTACTAGGGTTTGAGCCCAGGGAAGGGAATGATAAGACCTAGGCTGGGGTGATGGGGATGGAAATGAAGAACTAGATCTGGGAGAGAACTAGAATCATTAGGAGGTAGGGACTAACCCTACCACCTAAGGTACCGGTGTCAAAGTACCTGGGATTATGCCAGGTTTCTGGTATGGGGATGGAGGGGTATAAGGACCCAGGAGAGCCCTTGGTTGAACAGTGTGTGAGAGTGAAGCCTGGGGGTCATGAAGAGTGAGGTTCTCAGGAAGCCATTAGAGGTGGGGAAAGTGCCCATCAAAGATATAGCCTGACTGGCAGTGGAGCCTGGAGCCTGAGAGGAATTGGGTGAAGGACAAAAGCCAGACAAGGGGCAGAGAGGAGGGAGGTACCTGAAGCAGGTCAATGGTCAGGAAAGGCAAAGAAGGAAGAAATACAAGTAGGAAGTAGACAGTGTCTCAATCTCTCCCCATCTAAAGGATCTAGGGGAAGCCCTGGTCTGGAACCTCCTTCACCTGGCCTGGGTGGGTTCTCTCCTTCACTATGTACTCCCAACCACCAATGCCAGTCCTGAACTTAGGAATGGGCCTGATTTAAGGCTCAGGTCATCCTACTGGGGGACTTCAGAGTCCCAGAGAAGAGGCAAGAGAGAGCCCCACAGGTTACCTGTGGTTTTTTGTCAGAGAGGCCATTCCAGTGTCCATTGTAGATGTACACACTGCCAAAGCTAGCACCATCATCTGCCTCAAAACCCTCCAAGGGAGCTCCGATGGCCACATCTGTGAACGTATCCTGGTTGATGTCCCCCACAGTTGCCATGGCAAAGCCAAAGCGGGCATGGGTGAATCCAACAAGCCCACTCAGCGTGCATACTAAGGAGAAGGAACCATCCTGCAAAGCAAACCAGTAACTCAGCCCTCAAGAGAGGAATGAAGGATGTCTACCTCAGTGCCACCTGGCAGGGACATGCTCACAGGGCCTCTTGATTCTGATTCTTCAGCAGCAGTCTGGACTTGGAAAAATGAGGGACCTTCTCAAGATCTCACAGTGAACCAGTGGTAAATCTGGGGTCCTCCTGCTTTGAAGTTCAGTACCTCAAGTCTGCCTCCTTCTATTCCCATGCAGAGGAGAACTGGATTGGCAGTTGGAAGGCCTGGATTCCAGTCACTCTCCCACCTACTTGCTAGGTAACTTGAGCAAGTCTCAACATCACTGAGGCTCACTGAGCCTCAGCTTCCTTATCTGTAAAATAGGAATGACAGCTACTTTCTATAATTACTGTGAGAAACCAGGGAGATCATGGATGATCCTGTCAACTTGAAACTATGAGAGATGTTATCAGAATGTGAAAGTAGGGGATGGGGAGTAAAGCAGCTGCCCCATCTGGCAGTCACTTACTCTGAACACCTCCCCATTACTACCCACTGCTACCAGGCAGGGCCAGGCCTCCCCAGCCTTTGCTACCTCTTGCCAGGCTGAGTAGCCACAGCCTCAGCAAGCTCATGGAGATGGAGACCCTCCCACCTGCTCATGCAGACGGTACATGTAAACTCTGCCTTCTTCTTTATGGATGTGGTAAAATGGAGCAGCCACCAGCAAGAAGTCCGTAGTCCCATCCATGTTGACGTCCACAGGGCACAGCTCAGAGCCAAAGTAGGACCCCATCTACAGCCCAGGAGGAACTTAGCACTGGGGAAATGCTGGGGAGGTCCCTCCTCCACCCCTCAGCAAGGCTAGACTTCTGTATATGCTTTTCCCAGATCACCCAAATGCAGTTGTTCCAAATTAATTTGATAGTAACACAGGGGACTGGATGGGTAGCCCAGTGCTCAACAATGGAGGATTCACCATGCAGACACGTAGAGCCATCGAATCCTACCCAGGAGCCTGAGCTTTGTGCAAGCTGGGCCCATCCCTTTCCCTAGGAGAAGGGGGCTTTCCAAGCAAGTACCTGCTCTCCCTCTAGGACCGGCACAAAGGTGGCCTCTCTACTCTCCTTCTGGAGCTCAAACACGGCCCCACGCTGTTTGTACCGTGGAGCCCCGGCCACATAGAAGACACCACAGGTCTTGTGTAGCACTGCTACTGAGTAACCTGGAGCAGGGAAGTGAATGTAAACAGGCTGTCCCCACCAATCCCTGGAGTCCCTCCTACCCAGCCAGGCCTTCACAATCAGCGAGCATACTTATGCACAGTCACTGGTCACATAGGTGATACACACACATAAGGGGTGAGGGGTGTGAGGGGCACCCACTGCTATTATTCATAGAGCAGTCTGGTCCTTCCCTAGGCAGTCACCCAAGGCTACCCTGCCTTAACCCACACTTCTAAACCTCAGGTTCCCTAAACAGGGCCCACCCCATGTGACCCAAGTAACCGATCAGTGCCCACCCCCACCCTGACCAAGAATCATACTGTGTAGACAAGGGTACAGCCTCAGAGTCCTAGTCTTGGCCCTGCCCTTACCCAGGTAGCCGTATTGCGCAACATTGGAATTTGCCGCAGTCTGATTCAGAAAGCGACCCCTGCGGCTCTGCGTATGGTAGAGTAATGCACCTCCAGACCAGTTAAAGGCCCCCACGGCTCCAAGCAGCACCTGTCCCTGCAGGAACAGGGATGGGACTAAATTAACAGGAGGAACACAAAGGCCAGTGCAGTGAACCTTCTCGCTGGGACAAGGGGGACTGGTAGCATGCAGTAATCTAGCCAGAGAGGCAGGCAGGAAAGTAAGATGGCAAATACTGGGTTTCTGCCTTGTATCTATGACTCTTTCAGGCTGCTGTGTCTCCAGAAGCCCCCCCAGGGGCCCAGATGTTGAGCATTTTTTAAAAGTTATGATTGGTGGGCATGGCAGCTAATACCCATAATCCCAGTGACTCTGGGAGGTGGAGGCAAGTTTGAAGCCAGCCTCCACAACTTAGCAAGACCCCCTCCCAAAATAAAAAGCATTGGGGATAAAGCACCCTGGGCTCAATCCCCACTACCAAAAATAAGTCAATTAAATTAAATACAAAATATAACTGAGCAATAGAGTGCTTATATCCTCCTCAGTTTGCCCAGCCAGGGCCTGGCACTGGAGGCCCACTGTGTTTAGTGGATGTGAAATGAGCTAACTGCATGAGCTAACTGTGCCACCACCATGGGTGAGGATGGTGTCCCCACCATTTCGACATCTTTTATCTGTGGGAGAAGTAAGCAAGGGATTGGCTAGCCCACCCAGCCAAATCTTGGTTTATTTGCATGTCTAAGGGGAATAATTCAATCACTGAACACACACACAAAAAATGACCTCCTATAATAAATATGGCCATCCTTTGGTCTATCTCAGTAGTCCAGTGAAGGAGAGTGAGCAAAATTGTCCACCTTTATACTAAATGGCTCCTTCACAGGCACCACCACAGGGCCTTGTACTGTGAGCTGGGAGCCTGAATTCCCTGGGTATTGCTGAGGCCCATCATCTAAGGGCAAGCCCGGGGCCACAAACCTCATCCAGGATCTGGGCGCTAAAGCCAGTCTGTGCCAGTTGGTAGTGAAGGGCATCTCCAACTGTGCCTGGGAAACAAGAAACCCAGTTAGACCACTGCTGTGACAGGGGAAGGGAGAGACCATGTTAAGGAATGGTCTGACTTGGCCTCATCCCCACCCCCAGGAGGATGATGTTAAATATAATGGGGAGAGCATGGGACTGAGAATAGAGACCTGGGTCCTGCTTTAATGACTACTAGTTGAGTGGTTTGGGAAACTCACTCCCTCTTTCTGGACCTCGGTGTTCCCATTCTGTGAGTTCCTAGGAAGTCATCCTTGTTTCTCCAGTACCAGTTTAGTTTATAGAGATTCTGGGAGGTAAGGCGGGTTGGGGATAGTGTTGCCTTTTTAGAGATGAACACCTGAGGCTCAGGAAGTGTTGGGAGAGGTCTGAGGTACCCCCAGGAAAGTGGAACAGAGCTGGGCTAGAACACAGGGCCTCTTGCTGAGTGCTGAGGGGGGCTGCCATAGGTTGGGGGTCCCTGGGGTCCTCACCTTCCATATGTATGATGTTCTGCTGCAGTTTCCTCAGCAGCCCATTCAGTGCTGTGTAGTTGGTCACCTTGAAGGCATGGGTCTCTTTGGGGTCTGAGGCAATCAGCTTCAGTTCCCTGTCGGTCTTAACATTCTGGAATGCATTTCCCACCTGCAAAGAAGCCCTGGATCAGGGAGTGTTCTATCACCTATCTCCTTTTTGATACCTCTTCTTCCACACATACACTGTGGACTGTCGGGGGTCACCCTAGACAGGAGCTATGCAGACACCTTTAAGTCCTGAGTAAAGAGGTATAGGACTGGTATTGCCCCTATTGCAATGCAAGTGCACTTGCCTCTGCTCGGATAGAAAGGTGCAGCTCTGGGAGTGGGCATTGCCCAACTGGAGTGTGCTGCCTCCTTGTTCCTTTGTAGTCCTACCCTTTGCCCTTTTTTTGAATAGAATGTTCCACGGAACCTCCCCTTGTGTGTCCTCTATTTAAGAATAAAGAATTCCTGTGGCTCTCTCTCTTTCCACAGACCCCTAAGGTTGCAGAGCTCTCCCTGGATTTTGAAAAGGTACTTCTGTGTGCTTGTGTGCCTTCTTTGCTGTTTTCTTAAGTAATTGAAGTAGTCAGATTTTGTGAACCCAGCATAGGTCACCAGCTCAGATAAATGGCGATACTGGACAAAAGTCCAGTTTTACCAAGCTGAATTTGTTTTCTTAAGACGCCAGGCTCCTTCTCATCTCAGTACTTGCTGTTCCCTCTGCCTGCAGAGTGCTCCCCCCACACCCTAGGCCAACTTCTCCTGTTGGTCCTCCAGGACATGGAGCCCACCACTTCCTCCAGGAACCTTCTTTGGGCTATCACCATCACACTCAGCCAGAGAGCTGTAACTATCACTGGGAAATAAGCCCTCTGTATGAAGACCCAATGGGTCACAGCACATGGGACCAGGAGAAAATGAGTATTGGAGAATAGAAAGCATTTGGGTACACTGTTTTCAGAAGCCCCTATCAGGGGCTCCTCCCCACCCAGGCTGTTCAGGGTAAAGGAATACCTCCTGGCTCCTGGCTCTTACCCCGATGGCAAAACGCTCAATACCCTTCATCTTGGGGGAGTTGATGACAGTTGTGAGGTTGAGGGGATCGTCAAATATATCACCATCAGTGAGTACCACCATGACCTTGGACGCCTTTTTTCTGGAGCCGTGGCTTGGGACGAAGATTTTGTCTCTAGGTAGGATAGTCAATGAAGAGAACATTTTTAAAGGGATGACTGCACTCTAGGGGAGATGCTATTCACTGATCAGTTTCAGAATTGAGAAGTTTAACAAGCCCTCCCAAGTGGAGAACCAAGACCCAAAGAAGGAGAGTGATGTCCCTTATGCTACATAGCAAGGCATCTGCAACCAGATATCCTTATTCCTCACCTGTTCCTGTCAGAAAGGGGCTAGACAGCAACTTGATTTTGTCCCTTTTATGTGTGTGCAGGAATAGTGTTGCTATTACATGGTAGATAGTACTTACAAAGCACTTATCATGTGCCAGGCACTGTTGTGAGCATTGTAAGTGTTTTAATTCATTTAATCCTCACAAAATCCTATGAGGCAAGGACTATTATTATCCTCATGTTAAAAGTAAGGAAATTGGCTAGATGTGGTGGCACAAGTCCATAATCCCAACAACTCAGGAGGCTGAGGCAGAAGAATCACATCACAAGTTCAAGGCTAGCCTCAGCAATTAACAAGACCCTGACTCAAAAAAAGTGAGGACATTGAAGCACAGAAAGGTTAGGAGGCAACTTGCCCAAGGTCATATAAGTATAAGCTAGAGTTGAGATTTGAATCTGAGTAGCCTATCCACTGAACACTGTACTCTACTGTGTCTGTCTTATGGGAGGAAGTCCTTGAAAAGCGTTTTGGAAGATGGTCCTGGGATGTCATCCTACATCCCCTCAGCTAGGAAAGAATGAGAACCCCACTTCCTCTTCTCAGTTTTGTGCAGCCACCTTCTCTAGGCATGATGCCACACAGAGCCTCTGGTGGAGCTGCTAGTTGGCATCCTACTTACAGGACGTGCTGCATGGCTGATGCGGTCTTGGTAACATTCCCCACTTGAGTGACTTTCTGGACTCTGGCGAGGGAGGCCATCACATCCTGGCTGTCTCGAAGATCAAACTCAGTCTGGATCACAGCCCCATATTGCACCAGGGCAAAGCTGCACTGGAAGGGAGGGGTAAGGGGACAGAGGATGTTGGCAGGGTTGCCATGCACAAGGCCATCCCTATCCCTGAGGTGGCTCCCCCTGGAAACACTGGAAGAATCCTCTCATCCAACTTGTCCCCCTTCCCAGAAGGAGATTTTAATTACCAAGCAAGTAGGTATAGAGGAACATATGACAGTCATGAAACCCAGTATATCAGATTTCTCCCTGAATTCATGTTCCTGTGTAGACCCCCTCCATATTGAGTTGGGATTAGTTGTGTGACTTGTTTTGACCAGTAGGACATCAGCAAATTCATGCATTGAGCCCTTCCTTCTTGTAATGTTACTGCCACAGAAATTTTGGGCTGAGCTTCTGAAGACACATGGCCCAGACAATCCAGGTCTGAGGCAGTCAGGCAACCAGGCAGATCCATAGAAGAACCACCCACCTGAGCCCAACACAAATATCTCACCCACAGAACTATGAGCAAATAAAATGGTGGTTGTTTTGAGGTCATTTTCTACATGGCAATAGATAAGTGGTAAACTCCATGAGATCGCTTTTAGAGACACCCACCTCAAAACACTTCTCATAGAAGTTCCTCATCATGTTGGAGATGAAGTCTTTGGCTCTCTGGAAATCTGGGGGATCAATGCTTCCTGAGCCATCCAAGATGATGGCAATCTCAGTGCCTGGCCAAGACAATGCAGCAGGTCAGGTAAGATGTGGAGTGGGCGTGAGATTAGGGGCAGGAGTGTGGGCATATGTCCTGCCCTGTAGGGTACACACCTCAATCAAGCCCTGAGGACTCAGCTCAGGAATGAAGCTAGGGAATCTCCTGAGAGTGAAGCTCTTATCTCAGAGGCAAAGAGAGCTAGAACCTGCTCTGCCTCTGACTTGCTGTGTGAGTCACTTCTGTCGCTCTCACTCTGGGCCTCAGTTTCCCCATCATAAGATGGAGGGAGAAAAGCTGACACTACCCAAGTCTGTAGAGCACAGTGACTGCCCTCCATCTCCCAGACCTGGGCACATCTCACCCCAGGAGGCTGCTCGCCTGGGGATTGGCTCTGGGAGCCCCACATCTGCCTCTTCTTACCACCTTCCTCTTCTTCTTCCTCCTCCTCTGCCTTCTCCAGGGCCCTGCGCCTCCTGGCTGTGTTTTTATCCTTCCTCCAGCTGCCTCCTTTGTTTCCATAGCAGTCCCCTATGTCCACATGTTCTTCTGGATCCAGGAGATTTTCTTTAAGAAACACATGAAAGAGCTCAGAATCAGAAGGCTCCATCTTCCCCTGAGGCAAGCTTATACTCAGCTCCACCCTGATGTTTCCTTTCACATGGGGTCCTGAGCCTGCCTTGTCCCACTCTTGGCCTCAGTGCTCCTCTGTCCCTGCTATGGCTGGAGCCTCTCATTGGAGAGTAGAGAAGATCTCTTTAAAGCTGCCCAAGGTTGGAGAGCATGCAATTTTTACCAAGGTCAGAGAAGTAGGCCTGAGCCTGGGGGCGTAAGTCAGGGGCCAGCAGGCTGCAGGTGCCTGTGAGTTCTGAGCTGAGGCTGTGGAGTTGCCGGGCCTGAACTTGAACACATATCTGGGGGGACAAGAAGAAAGGGAGAAAAAAGGCTGAGTGAGCCCCCGGTGTTCTAGTCAGAGCCACACTATAATCCTCATCGTGGAACTCAGTGACTCAACCAATCAGGAGACACGGAGACAGCAAGCTCACCCCTCAACAGGGGAGGAGTTGGTGCTGAGGTTCAACCTGAGGTTAGCATCAGGGTAGGTGTGCCAGGCCACATGGAATACTTGGGTCAGCCCTGGCATGAGCATAGGTAGTCAGAGCATGAACAGCCCAGGGAATGCACCAGGAAAACAGAACATCAGTCAGGTCTGGCACAAGAGCAGGGTCGCTCACAGGGGTCAGCACCGCCTCCTCAGGGCCCTGCATCCTCCCACTCAGGCATACTCACCAAAACACCCTGGTGGTTCCGAACAACTGTCACTCCATGGTACCTTCCTTTTAGGATGGGGACATGCTCTGAAATAGTTCAACCAGGTAAGAAGGTAGAGATGCTGGGAGGCAATCCTACATCCAAGTTCCAAGGGCACAGGACCATCTTTGTAAGGGACCCTGAGCAGTACCAAGAGGCTGGAATTGGGGTGGAGGGCTCCAAGGACAGGCCTGGACATATCCTGGATGCAATGCCTTTCCCTGGCCTCATTTACTACCTCCACAAATGCCCCTTGATGTCTGCTCTGTACCCAGCCTTGTGGCTGATGGGGATCCAGAAATGATTGTGACCTAGGGCTTTTCCTCAAGGGGCTCCTGGTCTGGAGTCCAGGTAAAAAAGCACTACTAGTGCAGTACCAGGCGAGTGTGCAAGATGCTGTAGGACCACCTATGAGGGCCAGGGAAGCTTCCAACCTCAAAAACCCTGGAAATCTTACTGCCCCACGACCCCAGAGGCAGGAGTGAAAGCTCCTTCCTCCATCCCCCTGCTATGGCCTCAAGATACTGTCTTATTTTTGAGTCACAGAATCCTCCAGCTCTCCTGCTGGACTGTGAACTTATCTTGGCAGAGATTGAGTCTGTACAACTCAACACCTCTCCCAGAGACAATGATTCTACTTCAATGTCTGTCAGAGCCTGGGTGATGTAAATTGCATTGGGTGGGAAGGTAGATCTGGTTAATGAGGAATCACATTCCTTCCTTCCTTCACGCTTCATTTGAATAGCACTTACCACATATCCTATATTGCCAGACCCCATGCTGGACCTTAAAGAAGGACATAGTGAGACCAGATGGGAGGGCTGAATTCCTTAGAGGTGTGAGGAATTGGGTTGGGTTGGGTTGGGTTGGGGTTTGGAATCAGCTAGAGTGGGGTTTGCATCTGTAATACCACCAATGACAGAGGTATCACTTTAGCCATACTGGAAACCAAAAAATTTAACTTCTGTGAACTGTAGCTTCCTCTCCTGTGAATGGCATGATTTGGAGGATTCAAAGTGAATGAGGCACTCAGCAGGGTACCAGGCATACTGTGCACACTCAGTAAATAGAGGACAGAATGGGGGAAGGTGGGCAGGTGATGGGGCTGGGTGCGAAGGGGTCTGGGTGCCGGATGGGAGGTCACTGTGGAGATACTGGGCTGGATTAGGTGGAATTGGGATTGCAAGGGTTTGGGTTGGAATGAGTGGGACTCCTAGAAAAGGGGATCTGGGGAGCATTACCTGGAGTTGGGGTTGACTTACCTACTGGTTGGCAGACAATTTCATCCTGGCTGAGGGAACACTGATGCAGGGGTGCTGCTGTTCTAGGGCTGGTGATCAGGAGCCTGGAGGAAGGGTGGGAAGACAGCAAGGCTGAGCCAGCTAAGGACTCCCTTCTCTGACCAGGCATGGTCTTCCTGTTCCAGGTCCACAGCCTCCCTGTCCATCTGGCGATGGAGAAGGCCCAGACCCCAGGAGAAACAGGCAGAGTCCTAGCCCAGACATCAGCCTCTGCATTACAGAGAAGGTATTTTCTCAGCCTCTACTTCTGTTCAGCTCTGGGCAAGAAATGGTTAGATGCAGCCCCTCTCTGCTTGCTGTCCACCCTGACAGAGTTTCTGGTGATAGGTAAAGACTCAGTTCTCTCTTGGGAACTGAATTGGTGATGGGGATGGGGGTAGGAGGAGCCATGAAGCCACCAGCAACACAGTTGGTTCTTTGGGGGGCACTGCTGGCTTCCTGGTTATCACTCAAGGGTAGTACTCAGAGACAGCGTTTCCTGAGAAGAACATGCCAGTGCCCCTGTAGGTCAGTCAGCACTGGAGGTGTGGGGGCCTGATGAAGCCATCCTCAGGAGATGTGATTCTGGTTACATTTTTCCCCCACCCTAAGCAGACAGGGAGATGGCGGAGTCCAGTATCAGACTAAACCTTCTCACTTTCCATGTAGTCCAGGGGAAGGCCGGGTTGCCCTGAGACAGAGGGCGAGCACTTTAGGCTGAGGGCTGCAAGTCAGGGCTAGTGGGAAAGGGATCTGAGGAGGCATGGCTTAGTAACAGTGATCCAACCAAGTTCAAAGTCTTCCTGTTGGGAGAAGTGGGAAACCATGGAGGACTTTATAAAGGGGAAGCACATGACTAGTCTGTGCTTTTGAAAGATCATGATATGGTTACAGTGGGGCAGGGGACAGACTGAGAGCACAGGATGAGGAACAAAAGTGAGGTGGTGTCTCTACTTCCTCACCTCCTATCACAATACAAAGTTTTTATTATAAAATACATTCACAGATTTGCATGGTTTATAGAATAAGAAGTCTACATCTTTGCATGTGTCCCAACCCAGGTGAACCTACCCCAGGCTTACTTCTGCCTCGACTACACTTCTTGTCAAGGTTATCAGTATCTGGTAGATACTATCCTCATCTTCCTTAACCTCTCAGCAGCCCAGGATGTAAGTGGCCTGTCCTCTCTGATGCTCTTTCTTCCTGATTTCCTTGCTCTCTCACTTCTCCTTCTGGAACTCCTTCACTGGCTTATTTGCTGTCTGACCTCTAAAATGTCACCAGGCTCTTAAGACTTGTTCCTTGTCTTCCTAACCATCACACTCTCCATGGTGACCCCTTCCCGCCCATGGTTTCAGTGCTGAATCAATGCTCAAATTCACACTTTCACATCAGTGGCCTCAGTGTCCCTCCAGCAGACAGATGTTAGACCAGACAGCTGTGGCTCTGTGAGCAGAATAATGGCTTCCCAGATGTCCACATCCTAGTCCCCAGAATTTGTCCATATGCTAGTCACCAGAACTTGTGGATAGGTTTCCTTTCACAGTGATAGGGACTTTGAAAACATGATTAAATTAAGGATCTTTGAGATGGGGACATGTGATTAAATTAAGGATCTTGAGATGGAAAGATGATCCTGGATTATCCAGGTGGACATGGCTAATAGTCCTACTATTAGCCCCTTTAAGAAGGAAGCAGGAAACTCAGAGTCAGAGAAAGATCTGAAGGGCAGTGGGCCAAGGCCCACCACCTCAGACATGGCGGCTCCACGGGGTGGTATGTTCTCCGGACACCCGTTTCCCGCCCGCCCCCGCAACCCCCTCTGGGACTCCCGGCCAGGCTTCGCTTCTTCAGGCAGTGCCTGGCATGCCGAGGACTTCTAGCAGCACCTTGGTGGACAAGTTGGAGTCGTCATTCGAGGCTTCTTTGCTTCTCTCGTGAGTCAGGATTATGTCAATGGCACCAATCAGGAAGAAATTTGAACTAGTGTTGATCAGTGTATCCAGAAGTTTCTAAGACAGACAGAATGCTTTTTTCTACAAAAAAGATTGCAGTTGTCTGTCCAGAAACCTGAGCAAGTTATCAAAGAGGATGTCTCAGAACTAAGGAATGAGTTGCAGCAGAAAGTTGCACTGGTGCAAAAGCACTTGAAAAAGCTGAAGCATTGGCAGCAGGTGCTGGAGGACATCAATGTGCAGCATAAAAAGCCGGCTGAAGTCCCTCGGCCCCTTGGCCTACCTGGAGCAGGCGTCTGCCAATATCCCTGCACCTCTGAAGTGACCTGGAGAGAGGTCTGGCTACAAGGTAGCCTCCTGCAGATAGTTCCTCCAGACCTCTCTGTGTGGACATGGCATTTTAGAACATCTATTTGCCAGAGAATGAGTTGGTGTTAATTTTATCTCCACCTAAAAATTTCCCCAATTTTTATGAGCTGTTAATTACTTGAGTACTTTATAAAATGCTTAGTAGACAAAGTGAGGTTTCATTTTGTTTCTGTTGTCTATAACAATGTTTAGACTATTAGTTTGCCACAGATTTTTTTCTTGGCTTTTTGCTTGTTTTTAAAATTTTATGTAGTTTATATATAGTTTTTTTCCTCAGCTGTTAGTTTGTTATGATCTGAGGGGGAAAAATAAAGTACTCCTAGAATCAGGAGAAGGAATTTGGTTTTAGGCCTTTTATGATTAGTACACATCCATAGTAGTCGAGAAAAATGTGTAAATTTGCTGTCTCAAGACTTTTAACTATCTCAAGAGGAATCTAATACAACATTTGTAATGCTTCCATAGCAGTACAGAGTGCAGACATTTTGTAAATATGTCAGAAAAATGTCAGTGGATTTGATTCTAAGAGGCTAGGTCTTGGGGTGGAGGTGACCTGCAGAGTGATCCCCAGCTCCTTCATCTCCACAGAGAGCATGTGGATCCTCTGTGGAGAAGGTATTTTGCCCTCTTGTTAGAAAAGGTTTTCTTTTCTCTGTTTTCCTCAACTCTTAGATTATATCCCTCAGCCAGTACAAACACTCCTCTGTCTTCTGAATAGTCAGTAGGTCTGTGTCTCGGTTCATTTTGTCCTTTCCAACCCTGAAAATCCCTTCCCATGAACCTCGATATCCACTCATGTTCCTGGTCTGGCCTGGATGCCACCTGGTCCACAAAGCCTCCACTCCATCCCAGGGCATAGGACTTTTATTCCTTCCACTGTCTTGTGGGTTAGTGAATGGTATCTTTTTTTGTGCCCCTTGCTGCATTGTATGTTCATGGGAAATAGGCATTACTGCTCTGGAATATACAGGAACATGTATTTTGTACTCACTTTGTGTATATGTATTACTCATTTTGTTTGTGAGCTGTGAGGATGATTCTTGGCTTGTGGACCTATGACCTGTGATAACTAGCCTGAGGCCAGCAGATCTCCCCTTGGTTGGAGTGTATAGGTCAAAACTTAAAAGTTATTTTTTACTCATAAGGGTTTTAACTTGGTCATCTCATGCCATTTAGAAGCTCTGATTGGCAGCTTTAGATTTCTTGATTAAAAACCTAAATAAAAGCCCAGTGTGATGGCACACATCTGTAATCCCAGTGGCACAGGAGGCTGAGGCAGGAGGATTGCAAGTTCAAAGCCAGCCTCATCAAAAGCCAGGTGCTGGGGCTGGGATTGTGGCTCAGCGGTAGAGTGCTCGCCTTGCACGGGCAGGACCCAGGTTCGATTCTCAGCATCACATAAAAATAAAGGCATTGTGTTGTGTTCATCTACACCTAAAAAATAAAAGTTAAAAAAAACCAACCCAGGTGCTAAGCAACCTCAGTGAGATCCTGTCTCTAAATAAAATATAAAATAGAGCTGGGGACATGGCTCAAGATCAGAAACTATTCTACTTGGTGCTTAATGAAAATGTTTTGAATGAATGTATATACAAGTTATTGTCATTTCTTTATATTAATTCAGAAGTTATCTGTCAAATAAATATTGATTTTTCAATATTGAAAAAAAAGGTCTGAATATGTGATATTACAGGATGTAAGGCTGGCGAAAGGGACCATGAACCAAGGATATGGATAGTGTCTAGAAGCTGTACAAGGCAAGAAAACACTTCCTAGACCTTCCAGAGGGAATGTGGCCCTGTTGACATCTTGATTTTAGCCCAGTAGGACCTGTGTCAGATTTATGACCTCCATAACTAATTGACCCTCAATGGAACCTGCTAGTTCCCCTGTGTCTGGATCCATACAGGCCCCCAACTGCCTGAGACCAGCACAGCCAAACTAGCAGGTTCCATTGAAGGTCAATTAGAAAAATAAAGAGTCACATATGCAGATTTTTGAAGATACAAGCTGGGATTAGGTGGAACACTGCTTTCTGATGGAAAAGCAGGTCTAAAGAATTATGCCAGCAATATTTATTATATTTGTCTCACTAATTAGATTAAAGACTATGCAAGCATTATTCATTGTATTCATGAAAGTTACAGAGTTAGCAACATTATGCAGTTTATTCCTCAGTTACATTTTACAGTTGCAATGTACAATGTTAGGAGACTGTGCAGCTCTCAAGAAAGTCCATTGTTTAAAGTTACTATTATGCAGGCAGGTTCAGGAACAACAGAGCTGGTGAAACATTGTGGTTGTCTAGCAAAAGAGTTCCTTTATTCCCAGGAGTTGTGTGTCTGAGATCAAGGTCCAGGCTGATAAGACTCTAGCACAGGGCCTCTTCATGGAGGGCATTACCATAGCAACTAGGCATCCTGTACCTTTTCACAGAAACTTCCCCAGGCACCAAGCATGTCACAGCCATGAAATCATCAGGGACCTCAATTTCAGACACTGCTCTCCCATTCACTATCACCGCTCTCCACACCCACACACTTTTAAAAATGGTCAAAACCTCTAGCACAGCCCACAGACTTTGCAGTCTAGACCCTCCCTGCCTTTCAGGCCTTCCCTGTACCCTAGACAGCCTCTGGTCCTTTCCTGCCTCTGGCCCATTGCCTTGCTATTCCCTCTGCCCAGAACCTTCCACTCTTCACTAGTTTGGTTCATTCTCATTCCTGTGCCTTGCTTAATGGTCTCTCCTCATAAATGTTTTCTCTAGCCAGGCCCACCTCACAACCCTGTTAACCGCTACATTACCCCATTTTATTTCCTCCTCAGAACCTGTTGCCACCTAATCATATCTGGTTTACTTGATTACCTATTTATTCCGTGTCTCCCCACTAACCAGTGAGTTCCCTAAGGATTGTCTCTAACTCATTCACTTTGTAATTCCCAAGGCCTGGCACAGAGCAAGGGCTCAGTAGATCTTTGTTGAATGATATGAATGACAGCCCAGGCAACAACAGAGAGGGAGGAAGGCCAGGTGCAGCTGAGCCCCCAAATTAGGTCACCCTCAGCAGCCCTGCTGCTCTCCCCAAACTTCTCCTCAGCCTAAGCCTCAGCCCTTGCCCAGCACTTTTCCCCCTGCTCCCCACAACAGGTGGGTTCAGAACATGGGCCACATACAGCCCTGGACCAGTTGAGCTCTCTCCTCTTCAGGCCTTGGCCAAGCTGTTTTCTCTGCCTTCCACTTCCTTCTCCTGCAGAAGAATCATCCAGACACCAATTACTTAGGAAGCCCTCCTAAAGGAAGGTGAAACTTGATCCCCTCCAAGGCCAGTAGGTAGTCCCAACTACTAGCCTCCCTTCTCATTCCTGTCCTCTGTTCCCATTTAAACTGAGTTCCCAAGAGACTACCATGTACATCTATGCAAGCTACACACTGCAGATCCCAAAGATTGCCATTTCTATCACAGTCATTCAATAGCATGATTTGGGGCCCAGTCTGAGCTGCCTCTGCTCCCCATCCCATTTTTCCCACATGACCAGTGATCCCCAGTGACTGATAAATCCACTAAACACTGACTGACCAGCAGTGACAGAGGATCAGCCATCCACTAACAGCTACAGGGACCCTATTCTATTGAGGGCTGGCTATAGCCCCGGCACCCCTTGTCTATCTCCTGCCTTCTTGCATATCTATCCTATCTCTCTTGGAGTCCATTCCCAAGCCTCTCAGGCAGGGGGGAGGCCTGCTCTATGTCCCACTCCATATCCCTTGCAGCAGCCGAAGCCCAGGGTGCTGCCAGCCCTGGTCTGTTATATTTTAGAGAGAAACAATATGAGGGAGTTGGTGGTAGGTGGTAAAATTTTGTTTAGGTAAAATTGACTTTTAGGAAAACATAGACTTTTAATTCATTTGGTGGTAGGGCAAGCACAGAAAAAACCCAGTGATCATCATGGGGAAAAGACATGCAAAAGGCAAGATGAGGCAGCCTGTTCTGTATGGCCCAACTGGCCAACCAGTGCATTTCCTGCCCGTGGTCTCGTGGACTATCATCTGTGGCAGGAACTCAGAAGTGCCTCTACCACATCCTCTTCCCCAGCATGTGAAAACCCGTGACCCCCTCTGCTTAAGTAGGTGTTCTGGGAGGTTTCATGAGCCCCACTGAGTTCTCCTCCACCCCTGAGCAAGCTTTGAGCCCTCTGTACCAGGAACTTCAAACAGACATCCCTCATCTACATGGGCCTTTGGGGTTCTGGGGCAGGGAACATTCTGGGGAGGATCCACTGGAGTAGTGATAGGTGAACAGGAGATGGTCACAGATAACTCGGACTCTGATGCATTACAAACAGTTTGGAAAACTCAGTGCTGAATTAATGCATATCCATGTCCAGTAATACTACTCATGGGCCCAATGAAAATAAGTACACCCATCCGTCAAATGGAAGTATACAAGGAAACTACCCACATGCCCACCATTAGTACTGTTCACACAATGGAAAAATCTAGCAACGGGTATGAGAGTTATAACCTCAGGCAATACCATGAATGAGATTCACAGACCTTATGCTGAGTGAGAGGAGCAATTCAGAGCACATATTGTATGCTTCATTTATATCAAGTTCAAAAACAGGCAGAACTAAACTACAGAGACAAGAGTCAGGAGGAGGCTACTATTGGCAGTGGATATGTCTGTAATTGACCATGGGGCTTCCAGAGGCTTCTACCGGCTGCCACAGTCCTTTAGATCTGGACTTTGCTTGCACAGGCAGCTTAGCAGGATGAGCTTGCGTGCTTTTGATGTGTGCATTTTTTTGCACATGGCATATGTCAATCAAATTTCACCTAAACAAAACACCATAAACATAGGCTTTTAATTCATTTTCCCACAGCCCAAATCTCCCTGACAATCTTCTCACTATCCATTCCTGCTTAGTACCCTTCTAGGTCCTTCAAACCCTCTGTGCCTGGTGACAAAGCACCACCCACCTCTCCCATCAGATTCTCCTCACTGTCAGCCTCAGCCACATGAAGTTTTCTCAGTCCTTCATCTTGCTCAGGCTGTTCTCTTTGACTGAACTTTCCTTTTCCATCCTTTCTCACACAAACTTCTACTCATCTCCTGAGTCCTGTTGTACATACTGAAGAACACAGCTGTCTCTATGTTCCTGGGTACCCTGGATGCCCCCACCAGAGCTGTCATTAACCTTGCCATTGTCCAACTTGTCTGTTTCCCTCAGGAGCCTGGTAGCCCCATGAGAACAGTGGCCATATCTGTACTATCTCATCCCCCTATGCTGACCCTGAATATAGATCCTTGCTGAAGGAGTGAATGAATAAATGAATGAATGGCACCTTCCTTTATCACTTAAACCTACTGATTAAATCCACCAAGCAAGCCTCAGGCCCAGCTCCAGGCTCAAGCCTAGCCCTTAACATCATAGTTTATTATTATAGGAATGGAGGTTAGACCAGCATAGAAAAAGTTTAATTTATGGTAATGATTTTATGATTTATAAGCCATTCTTACTAAAATAGACATGGACTATTTCCAATTTTAATATTGATATTGCAGTTAAAGTTCTTGGTTATAAACAACAGAAACTCACTATTGACAATATAAACAAGATTACACCAGACTGTTCAATGTACAAAGAAACTAGGGACCAGAAAAGGGACCAAGACTATCTGATTGTCAGGGTCATAGCCCTTGTCCCAGGGCCTATGAGGCTGCTTTAAGAGCTTCTACTGCCCACTCAACCTCCACCAAGCAGAGCTGCTCGCTCTATTCTGCAGAACCCTGAGCGCCTCACATGGCTCTAGCCAAAATCTGTCTAGACCATAGGCTCGTATGAGCTAGTTTAAAGTCAACACTTGACCAATGACTAGAAACTAAACGGTGAAAGTGGACAGAAAGAAGAATCCTGGGGCTGGACTTAAGCCTGGCTTCGTGGTAGGACAAGCACAGAAAAAAAACAATAATCATTGTGGAGAAAAAGAAAAGTGGAGGGAGGCAAGAAAGGACTGCTTTAAAAATATATTAGAAAGACACAACAACAATATGAATACAACCAGATCCTGCTTTAAAAAAACACAGCTATAAAAGCCATTTTGATGACAACAGGAAGCTTCTCTTAAATATAGATATAATCCTACCCTAGCATACCATCATTATCACCACATAATAGAAGACATATTTGACCTATTTATGCCCTGCCAACATGTAAGCTCCCCAAGCCTTGGGGGTTTTGTTTGCTGGGCTCACTGCATCCCTAAGGCTTGGCACATTAGTAGGTGTTCCACAGATATTTGTTGAGTAAATGACTATTGCATATTTAATTCCACAACCTACCCTTTGTCATCTCACAGTATGTCTTGAGGTTGATCTGCATTAATCACCAAAGTACTAGTTTCACTCATTTAACCTTAGAACTGCTTCACATAATTCATATATTATTTTTCCATTTTCCCAATGATGAATCTATCTAGTCTTTCACTATTATTAGCAACATACAATCAACAATTTGTAAGAGCTGGGGGTCTAGCTGAGCAGTAGAACATTTACAAGGCCCTGGGTTCAATCCCCAGCACTCTGACCCTGTACACACACACACACACACACACACACACACACACACACACACACACATTATGGGCTAGGGGCATAGCTCAGTGGCAGAGCATGTACTTAGAATGTATGAGGCCCTGGGTTTAATTCCAAGAACCACATTAAAAATGTGTTTGTGTGTGTGTGTGTAATTTTTTTTTTTAATGGGAGTGTCTCTAAGGTTGGTATCTGGGGTACAACTGCTGAGTCAAAGGCTACGTGCATCCCCGATTTTACCAGATATGGCAAAATTGCTCTCCAAGGTGGTGAAACCAAGGTACACCCCCTACAACCCTGTTTTACCACATCCCTTACTGCACACTGCTGTCAGATTTTTTTCTTGTCTTTTTTTCTGGTACTGGGAATTGAACCCAGGGAGCATTATCACTGAGTTACATCCCCAGTCCTTTTATTATTTTATTTTGAGACAGGGTCTTTCCAAGTTGCAGAGGCTGTCTTCAAACTTTCAATCTTCCTGACAGCCTCCTGGGTTGCTGGGATTATAGTAGAGATGTGACACTGGGTCCAGCACATCATAGCCTGCCTCTTAATCACTAGTTCTTGGGCCTCATAGTTTCAGTTTCTTTCTTTCTTTTTTTTTTTTTCTTAAACTTTTTTTGGTGGCCTTCCAAATTTTCTATGTTGAGCACGTTACTTTTTAATATACTAAATTGTCTATGTTGAACACATGTTGCTTTTATAAGAAACAAAAGAACCATTATGAACTTTATTCTAAAATAGTTTTTAGGTTTCCCTCCCCCAAGCAGTGGAGCAGAAAGAGGATTGAAAGAGGAGAGGGATGGGGGCTCTATGGACTCTACAGACCAGTTTGGGCCCAGGGCTCCTCCTGTACCTTTTGTTTCTGCTGAGTATCTTTCTGAAAGTGAAGGGAGTTTCTGTCCAGACTGCAGGGGTGAGGTGTTGATACCATCTTGGGATGCCTCTCAGGCTCCCCAGAAACCCACCAATCTTCACCCTTCTACTCACCAGGTTCGATTGGTGCTAGGGTCTTGGTGCAGAAGGGAGCTGAGCACGAAATGTGAGTCTCTTTCAGCTGTGATCCAGGGCCGGGTCACATCCACATTGAAGGCCTCCAGGAGAACCTGGCCTATGGGCGTAAGAGGAACATTTGATGAAGGAGTCTGGGCCTTTATCACCCATTATTTCATCAAATCTTGTGGTGTCATTATTCCCCCTTTCACAGATGAGAAAAGTGAGCCCCCTACCCCCATCTTTTTCCCCCCATGGGAGTAAGACTAGAGGAAGGTAGCATCAGACCAAGAGCCTCTGATCCCCTTTTATTTTTCTTTGTTTGAATCTTAATATGACAAATCAACCGTTAAAAGACATTTTAAGACAGGGAAATTTTTATGTGGACAGCATATTAGATGATACCAAAGAATTATCATTAATTTTATTAGTTGATGAGAACACTATGTGTAAGAAAACATGCTCTTCTTCAGAAATGCACTGAGGGGTGAAATGACATTACTACATTTTATTTGTGATTTGCTCTAAAGTAATGCTCTTGAACAATTAACGTGTGAATGAATCATTTGAGAATCTCATTAAATTGAAGATTCTGACTGAGGAGGTCAGGGAGCAGGGCTGAGATTCTGTTCTAAAAAGTTCATCAGTGATGCCAGTGCTGCTACTGGTCCTCAGACCCCATTTTGAGTTGAAAGTTTTCAAAATATTTTGGAAAATGAAACAAAAAAAAAGGAGTTGGGGCAAAATAAATGCAGTAAGTATGATGAAATGTTGATAATGGTGTCATCTAGGAGATGAATGTATTGGGTTTCTTACAGTTGTCTTGTTTGTGTTCACACAGGCTTAAGATTTTGTTACTGAAAATCTTTTAAAGATTGGAGTGGCAATCTTTTAAAGGGTTCTGAGGGCTATTCTGGGTTTCTCATCACTCAATTTCCAGTTCCTCTCCCTGAGAAGAAACAAAGTAGTGAGAGGATAGAGGGAAAAACTCAGTTTCTCCTACATTCTCACTACTCAAAATACTCCTGTGACCCTAGATGCATGGGAGTTTTCCCATAAACACCAAACAAAAGTCCCTCAGCAATGGATACCAACTGGATGACCTCTAATTTAGGTTAATTCTGATACCCTCTACTGGGAGACCATGTCAGATCCCACAAGATGAGGGCTCAGTTCCACAAGACTGTCCCATCCTCCACCATGCTTCTGATCCCAACAGTGAGCCCCATGTTGATTTTATCTGTGCTTCTGACCAACTGGATCTAAATCTGCATTCCATGACCCCCTCCTTGGGTTCAATTAATTTCCTAGAGTGGTTCACAGAACTCAGGGAAACAGGTAAATTTCTTGGTTTATCATAAAAGATATTATAAAACACGGAGAAAGAGATGCATAGAGCCAGGTATGGGGGAAGGGGTGTGGACCTCCCAAGCCCTCTCCGGTTGCACCACCACCAGGAACCTTCTTGTATTCCACTACCTGGAAGCTTTCTGAACCCTGTCCTTCTGGAGTTTATGGCATGATTGATGACATCATCGGTCAGTGGTGGTCAACTTCACAACTTAGTTCCTCTCTCTTCTTGGGGATTAGAGGTAGGGCTGAAAGTCCCAATCCTCCAATCCTGCCTCCATCTTTCCCAAGAACAGCCCCAACCTGCTGCCTAGGGGCTGCCATCAGCCGTGCATTACCACATAGAAAGACATGTATCATTTGGAGAGTCCAAGGACTTTAGGATTTGTATGACAGGAAGTGAGGAACAAAGACTAAATATATATTTGCCAATATCACAGTAGGCATCTATATTCTATTTCTTTTTCTTTATACTTCTACCTTGCCCAGAAAATTTTGTGCTGGCTCATAAAAATATATAATATGGTAAAATAAAAGTCACAATTATGGGGCAGGCAAAAAAAAAAGACAGAATGGAAATAGTGGTTTAAGAAAAGGAAAGAAGGGCTGGGGATGTGGCTCAAGCAGTAGCGCTCGCCTGGCATGTGCGGGGCGTTGGGTTCGATCCTCAGCACCACATAAAAATAAAATAAAGATGTTGTGTCCACCGAAAACTAAAAAATAAATATTTAAAAAAAAAGAAAGAAAAGGAAAGAATCTGCCTAGTGCAGTGGCACACACCCATAATCCCAGCAGCTTGGGAGACTGAGGCAGGAGGATTGCAAGTTCAAAACCAGCCTCAGCATAAGGTGCTAAACAACTCAGTGAGACCCTATCTCTAAAATAGGGCTGGGGATGTGGCTCAGTGGTGGAGTGCCCCTGCATTTAATCCCCAGTACCAAAACAAAAAACAAACAAAAAGAATCTAATCAGACAGGAAGGCGGTCAACTGACATCTTATATACATATCGACCAGTGCTGGCACTTTCTGTGATGACCCCACTTTTTGCTGTAAACATAGCACTGGCACTTAAGAGAAGCTTAATAAAATTATTCATTGGATAAATTCATACATGAATGAAATAAGCTTTCTTGAAGCCAACATAAAGATGAAAATGATCAGTCAGCATCATTCACAGTGTCCACAAAATTGGAGAAAGAAATTGTTCTGATTTTTTTTTAATATTTATTTTTTTTAGTTATCGGCGGACAACATCTTTGGTTTTTTTTTTTTGTATGAGGGGCTGAGGATCGAACCCAGGCATGCCAGGCAAGCACGCTACCACTTGAGCCACATCCCCAGCCCCCAAGAAATTGTTCTGGTGAAGCACAACTAGTCCTGTTATTCAAGCCAGAAAATATTTCCCTGGATTTCTTCTTAGTGAAAACACTGAACAGACCCCAAATCTCATTTCCCAGAGCTGTGATTCATGCTCTCCCTGCCATTGCCCCAAAGTAGAACATAACAGGACCCTGTTTGGGGGTCAGGGATACCTTTGAGAATCTGAGGCAAGCATCAGAGCTCTTCCCATCCCCTTATGTAGACCAAAGGGCTTAAGACATACCCCCCCCAAGATATGACTGGAGGAGACAAGAAAGTGTCACCCCTAAATTTATTTCTTTGGCATAGTTTGAGCTGGTTATTTTGAGGAGTGAGTAATTCTGAAAAGCTGTCCTGTTGTAAGAGAAATTTTATTTGTAAAGGAAATCTAACTGGGTGTGGTGGCACACACCTGGAATCCCAAAAACCAGGAGGCGGAAGCAGGAGGACCTCAAGTTCGAGGCCTCAGTAACTTAGCAAGACCCTCAGCAATGCAGTGAGACCCTATCTCAAAATAAAAAATTATAAAAGGGCTTGGGATATAGCTCAGTGGTAAAACACCTCTGGATTCAATCCCCAGTGCCTGTCTGTCTCTCTCTCTCTTACACACACACACACACACACACACACACATAAACCCTAGTAATCTATAGGAAGAGATTACTTTCATTACCTGAGAGAGATTATCTGTAAACCACAACGAACTTTATTCACCACTCAGTTCCTCCTGGACCCTCCTACAAAGCATGTCTCCACCCCCCAAATTCCTAAGCCCCTATTTCTTTCTGTAGCTCAGGATGCTACTCACCTGACACTGCTTCTGATCCTTTTTATCTGTTTTCTCTTGTTAAGCTGCCCTATGTCAGTTCAATTGGTAGCCCAAAGAACCCAGAAGGCTGAAGGGAAGTCATTCTTCCCTTGCCCAGTAAAATATCTTCCCTTAGCTGGAAGTGCTCTTCCCTCAGACTGCTTCCCCAGGTGACTTCCTCCTCATTCTCATTGCTCACCTCCTGGCACAGGGCTTCCTTGCCTCCAAACTCCAGAGGGCCAATATATTCCCCACAAGCATTGACCATTTACCATAATCTGGATTGACTTTGCTCTTCTCTTGTTTACTTGTTATTTTGAGTGTCTCCTCCCCCAGACAATGACTTCCACAAGGGCAAAGATGTGCAACTGCCTGGCTCACCGTGCTCTCCCAGGGCCTGGCTCAGTGGTCTACACTTGGTTGGCCTGGATGAGTGGACCCCTGAAGACTACTTGTAGACCCTCAGGGTTCCAGGCCAAGAACTCCCAGGTCAAGAAGAGGGTGGCACTGTCCTCCAGAGCTTAGAGGGAAGATGTCTGGTAGGAGTTGGGACAGTCTCCTTGGCCTCTTTCAGGTGGAGCACTGTGTTATATGTGGGAATTCCCAGCTTGCTACAAGTGTGAGTGCAGGGCCTCCCCTGCTCCTTTACTGTCTACAACTGAGACCCTTGAGAATAGTCCAGTGTGTCACTTGGCCATCTGAGACACCCCGCCTAGTATATTCTCAGCCTGGCATGCTCTGGACCTGCTACCTGCACACTTCCTACCTCCTCTGCCCAAGCTGTTCCCTCCATCCATATACCTTCCTCATCAGTCTTGCCCCTCTGACAGCCTAGCCTTTGAGACCCTACTCAGCCAGGAACAAGGAGCCAATGGTGACCCTAGCAGAGGAGCTCACTGGTCCCTGAGCTCAGTCAGCGACCTGTGGTGTTTCTGGCTTTCCTGTCTTGATCAGAGTAACTGTGATTAAATCTGTCTCCCATAAACCTGAATCATCCACCACAACCCCCAACTGTAGAGACCAGCTGAGCACAGGGCCAGACCTAGAACAGCTGTCCTGAAAATGTCAAAATGGTCCAGATACTCATGTTCCTCATCAACCACACCCTCATTTTTGCTGTGCTCAAGGGAGAGGTCTTGAAGGGGTGGGAATAGGGAAGAAATGAGCAGAGAGACAATCACAGCCATCCTCCCAGAGTACCTGCTATCTCCCAGGCACCATGTTACATGCTAAGGCTCAAAGAGGTCGAGCATCAGTAAATTAAATATTTGTATCTGGGGCCCAGGGTTGCCTGATTCCAAAGCTGGAAGCATTGGGGAGTTGGTAAACAAAGTGAGCAGATCACAAAAGTGCCTGGAGGAGCTGGGCACTGCCCCTGCTGGGCTCAGGTTCCTGTTGCTCTGCCACTCACTGCTAGGATACAGCCCTACCTTAGAGATGGTGACTAGGTTGATAAGAACACTGTGGAGGAGAATGGCATGAGAACCTCTGTGTGTGTGTATGTGTGTCATGGTGGAGTCACCATATTTGCTGAACTTTCCCTGATAACCATCTGGTGCCTATGTCTGCCCAGAGCCACTCACCCTGCTCCACCATGGGG